GGAGGACCGCCCCAGCTGGTGCCACGTGTCGCCCAGTAGGGATCAAGCTCCGCGGTTTCGGCTGAAGGGAGTCCCGGAGCTTCGGGATACGGAGGGGCTGCCTGCCTCAATTCTAATTGGCCTCCAGAAGTGCCCCAGCCGCTTCCGCCAGCGGAGATGCCCCAGCCACCGGGGTTGTCGTCGGGGCCCCAGCCTGCTCCTTCGCCCCAGCCGCCTTCTGCGCTCAAGCCACCTTCGGCGGCACCGCTTGCTACTGTTGCCGAGATGGTGCCGCGGTCTCCTACAGCCGCTTCCTCTGGTGTTAAGACTTCTCCCAGGGGACCGAGTGCAGGGCCAGGACTAACTGGCTCGGTTCCGACCTTTTCTTTTCCTTTGGCGGATGGTTCCGCAGATGCTGACGTTCCGCTGTCTTCTTCCATTGATGCAGGTCCGGTTTCAGCTGGGTTGGAGGTCGAGGCGGTCGGAACGGTGCGCAGTCGCATGAGGCCGTCCGAGGCGGGTCGTTCGAGATCCATCTCTGTGGGATGCGACCAGGTTGGGGCTTCTGTAGTGGTTGTCTTCAACAGCAAGGTGCGGTGAGAGTCTCCTGAGGTGCCTTGAGCTGAGAACTGCAGCACGAAGACCCCGTCGTTATCCACGGCTTTGCCAATGTAAGTGTTGCCGTAGAAAAGTTCGAAGGTCTTTTCCTTGCGATTGCTTCGAATGTCGACTCCGCACCGCGTAAGCTGAGCTGAAGAAAGCAAGTTGTATCGTAGATCTGGAGCGACGAGCCCGTCGCCGATGTGAATCGTGAAGTGAGTGTCGTCAGCTTCAAGGAAGATCTCACCGATGTCGTATGCTTTGAGTGTGCCGTCGTTTGCCACTGTGATTTCGCAGGGTCATCGCATGCGTTTGGAGTTGGTGATGAATGTTGGCGACCCCACCATGCGCTGTCCGCAGCAACTGTCCAGGTACCAGGTGTTGATGTTCTCGCGGCTTTGCCTCGCGATGTTGGCGATTTTCGGCGTGACCACGCGATCCATTTCGCCGGTGTATGGCGAGAGAGCGAAGTATCGATTCGCCGAAATGCTGGGAGGCGATTCCGGTGTTGGCGGTGGCAGTTCGAAGTCAGGTGGGTGCCTCTGTGGTGAGGTAGTCCAAGTAGGGGTAGTGGGGTCGTTGTTCGGACTGGGCGCAACAGGGTTGATTGGATCATCAGTCGGGAATGTTACTCGATCGTAGTATCGGAAGCCTCTGTTGCGGCGAGCCATGCAGCTCATGATTGTCCCCTTGCCTTTGTCCTTGGTCGTAATGCGTGTAGGTGTTTGCGAGGTGCTTGCGACGGAGGGAGGCGAGACGGTGGTTGTTGTGGCGGAGGTCGAGGGCGCGGGTGACTGATGATTGGAGGAGTTGTTGCGTCTTTCGTCAGCAGCCTTTCTTTTGTAGCAGCGGTCGATAGTGTGTCAGGGCTTCTTGCAGTACTTGCAGAATGTCCCCTTCTTCCCGTGCTGCTCCCCTTCAGGAGTTCCGACGTAGAAAACTAACTTTTCTCGCTTTGTGTTCTTCTCGTTGTACAGATCGATCTCCTTTTGTTCGGAGAGGAGCGTGGCGCACAGAGCCGACTCGGAGACGGATGCTCTAGCGCGGAGCAAAGATTGACATTGACGCCAGTCGGGACCAAGGCCGGAGAGGACCATTGAGACGAACATGTCGTCAGGGACGGATCCGCCGCACTTCTTGATGTGATCGCGCAGATTGCGGCATCGGTTGATATATGGTCCCGCCTTTTCTCCTTGATGCATTTTGACCGATTTCAGCTGGCTGAGCAGGCGACTCATAGTGACTGGGTCTGTTGCCATGTATGAGTTGCGCAGGTGCTCCCAGGAGGCGTACGCGGGCGCCCACTCTGACTTGTAGGAGCGAATGCCAAGCTGTTCTTCGGGAGAGAGATTTCGGAGCAGAGTGGTGTACGCGAGAAGAGATTCGTGGTAGTACTGATTCTTCTCTTGAATGGTGCCTTCCGTTGGAAACGGTAAGCTCCCGTCGTAGTACATCCAGATTTGCGCTGTTGTCGCGAGAAGTTCGAATTCGAAGCTCCAGGTGTAGAAGTCCTTTCCGTTGAAAGGAACTGATGTCTTCAGCTTTGAGGTCAGTACGAATTTTGTCTGCATTGTTGCGATTGTATCTGAATGTGCGCGTTGCTGACTGTCTTGCGCAGGAGCTGAAGCTTGACGATTGTCAAATGTGAATGACCTCTCGGAGTTGACGCGGCGGTCTTCTCCAGGGAGAGGAAGTCCAGCAACTCCACGTGCATAGCTTGGGCCGTCGATGCTCATCGCTTGATGGCTTTCGAGGGCGTTGATGCGGGCGACCAGCTGCTCAACGAGAGCGGCGCTGACGGAGGTCACCGCTGATGGTGCAGTGGGTGATGTTGCTGATGGTGGGCCCGGAGAGTCTGCGGTGGCTTTTCCTTCTGGAGCCATAGTGATGCAGAGTCCTTAATGATGTAAGGAATAATTTATAAGGAGTTTGTTCTAGCAAGAACAAGAACTTAGCAGGCCTTATAATCCACTCTAGCTCTGATACCATGATGTTATAACCGAAGGATCGTAGTGGATAGAATAAAGCTGCTAAGTATAGAGGAGAACTTGTCAAGTCTCAGTAATGACCTTGTTGATAATTTGAAAGAGAACAAGATAAATATAAGATAAGAGTACAAGAGTATAAATAGCAAGCATAGCTAGCCATGTACCCTGAGGGGTACATTCCCTTATTAACTGAATTGCATTGCTACAGTAACCCACGACTATTGCTATTCACCAGTTACCATGTTGCATTTCGTAACTGCCTTGTGCGGTTACTGGGCAGTCAAGGGTCACGACCGTTGACTGTCTTCGACTGTTGACCTTCGGGTGACCCTCGATCTTCCGCGTGCTCTATATGAGCTCATGCGGTACTGGTACAGGCGTCTGCTTCGCTATGGAGAGACGCGATGGTGGAGAGTCTTCGGGAATGCTAGTGATAACCTTTCGGTTATTCCAACAGCCTTCATTTTTTTTCCAAGTTTGCATGTGCTGGCGAACACCGCCAATGCTTTGCATCGCACGCTAGGGCGGTGTTCGCCAGCACATCTAAAAAAAGAAAGGCCTCGGAATGGCCGTGGAATCACGAACCAGAGGAGGAACCTCCCGAATAGGTGTGGGGGGAATGGCCAAATCGCGAAATTTCGCGCCAGAAAGGGGAAGGGTGGCAACGGGATCAGGAACCACCCTCCCCACCTTCCAAATCCCCGTTCCCCCCCTCCACATCCTTCCAATCCCATGGCCATTCCAAGGCAATTCTGCTTGGGGGGGGTGAATGGCGATGGAATGGCAACGGGACCAACGTTTGCCTGTAGAGGAAGCTCCCGACCCACTTTCCTACCTTCACGATTCCATTCGAAATGAATGGAAAGGAGGGCGTTCGACAGGCCAACATGATTCCGTTTGGTTCGGACGGAATCATAGGCTCGGCAAGAATTTCGCGGGCTTACCTGCTTGACGGACCCTAACGAACCCTAACGGACGGGATCAGGAAGCCGAGATTGACCTTCCTGATCCCGTCATTTTTGTTGTTCAAAGTGCTGGCGAACAACGCCTAGAGTGACAATCTCGTGGGTGACGGTGACGTGACCAGGTCAGCTTGGGGCAGGATCTTTCCTTCCAAACGGCAAGGCTTGGTGTCACCACCATGTGACGCGTGAAAAACAAATCTCGAAAATGTCAGGGACGGGGTTCGAACCCGTGCCTCTTTCGAGACCGCAACTTGAGTGCGGCGCCTTAGACCACTCGGCCACCCTGACACGTCTACAAGGGACAAAAATATAATAAGACACAAACTCCCTGACACGACTCTTGATGTTGCCGCACAACACGGCGGCTCGAGTTTTGTGCTAAGACATGTTCCCTGGCCAATGCCGACCGTTCATCTCACTGTAATTTCACCGCGCCTCGACGACCCTTCCGAAAACACCATTCTCCCTCACCTCCACAGCTACTTTTTCCCCGTTCAATCCGCCCCAGCCCAAACAGACCCTCCCCCGTCTTCTCCGCCTTTCCCCGCATGACTTTTGGTGCGGCTGCTGCCGACCGAACGCAGGCCCCCAAATGATCCTTGGGCTAGGCCCTGGGGTGGGGGGGTGCTGCAACCAGCACGCCGCGTCAAGATGATGCGTGACGTGCGGTCATCAAACGGACGGGGGGGAACCCGAGGAATCGGCGGCGGGATGGGATGCCATGGCATGGCAACCGAGCAGGCCGCAACGAGAATGTTATTTTTTTCCAGTGGATGGGAATGTGAGTTTGGAGAGCTTCGGTCTGTCGTTCGCCTCGGTATTAGTTTATTTTGTTCGTAACCTCGTGATAATTTCGAGGTTTATCTGAGCAACCTCGAGTTGTACTTGACTGCTCGCTGACGTCAACCAGCGCCCTCCTAGACATTCTTCTTCCCATTGTCCTCCCCTCTCCGTTTGTTCCTCCCTGGTGTACGGTGTCATCCATGTCCTCCCATCGCTCCGAATATATCCACGTACATGTCACGAGACGGTCGATTAGGACAGCATTCTGATGTCTGCAGTCAAGTAAATGGGATTTCCTCGTAGTTGCACGCTCGTTTGTAGAACAGGCCCGGGTGTCTCTGTACGGTTCCTGGACGCACAGCAGTCGCTTCGAAAGCCTAGATTGCTAGGAACCAGACATAGTAGTTACCAACTATAAGTACCTCTCCGTACTAAAGCAGCCGATATGTTCCAGTTTTCTAAAGAATTTAACGGCAGGCGTCGCGCACGCCTCGAGCCTAGCAGCGATACAACCAGCAAGAAGCGGGACCGGACTTCGTTCATGGCGTCTCTTGTCGCGAAGCCGTTCGACTCGGTTAGGCTGACCTGGACCACGCGAATCGCACGGTTGCCGACCGTAGTGGGGAAACGGCCATGGTCGCCGGAAGTCGTTAACACCGTTTGCACGACGGCAGCTTTTGCCGTGATGTGCTTGCTAGCCGCCTGGCTCTTCCTAGCGCCAGGAAGATCACAGGTACCTAGTTACCATTCTCCAGCCGCGCACGAATAACTTGAGCGAATGATTTGAGCATCTTGTTGAGTTTATTTTCCGGATGGTTTCGGTTCTAATGTTTTGGCTCATCAGTCCACGAGGGTTCCGTCGCGACTGTCGAAGCATCATGACAAGATACGATACTCGTTGGATTCGCGACTGGATCATCGGGTTTGCGTATGTGGAATGGGACGTTTCCAGGAGTCGTAGCAGATCCAGAGGACGAGATTAAATTATAAGCGGAATAAGAGGTCGCAGCAGGCATTAGGGACAGGGATGCGTCACAAGCCGTCCTTGTTCACTCAGGAGTATGTGGATGGATCGTGCTAGCGTGACCAAATACCGATAAAAATTTCAGGTCGAACCGCAGTAGAGGAACTTATTAGCGTCAGTCTCTGCGCTACCAAGTGGTTTGAATGGCTGGCGTCCCCTCCCTAACGTTCACTCGAAACCAATTTCCTTGCCCTTGCGGAAAATTTCGTGGTCGTCTTGTGTGCAGATAGAGTTGACGGTTGTCGTCACGTCGCTGGTAGACCGTCAGCCGGCAACTGTAACGGTCCACCCGCAGCGGTCGTCAGGTGTAACGGTGGAGATGGAATCGTTGGAGGATGACGTCACGGAGACGGCCGACCCCGATCCGATGGAACCCGCTCAATCGTTCACTGTATGTGCTTGTGCTCAATCATTACGCGATGGAACGCGATGGTCTTGATTGTCTGTGCTTTCTCGTTGTTTAGTCTCATGATGACCAGTTTTTGTCACTGGTGATACTACCACGTCTTCCCCCACCTATAATGCTACCCCCCTTAAACCATCTAGGTGTGTTTTGAGTCGACTCAGACCACACCGCAAATGGTGCTGTACCGTGTCTTTTCCCCGCTCGCTTCTACTGCTTGGTCAGCTATCGTCCCCCGCCTTTCCCCCCTTTCCCCAAGAACCGTGTCTTTTCCTCCGTTTCCCCATCTTCCCCACAACCCTGAACCTGTACCCATTCCCACCACAACCTGACCCTTCCGCGCACAGGGCTTCGTGAACGGCCCTCACGCGTTGGAGGCGGAAGCAGCGGAAAACAAGGTGCGCTCGCATTCCGCCACCCGTCTCAAAATCGACACTTCCCCCGTTTCCCCATTCCCCCCACAACACTGTCCCGTTCGCCATTCCCCCCACAACCCTGACCCTTCCGCGCGCAGGGCTTCGTGAACGGCCCTCACGCGTTGGAGGCGGAAGCAGCGGAAGATAAGGTGCGACCGCATTCCGCCACCCGTCTCGAAACTTTGCCTTCCGTTAGATTGACGCGTTAGATGAGAATTAACGGACGTCTCACTTCACGCATTCACGCTTTCCGTTTCTCGTATGTCAGTTACATGTCGCCCATGTCCGGTTTCGAGAAACTTCACCTCCTTTCCCCTTCGCCAACTTCGCAACCCCCGGTTACATTTCCTTCTCCGGCCCCGCCTCGCCCTGGAATCTTCAGATTTCCGCGCCAGTGTTCCCGCTGTGCCAAACGGAGGGTCCAGATTTCATCCCGTGCCTGGAGAACGAGGCGGCGATCAAGGTGCTCAAGTCGACGAGCCACTACGAGCACAGGGAGCGGCACTGTCCCGGGAAGGACGGCGTGCTCCGCTGCCTGCTGTCGCTGCCTGAAGGGTACAAGGCGCACGTGAACTGGCCCGAGTCGAGGGACCAGGTGAGGGGATGTGTCCTCGAGTGCTCGACAAGGGAACGGACCTAGATGCCGCGTAAATCGAGGGGGCAAGTCGACGAAGCACTACGAGCACCGGGAGCGGCACTGCCCCGGGAAGGACGGCGTGCTGCGCTGCCTGCTGCCACTGATCTGGTTCGCCAACGTGCCACACACGCAGCTCAAAAGCCGATTCAGTTGTCAACCCTCCAACTCTCTCCCCTTTTATGCCCGACCCTCATTCCCTCCTCCCCTTCGTCCTTTCCCATTCCTCCCCTCCTCTCCAACAGATCTGGTTCGCCAACGTGCCGCACATGCAGCTCGCAAGCTACAAGGCGGATCAGATTCAGTACTGGATCAAGCCCTAGGGAGACAGATTTATCTCCTCTTCTCCTCCCTTGCTTCACCTCTCATTCTCTCCCCGTCTCTCCCTTGCATCTCTACCACAGATCTGGTTTGCCAATGTGCCACACACGCAGCTCGCAAGCTACAAGGCAGACCAGAACTGGATCAAGCCTGAGGAAGACAGGTTCATCTACCCCACTTCTCCTCCCTTGCTTCACCTCTCATTCTCTCCCCGTCCCTTCAATTGCACCCCTCCCTACCACGGATCTGGTTCGCCAATGTGCCACACACGCAACTCGCGAGCTACAAGGCGGATCAGAATTGGATCAAGGCCAATCGTGATAGGTTCATTTACCCCACTCCTTCTCCCCATCCCTCCCCTACCAATAGATCTGGTTTGCCAACGTGCCGCACACACAACTCGCAAACTACAAGGCGGATCAGAACTGGATCAAGCCCGAGGGGGACAGATTCATATTCCCGGGCGGCGGAACGCAGTTTAAGTACGGCGTCACTAAGTACATCTCATGGCTGCAGGAGGTGGGTGGGGGGTTCTTTATAGCGAGTACAGATTGATTTGCAGTTTAAGTACGGCGTCACTAAGTACAACACATGGCTACAGGAGGTGAGTACGGGGCTCCTTATAGCGAGTACATCAGGAAGTACAGTACAGCATGATTTGCACTGGAAGAACTGGGAACAGTAACTGAATGCAGGAGGTGGGTAAGGGGTTGTTTTATGGCGAGTGCAGCATAGAGTAGAGCAATATTTGCAGTTAGAGTCTGGCACCCCTGGTCCTCCTCGCGCTCTCTGTGCTTCCTCGTTCTCTCTCTGCCTCCTCGCCCTTGTTCCCCCTCCTCGCCCTCCTTCTGCCTGCTGCCCATTTCTCTTTCTGTCGTCGGGCAGTGTTTCCAGTCGTTCCCTTCCTTTCTCTCCTCCCTCCGTTTTGTGTCACCCAGGTCTTCCCCTTGCTGTGCTTTGGCAAGCGCATTCGAGCCATGCTGGACATGGGCTGTGGGGAGCCAGTCGCAATGCGGGCTATGGGGTGGCATTGAGTGCAGACTCACTGTGCCTCCTCTCACAACCCCCTCCCTTCCCCACGCACCTCCAGGTCTTCCCATTCCTGTCCTTCGGCAAGCGCATCCGAGCCATGCTGGCCATGGGCTGTAGGGTGCTATTGAGTGCATACTTACTGTGCCTCTTCTCTTCTCACAACTCTCTGTCCCTCGCCGATCTTCCCCTCCAGGTCTTCCCATTCCTGTCCTTTGGCAAGCACATTCGAGCCATGCTGGACATGGGCTGTGGGGTGGCGAGTTTCGGCGCGTACCTCGACGCCTTCCACACACGCGTCTTGTCTGTAGCGCCCCGGGACGAGCACAAGGCACAGGTATGGTGTGCTCTGCTGTGCGCTGCTGCTGTGTGCCCTGCTGTGTGCTCTGCTGTGTGCGCTGCTGCTGTGTGCTCTGCTGTGTGCGCTGCTGCTGTGTTCTCTGCTGTGTGCGCTGCTGCTGTGTGCTCTGCTGCTGTGTGCTCTGCTGCTGTGTGTTCTGCTGTGTGCTCTGCTGCTGTGTGTTCTGCTGTGTGCTCTGCTGCTGTGTGCTCTGCTGTGTGCTCTGCTGTTCACTCTGCAATTTGCTCTGCTGTTTTTCGTTCAGTTTGCGCTGCAAGTACGCCTTCTTTCCGTTCGTGCTTCTCTTAACCTGGAAACGATCATGGGTCGCAGGTCCAGTTTGCTTTAGAGCGGGGCGTGCCTGCGCTGGTGGGGGTGATGGGAACGCAGAGGCAGCCGCTCCCCTCCAACGTGCTTGATGCTCTGCACTGCGCCCGCTGCCGCGTGCCCTGGCATGCCGAGGGTAAGCACCCACAACCCCCAAGTTAACCTTCTCTTAACCCCCTAAACCCCTCGAGAGCCCTCTATGCCCCTGTGGACCACCCTAAACACCTCCAACGTGCTTTATGCTCTCCACTGCGCCCGCTGCCGCGTGCCCTGGCACGCAGAGGGTAAGCACCAAGATCCCTGTAACCGAACCCCCTTGAACCCTTCTAAATCCCTGTAAACCCATCAAAGCACCACATCAAAACTCTGATCTGGGCAGCCCCTCCCCTCCAACATGCTTGACGCTCTGCACTCTGCGCGCTGCCGCGTGCCCTGGCATGCAGAGGGTAAGCACCAAGATCCCTGTAACGAAACCCCTCTAAACCCCCCCCCAAACCAGATCCCCCCAGCCTCCTCCACTACCTTTCTGATTCCTCACTCACAGATGACTCGCTGTTTGCCCTCGTTCCCCGTCCCACCTGTACATGTACAGGTGGCAAGCTGCTATTGGAGGTGAACCGGCTGCTCCGACCAGGGGGCTACTTCATCTGGTCGGCAACCCCCGTGTGCAAGGAGTGTGCTGCCAAGGGCACTGATGACGAGGGGATATGGGCAGGTGAGAAGCGGTTGGGATGGGGTGGTGTGCGGTGACATGCGGTTCTGCACGGTGTTATATATATAGAGGGGGGGCTACTTCATCTGGTCGGCCACCCCCGTGTGCAAGGAGTGTGCTGCCAAGGGCACAGATGACGAATGGATATGGGCAGGTGAGAAGCGGTTGGGAAAGGGTGGTGTGCGGTGACATGCGGTTCCATACTGTCTTGCCCTGGGGTTACTTCATTTGGTCGGCAACCCCTGAGTGCAAGGAGTGTGCTGCCAAGGGCACTGATGACGAGGGGATATGGGCAGGTGAGAAGCGGTTGGGAAGGTGTGGTGGGAGGTGACATGCGGTGTCTGAATGTTGTAGGAGGGGGGCTACTTCATCTGGTCGGCAACTCCCGAGTGCAAGGAGTGTGCTGCCAAGGGCACTGATGATGAGGGGATTTGGGCAGGTGAAAAGCCGTTGGGAAGGTGTGGTGTGCGGTGACATGCGGTTCTGCACGGTGTTATATATATAGAGGGGAGGCTATTTTATCTGGTCAGCAAACCCCATGTGCAAGGAGTGCGCTGCCAAGGGCACTGATGACGAGGGGATATGAGCAGGTGAGAAACGGTTGGGGAGGGGTGGAGTGCGGTGACATGCGGTTCGGCACGGGGTGATATATATAGAGCGGGGGCCTACTTCATCTGGTCGGCAGCAACCCCCGTGTGCAAGGAGTGCGCTGCCAAGGGCACTGATGACGAAGGGATTTGGGCAGGTGAGAAGCGGTTGGGGAGGGGTGGAAAGCGGTGACATGCGGTTCGGCACGGTGTTATATATAGAGAGGGGGGCCTACTTCATCTGGTCGACAACCCCCGTGTGCAAGGAGTGTGCTGCCAAGGGCACTGATGACGAGGGGATATGGGCAGGTGAGAAGCGGTTGGGAAGGTGTGGAGTGCGGTGACATGCGGTTTTGAGCATGACAAACCTGACTGCCAGCATGTGCTGGAAGCGGGTGGGCAAGACGGTGAACCACGGGTTCGGCATCGGGGTAGCCGTGTGGCAGACACTCTGACGAACCCCACCTCTCCATTCTCCCACCCTTCTTCCCCCCTGCGCTCCCCACTTTCGTCCTCTTAGCCATGACAAACCTCACAGCCAGCATGTGCTGGAAGCGCGTGGGCAAGAAGATAAGCCACGGGTTCGGCATCGGGGTAGCCGTGTGGCAAAAACCCCCACATATCCCACCTCTCCCTTCCCCATTCCCCCTCCCAGCCATGCCAAACCTGACTGCCAGCATGTGCTGGAAGCGCGTGGGGAAGAAGGTCAGCCACGGTTTCGGCATCGGGGTAGCCGTGTGGCTGAAGCCGTGACCAAGCCCCCTCTCCATTCCCCCTTCTCCCCCACTCCCTGCCCTCCCCTCTCCGCCTCTTCCTCTCCCCCCCTTCACCCCCAATTCCCCCTCCCAGCCATGACGAATCTCACCACGAGCATGTGCTGGAAGCGGGTGGGCAAGAAGATCAGCCACGGGTTCGGCATCGGGGTAGCCGTGTGGCAGAAGCCGACCGGCAACGACTGCTACGCCGCCCGGCCGGCCGGCGCGCTGCCGCCCATGTGCCCGCTACAGGACAACGCGGATGCGGCGTGGTATATCCCCATGCAGACGTGTCTGCATCACGTGCCGTTTGGGAAGGAGGAGAGGGGCGGCGCGTGGCCGGCGGAGGGTGAAGAGCGGTTGACTGCGGTTCCAGGGTGGTTGGGGAGAGGGAAGGGGAGGAAGATGAGAGAGGAGGCGGGAGGGGAGGAGACCGGGAGAGTAGGAGGGGTGGAGGGAGGGGAGGAGAGAGGGGAGGAGAGAGGGGAGGAGAGAGGAGGGGAGGTGGTGGGAGTGTATGGCCGGCCAGTGGTGAAAGAATATCAGCACGACGTGGGGCATTGGGAGCGGGTGGTGCGGCATTACGTTGATGGGCTTGGAATTCGGTGGGAGGGCGTGCGGAACGTGCTTGATATGGACGCACACTACGGCGGGTGAGCCAGTTTCTCCTTGCCTGTGTCTCTTCCTACACATGTGCATTGATGGCATTGGAAGGAGGTGAGTTGATCCTCGCCTTTGGAGACTCAAGGCACAGCGTGGGGCATTGGGAGCGGGTGGTGCGGCACTATGTGGATGGGCTGGGGATAAACTGGGAGGGCGTGCGGAACGTGCTAGATATGGACGCACACTATGGCGGGTGAGTGGTCGGGAGTGGGGATGGGTGAGTTTCTCACTTCCCCACCTGGGTTGGTTGGTAGCGTCTGTGTCTATGGCACTACGTGGATGGGCTGGGGATCAACCGGGCGGGTTTGCGGAATCAGCAAAGGTCATGTACCACGACTGGTGCTCTTCCCCTCGTTGCCCTCCCCCTGTTTGCCCTGCATCCCCGCATCCCCTTGCTGCCCCTTACCCCAGTTTTGGTGCTGGAGAGGGGAGGGCCGAGCCAGTGTGGGCGCTGCCTTGGAGAGGGCCGAGCCAGTGTGGGCGCTGCCTTGGAGAGGGCCGAGCCAGTGTGGGCGATGAACGTGCAGCCCCGACACCCTGCCTCCCAACCTGTGATACTGACTCACTAATCGTTAATCCCATCATTCCCGGATTACCCATCCAACTCCCTCATTCAGCTTTGGCGCTGCTCTAGAGAGGGCTAGGCCCGTGTGGACAATCAACGGGGTCCCCACGGCCAGCCCCGACACACTGCCAGTCATCTTCGACCGCTGTTGGGAGTGTACCACGACTGGTGCTCTTCCCTCATTGCCCTTCCAAGCTTGCCCTTCCCCTGCCTGCCCACCGATCCCCAGCTTCGGCGCTGCTCTAGAGAGGGCTAAGCCCGTGTGGACGATGAACGTGGTGCCCACGACCAGCCCCGACACCCTGCCAGCCATCTTCGACAGAGGGCTGCTGGGCGTGTACCACGACTGGTGTGAGGCGTTCAACACGTATCCACGGACTTACGACCTCGTGCACTCGGATCACCATTTCGGGAAGGCGCTCACTGAGAAGAGGTGAGAGCTACTGGGAGAATACCACCATGACTGGGGGATGAGGGCTGCTGGGAGTGTACCACGACTGGTGCGAGGCGTTTAACACCTATCCACGGACATACGACCTCGTTCACTCGGATCATCATTTTGGGAAGGCGCTCACTGGAGAGGTGAGGCATATGGGCTGGGGGCAGACAGCAGAGGGCTGGGAGGGCTGGGAGGGCTGGGTGCTGCTGAGCTGGGAACTGAAGCTGAGGCCTGCTGGGAGTATACCACGACTGGTGTGAGGCGTTCAACACGTATCCACGCACCTACGACCTCGTGCACTCGGATCACCATTTCGGGAAGGCACTGACCGAAAAGAGGTGCGGAGATAGGAAGGGAGTGAGCGTGCGAAGCAGCAAGATTTGCTGGTCGTGGGCGGCTGGATTGACAGAGCTGAGGGCTGCTGGGGGTGACGACTGGTGTGAGGCGTTCAACACGTACCCTCGCACATACGACCTCGTGCACTCGGATCACCATTTCGGGAAGGTGCTGACTGAGAAGAGGTGAGAGTTGGGGTCTGGGAACAGGGGGCATGTGCCTGGGGGCTGCTGGGGGCTGCTGGGAGTATACCACGACTGGTGTGAGGCGTTCAACATGTACCCTCGCACATACGACCTCGTTCACTCGGATCATCATTACAGCGCTCATCTTCCTCCTAAACTCTAGGCTTTGAACCTCGAAACCTCATTCCCTCCCCTCCCAGGTGCGAGGCACCTTGGGGGTACTTCAGGGCGGACATAGCAGCCGAGATCGGTCGAATCCTCCGCCCCTGGGGGTACTTTTGAGACGTTTCAAAAAATCACTTTCTTCCAAGCGGGCCTAGCAGCCGAGATTGGTCGAATCCTCCGCCCCTGGGGGTCTTGTGACATTATTTCTCAGCGAGCTGCAAAATAATGTCACAAGACCGATTGGCACATTAGGGGTACTTTTAAAGCGGACATAGCAGCCGAGATCGGTCGAATCCTCCGCCCCTGGGGGTACTTTTGAGACGTCTCAAAAATTCACTTTCTTCTTAGCGGACATAGCAGCCGAGATCGGTCAAATACTTGGGGGTACTTCATATTTCACAGCACCTTGGGGGTACTTCATATTTCACAGCACCTTGGGGGTACTTCATATTTCACAGCACCTTGGGGGTACTTCATATTTCACAGCACCTTGGGGGTACTTCATATTTCACAGCACCTTGGGAGTACTTCATATTTCACAGCACCTTGGGGGTACTTCATATTTCACAGCACCTTGGGGGTACTTCATATTTCACAGCACCTTGGGGGTACTTCATATTTCACAGCACCTTGGGGGTACTTCATATTTCACAGCACCTTGGGGGTACTTCATATTTCACAGCACCTTGGGGGTACTTCATATTTCACAGCACCTTGGGGGTACTTCATATTTCACAGCACCTTGGGGGTACTTCATATTTCACAGCACCTTGGGGGTACTTCATATTTCACAGCACCTTGGGGGTACTTCATATTTCACAGCACCTTGGGGGTACTTCATATTTCGGGAGGGAGCATGCTCAGCACATCATGTTCCTCTCTCCCTCTTGCACCCGAAACTCTGAACCACGAACCATCCTCCCCTACCTTCCCCTCCCAGGTGCGAGGCAGCAGACATGGCGGGAGCACGCGCAGCACATCCCGCTCCCCTCTCTCTCCCTTTAACTTCAAACCCCTCTTTCCTTTTCCTCCCAGGTGCGAGGCAGCAGACATAGCGGTCGAGATCGACCGAATCCTGCGTCCCTTTGGCTACTTGATAGCCCGGGAGCACGCGCAGCACATCCCGCTGCTGCAAGCCGGGGCGAGGGGGCTTTTCTCACTTCCCTTCTATAACTCAAAACCAAACCCTTTGACTCTTTCCCCTCTTTCCCTCCCCTTCCTTTTGTAGGTGCGAGGCAGCAGACATAGCAGTTGAGATCGACCGAATCCTGCGTCCCTTTGGCTACTTGATAGCCCGGGAGCACGCGCAGCACATCCCGCTGCTGCAAGCCGGGGCGAGGGGGCTTTTCTCACTTCCCTTCTATAACTCAAAACCAAACCCTTTGACTCTTTCCCCTCTTTCGCTCCCCTTCCTTTTGTAGGTGCGAGGCAGCAGACATCGCGGTCGAGATCGACCGAATCCTGCGTCCCTTTGGCTACTTGATAGCCCGCGAGCACGCGCAGCACATCCCCTTCCTGCAAGCAGTGGCGAGGGGGCTGGTGTGGAGCCAGACAGTGCTGGTGAAGGAAGGCAGAGAGGCGTTTGTGGTGTTTCAGAAGACCATGTGGCGACCAGAGGGGCAGGCAGAGCAGCAGCAGTAATGTGGTTTAGACTCAGAGAGTTCTGCTGAAGGGAGCAAGGGAGGCTGGGAGGCGTTTGTGGTGTTTCAAAAGACCATGTGGCGACCAGAGGGGCACACAGAGCAGTAGCAGCAGCAGCAGCAGCATTAGTGAGTAAGCACAAACGGTTACATTACATATTCAAGCATCGCATTGCCCGGAGGTATAGACTAGCCGAAATATGCAGAACAGTCTGTTGAAGGCGAGAAAGGAGGGAGGGTGTGTGTGATTCCAAAGAAAGTGTGCAGAGCACGTGGCCCAGTATCTAGTAAGCCATACGGCGTAAATAAAGTGCTGCAGAAGCAGTCGGTATGTTTGTTATCTATAGTGTTGTATAATCCAGATCCTTTTTCCTCAGCTGCCTCCCTCCCCTGTGTGCTGATATATTTTGGTCACTTGTTTTTTTTTTCAAAGCAATACAAATGTTCACCAAAAGAGCAGGTGTGGTGCAGCAACATGATAAAATTGCAGGCAACATGTGGACCAAAGAATAAGGAACTGGCGCATTCTAAAACTACAGGCAACACGACAAACTCAAGAATCCATACAAAAGAAGTGGCGCATCAGTGTAAGCATTCAAACCAAGTGTCCGGCAGCTATTGAGCTTCAGCAGCTTCGGCATTGGCTTTCCTCTTCGCATGAATGGCCTCCATGGACTTGCGGCGTGTGCAATCCATTATGGTATGCTCCGATGTGATGAAATAGGCAGCAATGGCGGCTGCTCAGACAAACGGAAAGAAGAGGAGGGGAAAGGTTACTTGATGAAGATTTACCAGATGGCATTACAGAATTGCAGCTGGAAGGTACCGGTAGTTTGCGGAGGCTATTGCCAGAATTTGGGGAAATAACACCTGCCTTTCGCACTTCTTGGTGAGGTGAACGCACCATTCAGCAGAACTCGTTGGCAGTGCAAGATTACCCACACCCATTAAATCCAATGGTGATACCAATGCTTTGTGAATACAACTCGACTCAACAGAAACGCACAATCACTCACTCCCCACCCACCTGAGCTGACGATAAGAGCCTGTGCCATGTGGTTGACATTTAAGTCGAATCAACAGAAATGCGAAATCACTCCCCACCCACCTGAGCTGACGATAAGAGCCTGTGCTGTGTGGTTGAGATTCTTCTTGGCCCACGGCATGGTTCGGCAGATTATAATCTGAACAAGGATGGAGGAGGGAGAAGCAGCATGGTCAGTTTTTCATGATTCTCAAAGCTCCAGCTGCTTTAGGCCAAGCTGCAATCCAGCAGACAAAACTATGATTTATTTGTGAGTTGTGAGAGAGAAGAGGAGATTGGGGAGGACGAAGCATGGTCCCTATCCAAGAAGAAGCAGGGAATTGGGAGAGGTTAAGGGGGATTGGGTAGGGTAGGATTTTGAGATAAATAATGGCATGCACCTTGCTGTAAGCGTAACGTAACGAATGGGGAGAAGATGGGTGGCTGATTTCAGGGGAATGAATGTTATCACAACCTCGCCTCAGAGTCAAGTCAACGAAACAGGAATTTACGCTTTGAAACAGACAAAGCAAAGGTTCAAAGGCTCACTGGTGCGGGAAGTGCAGTGCGTGTGTTTCAAGGCTTAAGCATCATCACAAACACGAGGTGCAAGTCGACTAAAAAACAATCTCAAACAAAGTGCTCCAAATTAAACAAGTGGAATTGGAAAGGCCCACTGATGGGGTCGTCCTAAGCGACTGTTTGATCCTTACTACTCTCGTTAGTTTCGTTTCCTTTTTCTTTCTGTATTTTCCTTGCATAAGAATTCAGACGGACAAAAACAAGTCAAGGCGGGTTGGGAAAACTCACTGTTGGGGGCGTCGTAAGCGCAGCGGCCCATGCGGCGTTATAGAAACCCACCCGAACGCCGGCTGCAGGTGGGTGGGATGGCAAACAGAGAGGTCTGTTGGCAAACAGCAAAACGGCAGATGCGTATCGTGGATTAATTTAGCAGGGAGAATGGGAGGTCGTTGGAGCTACCGAGCTCTACGTCGAGAATACGCTGAACGTGCGAAGAGCGCAAATGAGCAGGAATGATCGAGGACAGGACGAAATACTTGCAGCGAGGACCATGAAATGTAAGATTTTGTTGAGGATAACGAGAAGGGAAGTAGGGACAGAGTCATGTTTCGGTAAGGACTCACCACTCGACGCACTCCTGAGCTTTCGCCGTCTGCTCCGCGCTCTGCTGCGCGACGGATTCCGCAGGCGAAGCGACCAACAACAGATAACTTTTGTTACATAAAACCGCGTGTAATTAGTTGAGTATAAGTCGACTCACCATCGACGCACTCCTGGGCCTTCGCCTTCTGCTCCGCGCTCTGCTGCGCGACGGATTCGACAGGCGACGCGACGAAGACGCGTTGGTCCCGATCGCGAGGCCTCTCCAGCGCAGACGGCACGAACATTCGCGCGGTCGTCCAGAAGCTTCCGTTCGACGCCATCACCCAAAGTTGACAGAATTTACACGGGAGGGGTCTCGAGGAGAACGCGAGGACGAGCACGTGGAGTTGGGGAAACAATGACCAAGGTTGGAATTATTGGGATGATAACGGCCGCCGAATCTGTCGAGATTGACGGAGATGGTCGTCTGAATCTGGAACAAAAAGGTGAGAAGATCCGTTTGAAACAGAAACAGCAATTCTTCGGACGGCTTTTCTCTCTGGCGTTACTAGTCCCTGAGGCAGCTGGTGCAGGGTCTAGGATGATGGCGGGACGCAAGGCTCGACGGCGGATCCAAAGCGAATGGCCAGGGGAAGAAAATGCTGAGAGGCAGACGACTATGGTGACAGCTCGTAATGGTGAAATCGCGAGCTGATTCGGTGTGAGATAAGAAAGCTTGACAACAATGGCGTCCCTGACGAGACGACGTACTAATCAATGGCGACCTCGGAATTTGCCGTGCTGTGTGAGTTTCCGTTCTGGGTGGGCATAATTCACGGGCAAACCTGCCCCTAAACTAAGCTTCGTTACGGTTGAGTGAGATGTTCTGTACTTTAGAACGTTTCAACGGTATTTGATACGGTAATTGTGATCAGCTCTAGACTTTCGCAGTAAAGAGGGACTGACGCGGAAATATTTTTGCATCGTTATAGTCACAAAGTGCGACAGCCTGTGAGCTGGCAAGAGCTTGCGTGGCGACACGAGGCTTCGCGCGAAAGATCACCGCCGCAGTTTTCATCCAGGGTCTGCCTAATACACTAGCCAATAAGCAACTCCGATACGACGACGTATACTATAATTATCCCGAGACTAAAACAACCTATCATTTTCAAATTGCATATTCGGTGGATGGTGTGGTGGGATGCTTCAGTGACGGCGATTTGCCCATCATGTCACGTGACATCTTTGGCTCCTTCAACAACCTTCTCGCATGGTTCACAGAGATATGGCTGAGATTGCATTCCCCGTCGGGACACCATCCGAAGTTTGCCCATCCGAACGGGTTTGGCGCGCGGGTGGTGTCCCGGTTGGGGCAGGGCCCCACCTCTGACATTTGTCAGTGTTTTGGATGCGATCGGGGTCGCCCGAGTCGTCTGCCTGTTGCGATTTCAGGGGGGTTCACCAACCAATGGGGGTGTAGAGGTGTCATAAAACGACGAGATGCGACAACATAATCGGCGCCAAATAAACGGCAGAACCTGCCTGTCGGACACTGTAAAAAAACAAAAGAGGGGATCCAATTTTTGACTTGGGGGTACCCGATTGAAACGTGGGCAGCTTACCATTTACGTGTAGCCGGCTGACTTGCACGTTTGTGCCAAGTCAGCCCGAATGCATTGCAACTCCCTTTTTTCCACGATCGCAGAGCAGGATGCTTGACGTGCAATTGGTCGCACGTACACTAAACCGTCAGGTCCCAACGTGTCCCTAACTCTAACCGCGTGGCTGAACATTGAAATGTCATTTTTGGAAATTGCAGACCGCGTGTCCCGACTTTAGATGGTGTCCCGACGGGGAATGCAACCTGACACTCTACTTGCTCCATTTGAGAACAAGGACACAAGGCATGGATCAACACTGAAGATCCAACAAAACTATTTCAAGGCCTTAACAATCTGCAGCAAGCAGATGAACTAAAACAATGCTGCACAAAACCCAACCCAACCAACACCCTCCAGCATCACACCCTTACTGCAGCATTGAGTTTTATTTCATGAGGCGCACACCCTCACAGCAGCGACCCCATGCCATTATCTCATCCACAGCCTCCATCTACAACTTGTGTTGTGATTCCTCAGGCATGCTACTCCACACATGCACCCCAGTCATATCAATGCACTTCTATCACTGCAGCGCCCCCATGATCTCCTCCAGAGCTTCCATCGACACTTTGTGATGCGTGCCTTCGGGGAGACCACTCCACACATGCCGAATCATGGCTCCCTTGGGCCCTGTTATCTCGGCATACGGGACCACGATCACCTTCCCCTTCCACTGCTCCTGGCGAACAACGGCGTTCAGGTTCGCTTGCTCCCACACGTGCTTGTACCGATGGATCTCGTCTGCCTCATTTATTATGTACCATTGTCTCAGGAACTGCGAGGAAGTTGGAAGGGGGAGGGGAGGGGACAACAGTTGACTCAAAAGTGAACTTGTCTGCTTCATTCACAATGTACCATTGTCTCAGGAACTGCAGGGAGAGGGAAGGGGGGGCAACAGTTGACTTTTGGGGGCGCCTCAAAACTCGGCATACGGGACCACTATCACCTTCCCCTTCCACTGCTCCTGCCGAACAACGGCGATGAGGTTTGCTTGCTCCCAGAGGTGCTTGTATCGATGGATTTCGTCTGCCTCATTTATAATGTACCACTGTCTCAGGAACTGCGAGGAAGTGGGATGGGATGGGCCAACGTTTGCTTCAATGTTGTTCAAAAAGTCATTCGATTTGAATCCAATGCGATTTGAACTGATTCGAAGGACAGACACGCCCCCCTCCCCTCCTTCCTCCCTCCCCTCCTCTTCCCCCTCCCCGCCCGTTCCCTCAAAAAGTACAAAACTCACCTCCAAGGCGCCCAGGGACCGTCTACAGAGCAGCATTCCCGCCCTTGAAATAGTCGTGCTTTTCTGTGAACGAGTTTTGAGATGTCTCAGACCTCCCCCATCGAGGTTTTAAGTCGACTCCAAAGTCGACTCACCTAAAAAATGTCCAGAGATTGTCTACAGAGCAGCACCCCGCATTCAGATAGTTGTGCTTCTCTGTGAACAGCATGTTGCCAACTATCAGATTGGCACCCCCGCATGTTGCCTGGAAGCCCCACATCCTCCTCGCGAGTCTCAAGTCAACTCAGATTTCAACTCACCTCGATTGTGTCCAGAGACCGTCTACACAGCAGCACCCCCGCATTGAGGTAATCGTGGTTTTCTGAAAACAGCAAATCTGCGCCTCCATCATATCCCCCCCACGCGTCCCCGTTCCGTGGTATCAGAGCCACGGGCCCTTCCGGCTGTAGCGCGGTGGCCGGCTGTAGCAGCAGGGCAGGGTCCTGTGGGACCCACATCTGTCCGTCCAGCGAGTCTGTGACTTGGGCATTCAGCAGCCAGTTGAAGTAGTTCTGGGAACAAGTATTGAGGAGGGGTGAGGCAGGGTGAGAAGGGGTGAGGAGGGGAGACGAGGGGTGAGGAGGGGTGCATCGTTCACAGTTCATGTCCTGTGGGACCCACACCTGGCCCTCCAGTGAGTCTGTTATTTGGGCATCAACCAGCCAGTTGAAGTAGTTCTGGGATTAGAGAAGTGGTGACGAGGGATATGGAAGGGTGCGAGGGAGTGCGGCAGGGTGAGGAGCGGTGAGGAGGGGTGCATCGATCATAATCCATGTCCTGTGGGACCCACAACTGGCCGCCCAGCGAGTCTGTGACTTGAGCATCCAGCAGCCAGTTGAAGTAGTTCTGAAGATAGAGAAGTGGTGCGGAGGGGTGAGAAGGCTGCATGATGGCACGAGCGTTCACTCACAGGCTGCTTGATGTCTTTGATCCAGGCTTCGACTGAGAGGTGGTGGTGGTGCATGCGCATGTATGCAGGAACATGATGGGGCATGATGAGATGAGCATGGGATGAGCATGATGGGATGGTCATGATGGGATGGGCATGATGGGATGGGCATGATGGGATGAGCATGATGGGATGAGCATGATGGGATGAGCATGATGGGATGCGCATGATGGGATGAGCATGATGGGATGAGCATGATGGGATGGGCATGATGGGATGAGCATGATGGGATGAGCATGATGGGATGGGCATGATGGGATGAGCATGATGGGATGGGCATGATGGGATGAGCATGATGGGATGAGCATGATGGGATGGGCATGATGGGATGAGCATGATGGGATGGGCATGATGGGATGAGCATGATGGGATGAGCATGATGGGATGGGCATGATGGGATGAGCATGATGGGATGGGCATGATGGGATGAGCATGGATGGGATGAGCATGATGGGATGGGCATGATGGGATGAGCATGATGGGATGGGCATGATGGGATGAGCATGATGGGATGGGCATGATGGGATGAGCGTTCACTCACAGGTTTCTTGATGTCTTTTATCCAGTCTTCGATGGAAAGGTGGTGGTGGTGCATGCGCATGTATGCATCTGAATCTACAAAGAAGGCCCACTCGCAGCAGCATGACAGCTGCTCCTGCAGAAACGGCATCTGCAGGGGGCAAGCAGGGAAGCAGGCATGAAGTCAATGCAGTCAATGCAGTCAATGCAGTTAATGCAATCAATGCAATCAATGTGGGCTATTCAGAGTCGACAAATAAGGCTCACTGGCAGCAGCACGACAGCTGCTCCTGCAGAAACGGTATCTGGCAGGAGAGAGCAAGGAATGGTAGGGGAGAGCAAGGAATGGTAGGGGAGAGCAAAGAATGGTAGGGGAGAGCAAAGAATGGTAGGGGAGAGCAAAGAATGGTAGGAGAGAGCAAGGAATGGTAGGGGAGAGCAAGGAATGGTAGGGGAGAGCAAGAAATGGCAGGAGAGAGCAAGGAATTGCAGGAGAGAGCAAGGAATGGCAGGAGAGAGCAAGGAATGGCAGGAGAGAGCAAGGAATGGCAGGGGAGAGCAAGGAATGAAGGGGAAGCAGGGAGTGGAGGTAATGCAGGGAATGGAGTGAGCTGCACGCACCTTGAACCACGAGGGGTGTATATCCTGGGTCTACAGGTAAGTGCTTCATTCACACGCACCCTGAACCACGAGGGGTGTCTATCCTGGGTCTACAGGTAAGTGCTTCATTCACACGCACCTTGAACCACGAGGGGTGTCTATCCTGGGTCTACAGGTAAGTGCTTCATTCACACGCACCTTGAACCACGAGGGGTGTCTATCCTGGGTCTACAGGTAAGTGCTTCATTCACACGCACCTTGAACCACGAGGGGTGTCTATCCTGGGTCTACAGGTAAGTGCTTCATTCACACGCACCTTGAAACACGAGGGGTGTCTATCCTGGGTCTACAGGTAAGTGCTTCATTCACACGCACCTTGAACCACGAGGGGTGTCTATCCTGGGTCTACAGGTAAGTGCTTCATTCACACGCACCTTGAACCACGAGGGGTGTCTATCCTGGGTCTACAGGTAAGTGCTTCATTCACACGCACCTTGAACCACGAGGGGTGTCTATCCTGGGTCTACAGGTAAGTGCTTCATTCACACGCACCTTGAACCACGAGGGGTGTCTATCCTGGGTCTACAGGTAAGTGCTTCATTCACACGCACCTTGAACCACGAGGGTTGTCTATCCTGGGTCTACAGGTAAGTGCTTCATTCACACGCACCTTGAACCACGAGGGGTGTCTATCCTGGGTCTACAGGTAAGTGCTTCATTCACACGCACCTTGAAACACGAGGGGTGTCTATCCTGGGTCTACAGGTAAGTGCTTCATTCACACGCACCTTGAACCACGAGGGGTGTCTATCCTGGGTCTACAGGTAAGTGCTTCATTCACACGCACCTTGAACCACGAGGGGTGTCTATCCTGGGTCTACAGGTAAGTGCTTCATTCACACGCACCTTGAACCACGAGGGGTGTCTATCCTGGGTCTACAGGTAAGTGCTTCATTCACACGCACCTTGAACCACGAGGGGTGTCTATCCTGGGTCTACAGGTAAGTGCTTCATTCACACGCACCTTGAACCACGAGGGGTGTCTATCCTGCGTGTATCTCGATCCATTTTCCACCACGAACCGATACCCGTGCCGCCTCGCGTATATCCTGAAGGAGGGAGATGGAAAGACGGGCGATACTCTTAAGGAATAAGGGTTTGTGGTCAAGTTCGCATTGGTTGTGTGGTGGCAGCATGGTTGCTCACACATGCCTTGATGCTGATGTGGTAACACACATGCATGCACACATAATGACATTGCAGGAGCACATACTCACACGTCGACACTGTAACACACACACACAAACACCGAACCATAACACACACGAGGTGACTTTTGAGTCCACTCAAAAGTCACCTCACCATAACACACTCGGACACATACGATGATGTTATACACGTTGACGCATGCATGCACACACCATTATACAAACATACTCACATGTTGACGGCCAGAGCCACCCAAATGGGCATCTTCAGCTGATCCTCATTCCCATCCGCGCCCACCACCTTAGGCAGCCACAGGGTGACAACATGTGCACATGTCCCAAAAAAAAAAAAAAAAAAAAAACATGTGCACATGGTAACACGTACTCACATGGTAACACGTACTCACATGTTGACGGCCAGGGTGACCCAAATGGGCATCTTGAGCTGATCCTCATTCCCATCCGCGCCCACCACCTTAGGCACATATGCACCCATGTGCACATGGTAATACGCACTCACATGTTGACGGCCAGGGTGACCCAAATGGGCATCTTCAGCTGATCCTCATTCCCATCCGCGCCCACCACCTTAGGCAGCGCACCATTTACTCACATGTTAACACCGTAACACACACACATACCATGCCGTTACACAACCGTACGCACATGTTGATGGCCAGAGTGACCCATATGGGCATCTTGAGCTGATCCTCATTCCCATCCGCATCCACCACCTTAGGCAGCGCACCATAGAACCTCCGCCACTCCTCAGACATCCCCTTTCCGCCCTCTCCTCTCCCCTTTTCCGTCTCCTTCTCATCCTTCCCCTGCCCCTCATCCTTCCCCTGCCCCTCATCCTTCCCCTGCCCCTCATCCTTCCCCTGCCCCTCATCCTTCCCCTGCCCCCCATCCTTCCCCTGCCCCCCATCCTTCCCCTGCCCCGCATCCTTCCCCTGCCCCGCGTCCTTCCCCTCTCCCCCATCCGTCCCCTGCCCCTCAGCCTCTCCCCCTCCTTCATTCAACCGCCTACCCCACCCTCCCCCGTACACACCCCACTCCCCATCCCTCACCCCCCTCCCCAACCTCCCCCCTGCCACCTCCCTCTCACTCCGTTCCCGCATCTTCCCCCTCCGCCCTACTCCTCCCCCATCCCCTGCCCCCGTTCCTACACCCTCCCCCCCTCTCCCCTCTCCCCCTCTCCCTTTCCCCCATATCCCTTCTCCCCCCAACCTTTCCGCCTCCGCTGACTTTCGCGTTGACTCAGAAGTCTTCTTCCCCTCCGCCCCCAGGTCCCGCAGGAGCCGCGCTACAGCCGCCTCCACTGGCTTTTTAGGCGGCCCCACCACCCCCGTCGCCTCCGCCCCCAGGTCCCGCAGGAGCCGCGCTACAGCCGCCTCCACAGCCAGAACCCCCTCGGGGTTGTAGCGCGAGTCGAGAGTGAGAATGCACCCGGGCCGCTCCCACTCCGCTACAGGCAACCGCACCGAAGGGGAGAGGTTCCATAGCTGACTGATGTCCGACCGAGCCTGAGGTTCGGAAACGGAGGTTGGGCATAGAGGGAAGGAGAGGTGTGGAGCTGTAGGCGCAGGGAACGAATCCCGATATTTTTTCTGTGTGGTCCATGATCCGAAGAAACCGTACGTAATTTCCCGTGAAATCGTTGCGGTTGTGCAGAGTTGATGTTCGTTTTTTTACAGGAAACTGCAATCGTAACTGGCGAGGTACCTGAATCCGACTGACTGAAGGTTACTATAGGCAGCGAATTCGAATATTTATCGCGAGCTGACCAGTGCTTGCATTGGTGCGCACCTGTGCGGGACGGTAGATCGCATTGTCGGTGCGGAACAAGGCAAGCTGGTGGTTCGCATTGGCTCGCGTTTTTATGTTTGACCGCCAGAATGAACCCGTAACCCGGTATATCGTAGTAGTTCGGTACGCAGCAAGGCGGTTCTGCTGCACCTGTGGTAACCCACGTGTTTATTCAAGCAGGAGTTCGTGCGAAATCGGAATTCCTCGGCACAAAGGCACGATGCACTTTGTCACGACCTGATTGGTTGGAAGGTGGAGCTTTCAAGGTTCCCACGAAGTGGCGAAGAAAATATGTGGAGTGAAACACATCCCGAACTTCTCCCACACGCCGAATTTCCGGGATTTGTGATACAAGCGAGGCATCAATGGGCTGATTTCGCAGCCAAAGGGCCGAAGCCCGCGATTTCACCTAGCTAATCGGTTAGTAGTAGTAGGCTATTGAAAATTCCACTCACTTGGTTAGTAGTGGCGTTCATGCACAGCACGAAAACGAGAGGCACGAGAAGGCCGACCGCGCAGCCAACGATCCATGGCCGCGATTCCACCACACTCGTGGCGCGGCCTTTCCGGCATTCAGGCGTCCCATAACCCGTTTTTTGCGGCGAATCTAAACCGTCCCATTGTCCCTGCAAAATCTTCAATTTCTTCCTCCAATCCAGCAGAGTTTGCGAGATACTAAATATTGCCAAATCTTGATCCTGATCCCCATCCGAATTTCGATCCCAACGCCTGGAAGCCCGCGAGCCGTCTTTCCCCCCTCTGAGTATTGTTTCCGTTTCGGCAGCGTTCCGATCGCTCGCAACTCCAATCGCAGGATAGGTATCCGCTTCGACGTCCTTCCCTGATGGGACATCATGAAGCACACTCTGAGTCTCGACGCATCCAGACTCCGGTGGACGTTGAACGTCCGAGGCTTCATGGCGCGAGAATTCGTCAGTCTCGAATCCACCCATCAATGTCGGAAGCCCACACACAAAGAAACACTGAAATTCGCTGCTCGTCGAACGAACGGATATACGAATTGGCTCACAAAGAAACAGTCATAAATTGGCTCGCGCGGCGGCTCTTGCAAACGGCGCGAGATGCCGCAGAATCAGCGATGAGACGAAGGAGTAAATGCGTGCGCAGGTCCCTAGTCGCAAATAGGCTGTCGCCGATACGAAAGTTATCCAAAACCCTGCCAAAAAAGGGCCGCTCAGAGTACCTCCGAAGGCCGCAACGGAAATCACTACGCGAGCTAAGGGTTGGCTCGAACTGAACTTTATTCGAACCCTCACACCGACTGACTGATGATACTACTGTAGTTGTTGTTCCTGGGCTGATTCCTTACCGCCGTGTCTGAGATGCGGCTGCCGACAAACGTCAGACTCAAAGACAGACATCCGAGGATGTCGAGAGAGCTGAACCGTAAGATCTTGGACCTTCGACATATCCGACGGTTCACCTCCGTCAACGTTCCACTTCAGAGAAATCACAGTCCTTGGGAGCGGTCGAAGAGGAGCCTGGCGGTTGGGACGGAACAACCGCCGAAGGAGCAACTGCAGTCTGCAGGGAACGACTGCTGCAAGGAACGACAGCAAGAAAGATACTACAGCGAAATGGTGTATCACATGCGGTGTTTCACGCGTCATCCGCGATATACACACATCGCACGTAAACACGTGTGTGATAGACAACAAAACTCAAAACACTTTCAACTCATCAATACGTATAAAACGAGTGCGCAATGGTTCAACTGCATAAGCACATCACAGCAATATATGTTCATCTATAACCACAACATCATCTATCACTACTGATTACCCGTAGCAATATACAAGCGTCGGGAAGATACATGCGCGTGCGCGAACTCGCACATTAGGCGTTCGATGAGGACCAAAGCTTTCAGGAAGAGAGAGTGATGATATGAGCCGCCACCCGCTCACTTACTAGCCTCTCACGCAGAGTGCTGAGCCGGCCTGTCAACCGCAAGCCACGCTTCTCCGGGACACGGCTTCCCCCGGGACACGTTTTTTCAATCGTCTTAAGACTCGATTTGGGGGCGTCTCAGAAGCCGCAGGACACGCGTCCCCGTGACACGGGTTCTCCAGCCACGATTCCCCAGGCAGTCCACTTCAGAAGGCTTATGTGAGCGCCCTCTCACTCCCGAGTCTACTGTTAGCCAATGGCGCCACCCGCGCGGGCCGCCGTTCCTGACGCGACGGCCGCGCGGCATCTAACGGTCGACGGCGACGTGGGGCTGTCAGACGACGCGGCTCGGAGCCTCGCGCGCGGGTTCTTCCTGGGAGGTTTCCTGCTGCTGCCCTGGCTGTGGTTCGTTAACTGCTACTTCTTTTGGCCCGTGCTTCGTTATAACGCCGGCCACGATCCCCAGCTCCGATCCTGTGAGTATTCACTCCATATCCACCCACCTTCCCCCCTTTTCCACCTTCTTGGCCTATCCTGTCTTCCCCTCCCCCCGCTCCACCTTCTCAGACCACCCTGTTCTTCTCCCTTCCCCCTTTTTCACCAACCTTCTTCCTCTCTTCCCTCTCGTCCCTCCTCCCCTTCACCCCCCCTTTTGCCGCACACAGATATGCCGGGGTTGACCGTTGGCAGCAGTGTTGCCGATTCTCCCTTCCCCCACTCTCTCCCTGCCCCTTCTTCCTCTGAACTTCTTCCCTGTGCCCCCGTTCCTCCCTTTTTTCCTCTCATTTTTCCCATCTTCCCCCTCTCCGATTATCCCCCGTTTCTCTCGCTCTCTGAATATTTTCCCCCGATTTCACCCCCCTCTCCCTGTCCACCTTCCATTCGCATTCACAGACGTGGTGGGATCAGCCATTGCCTGCATGTGGCCTTCTCCCTCCCTGCCTTTCCTCTCTCTGAACCTCCTTCCCACCCTCCCGTTCTCCCTGTTTCCGCTCCCTCCCGCATTCACAGACGGGGTGGGATCAGCCATTGGCTGCAGTGTCGCCTTCTCCCCCTCTTGCCTCTTCCCCTGATTTTCCTCTCAACCAACCCAATTTTCCCGTTTTCTTCTCCCCATTCTCCCTTTTCCCCTCTGCCCTTCCAATTCAGACGTGGTGGGATCAGCCATTGGCTGCAGTGTCGCTTTCTCCCTCCTTGCCACGTCTCCCTGAACCTCTTTCCCCCATTTCCGCCCCTCTCCCCCCTCCATTTGTTCTTGCAGACGTGATGGGCTCAGCCATTGGATGCAGTGTCGCATTCTCCCTGCTTGCCTGCTGGTCGCTAGCGTACTCTCTAGGAGGGGAGGCCCTATTAGGGGCTGACACGTGGCAGAAGCTAGCAGTGTACAATATAGTGGATGGCATCTTGTAATGTTACTATTGTATTGTCTGCTGCATAGATATCAACTTGGTTATCTAGGAGGGGATCTAGGGGGGAAAAGGAGGGTGGGGAGAGGGAGGGGGAGGGTGGGAAGGAGGGGGGGGGAGGAAAGGGGGGTGGGGGAGGGGGTATCAAAGGCTGCAAGGTCGCTGAGCTGCATTGTGTATAGCATGGGGTAAATGCGGTTTCGAATCTACATGAATGTAATGTACACCCATGGAGATATAATGAATCATTTTGGCCACTTTGGGCTGGTACCCAAACTTCTATCCTTTCTTACCGGTATGTGCGAGATAATTCGAATAACTGCACAAATGTTCCTTGCATGTCCCTCCTGTGCTACATTTTTCTGCTTCTGCATCTGCTATGCACCATATTCTCCTATGGTATCAGGTGCAATGTTGGTCTCATGATCTCATCCCTTCCCATCTCTCCACACAGCAGCCTTGTGAAGCAGAGCCAGCCAGTCAGCCCCCAGCCCTCCCTTGCCCTGCCCTGCTTTTCCACGCCCCCAGCACCACAGCTCGCTTCAACACACCAGTTGCTGCAACACACCTCACAACTTTCGACGGGATGTGACATCTACTTTTGTGACAGCCCTCTCCTTATCGCTGCTTTTCTAAGAAGAGCCAGCCGGTCAGCCCCCAGCCCTCCCTTCCCCTGCCCCGCCTTCCACGCCCCCAGCACCTCTGCTCGCTTCAACACATCCCCTCCCTTCCCCCTCTCCCCCACTTCTTCCTCCCCTTCCTTTTGAGATTGATCAGGACTGGCATACCCTTCATTCCTCTTCCGTGCTCCCTCCTCCACCTCTTGCCCCTCGGCCTCTCCCCCCTCTCCTTCCCCAGGCCTAGAATCACCTAACCCAACTTGCCCCTCCTTGTTTGCTACTCCCCCCTCCTTGAACCCCCCTTCTCCTTCCTGTTCAGCATCCGACTCACTAACCCCAGTCCCACCCTCTCCACTTCTACCCTCCTCGGTTAAACCTTCTCCAGTTCTACCTTCGCCAGTCTCATCACCTCCCCGCTGCCTCTCCACCTCAGACGAAACAGAAACCCCTGCCGTTTCACCTGCCTGCTTCTGTGCCATGTCAGCACCCGCTGCTGCTGCACGCGCCAGCTGCATGGCCAGAGGCCCGAGACGGGCGGCGAGATATGTCTGCTTCTGGTGGAAGTCCGACAGGCACTCCCACTCAAAGAAAGGTATCTGCGGTGGAGAGCGGTGGAGGGAGGTAGGAGAGGGTTTAACATTGACACGCAAGGGTAAAAAACATTCCAGTGGTAGCAATAGTGTTTCGTGCGTTCAATTCAATCCTGAGAGCAAACGCCAATCAGACGGGCAGGGCAGGGCCAGTCAAACAGGGCATTTGGAATCAAGGGACGAGGGGCGCGAGTGAGAGGAGGCAGAGAGGAAGAGGGAAGAGAAGAGGGTGAGGGATGAGGGAGAAAGATCCGATTTACATTCACTGATATTCCCATATATGGTGGAATTATTACTTTTCTACACCCTGCAACCTCATATGAGCAACCTACCACCAACAGACATTTCAGAATTCTGAACAACCTCAAGCCACAGAGCAACCCATCTGGATCACATAAAGCCAACAAAACCATCCACCTGAACCACCTGAAGCCAACAGAACCACCCATGAACCACCTGACGCCAACAGAGGAACTCACCTGAACCACCTGGCACCAACAGAGGAACTCACCTGAACCACCTGGCACCAACAGAGGAACTCACCTGAACCACCTGGCACCAACAGAGGAAATCACCTGAACCACCTGGCACCAACAGACTAACTCACCTGAACCACCTGGCACCAACAGACTAACTCACCTGAACCACCTGCCAACCTCGGCAGCGCAGCAGCCTGGCCTTGAGGCGAGTGGGACCCAGCGGCACATGCTGCTCATGGTGCTGCTCCTGATGCTGCTGCTGCTGATTGTGCTGATGAGGGTGCTGCTGAGAGTGCTGCTGATGCTGCTGCTGCTGATTGTGCTGATGAGGGTGCTGCTGAGAGTGCTGCTGATGCTGCTGCTGCTGATTGTGCTGATGAGGGTGCTGCTGAGAGTGCTCCTGATGCTGCTGCTGCTGATTGTGCTGATGAGGGTGCTGCTGAGAGTGCTGCTGATGCTGCTGCTGCTGATTGTGCTGATGAGGGTGCTGCTGAGAGTGCTGCTGATGCTGCTGCTGCTGATTGTGCTGATGAGGGTGCTGCTGAGAGTGCTGCTGATGCTGCTGCTGCTGATTGTGCTGATGAGGGTGCTGCTGAGAGTGCTGCTGATGCTGCTGCTGCTGATTGTGCTGATGAGGGTGCTGCTGAGAGTGCTGCTGATGCTGCTGCTGCTGATTGTGCTGATGAGGGTGCTGCTGAGAGTGCTGCTGATGCTGCTGCTGCTGATTGTGCTGATGAGGGTGCTGCTGAGAGTGCTGCTGATGCTGCTGCTGCTGATTGTGCTGATGAGGGTGCTGCTGAGAGTGCTGCTGATGCTGCTGCTGCTGATTGTGCTGATGAGGGTGCTGCTGAGAGTGCTGCTGATGCTGCTGCTGCTGATTGTGCTGATGAGGGTGCTGCTGAGAGTGCTGCTGATGCTGCTGCTGCTGATTGTGCTGATGAGGGTGCTGCTGAGAGTGCTGCTGATGCTGCTGCTGCTGATTGTGCTGATGAGGGTGCTGCTGAGAGTGCTGCTGATGCTGCTGCTGCTGATTGTGCTGATGAGGGTGCTGCTGAGAGTGCTGCTGATGCTGCTGCTGCTGATTGTGCTGATGAGGGTGCTGCTGAGAGTGCTGCTGATGCTGCTGCTGCTGATTGTGCTGATGAGGGTGCTGCTGAGAGTGCTGCTGATGCTGCTGCTGCTGATTGTGCTGATGAGGGTGCTGCTGAGAGTGCTGCTGATGCTGCTGCTGCTGATTGTGCTGATGAGGGTGCTGCTGAGAGTGCTGCTGATGCTGCTGCTGCTGATTGTGCTGATGAGGGTGCTGCTGAGAGTGCTGCTGATGCTGCTGCTGCTGATTGTGCTGATGAGGGTGCTGCTGAGAGTGCTGCTGATGCTGCTGCTGCTGATTGTGCTGATGAGGGTGCTGCTGAGAGTGCTGCTGATGCTGCTGCTGCTGATTGTGCTGATGAGGGTGCTGCTGAGAGTGCTGCTGATGCTGCTGCTGCTGATTGTGCTGATGAGGGTGCTGCTGAGAGTGCTGCTGATGCTGCTGCTGCTGATTGTGCTGATGAGGGTGCTGCTGAGAGTGCTGCTGATGCTGCTGCTGCTGATTGTGCTGATGAGGGTGCTGCTGAGAGTGCTGCTGATGCTGCTGCTGCTGATTGTGCTGATGAGGGTGCTGCTGAGAGTGCTGCTGATGCTGCTGCTGCTGATTGTGCTGATGAGGGTGCTGCTGAGAGTGCTGCTGATGCTGCTGCTGCTGATTGTGCTGATGAGGGTGCTGCTGAGAGTGCTGCTGATGCTGCTGCTGCTGATTGTGCTGATGAGGGTGCTGCTGAGAGTGCTGCTGATGCTGCTGCTGCTGATTGTGCTGATGAGGGTGCTGCTGAGAGTGCTGCTGATGCTGCTGCTGCTGATTGTGCTGATGAGGGTGCTGCTGAGAGTGCTGCTGATGCTGCTGCTCCTCAGTAGTAATTCCAGACGTGCTTATAGTGAAGTGTGATGGCCCGTCAGCTTCCACTGCTATCTTCAGAATACGCCTCTCCCTCCTCCTAGAATCACTCCTCTTAGAGTCACTTTCTGCAGATGCCGGGTGTGGGGCGAGCGGCAACAGGAGGGCGAGGTCGATGCTGTAGTCGCCGTCTCGGTACTCGAGGGTGTGGGGGAGGTGCATCTGGTGCAGGGCGCAGCTGATGTCCCGTTGAAGGCCTGACACCTGCAGCTTCTCTGCCTCGTGGGCCGCCTCCCAGCACGCCTGTGGTAGGGGGCAGCACACAAGAATGAAGGTGTGTGCATAGGGTGTGGGGGAGGGCGCTGCTGATGTCGCGTTGCAACCCTGACGCCTATAGCTTTTCCTCCTCGTGAGCCGCCTCCCAGCACGCCTGTTGTTAGAAGCACATACGTGGGTTACAAGCACACAAACAGATGAATGCGTGCAGGTGTAAAAGTGTGTGGGGGAGGTGCATCTGGTGCAGAGTGCTGCTGCAGGTGATGCTTCGACTTTTGTCCCACATTGCCTGCTCTCCTCCCATGCATCACCACCACCACAGCACTTGGCCTTCCACGGGTAGAGAGGGTGTTTTTGAGACGTCTCAAAAACACCCTCTCTACATGCAGGTGCAGCAGGTGATGCTTCGACTATTGTCCCACAGCCCCTGCTCTCCTCCCATTCCTCACCACCACCACAGCACTTGGCCTTCCCCCCCATCCCTCCCTTCTTCCCCGCCTCACCTTCGCCTGTTGCCGCATAAACCCCGACAGACACAGGTGGGTGCTGTAACCACCAATACGACTCGTCCCTCTCCTCCTTTCTGGTTGTTTTATGCTCACCCCCCACCCCACCCCCACCGCCTCAGCTTAGCCTGCAGCCGCACGAATCCCGACAGCCACAGGTGCTGCAAATACCAGTACGACTCGTCCCTCTCCTCCTCCGCCTCCTCCTGACACGTCTCAAAAGCCTGCTGCCTTCCCACCGCCTCACCTTCCACTCCCCCCCTCTCCCCCTTCTTCCTCGCCTCACCTTCGCCTGCTGCCGCACAAACCCCGACAGCCACAGGTGCTGCAACCACCAATACGACTCGTCCCTCTCCTCTTCCTCCTGCTCCCTTGGTTCTCCTGCTGCTCCTGCTCCCCATCTTCCCCATCCCCCCCTATCCCCCGTTACTGCCTCACCTTAGCCTGTTGCCGCACAAACCCCGACAGCCACAGGTGCTGCAGATACCAATACGACTCGTCCCTCTCCTCCTCCGCCTCCTGCTGCTCCAACTGCCCCTGCTGCCCCTGCTGCTGCACCTGCTGCTCCTGCTCCCCCCACTCCCCGTCTCCCTCGCTCCCACTGCCACTCGTGCTCCTGCCAGCATCAGTCATCATGGCGCCCATGCCCCCCTCCACCAGCCGAGTGTTGTGCTCCGGTGCTTCCAGCTGTGTGGCTAGATCGACCTGCACGTGGGAATGCGAGGGAGGTAAATGCAGGATGGGAGGAGGAGAGAGCACCACCCCCCAGCAGCATCAGTCATCACGGCTCCCATGCCCCCTTGTACCAGCCGAGTGTTGTGCTCCGGTGCTTCCAGCTGTGTGGCTAGATCGACCTGCACGTGGGAATGCGAGGGAGGTAAATGCAGGATGGGAGGAGGAGAGAGCACCACCCCCCAGCAGCATCAGTCATCACGGCTCCCATGCCCCCTTGTACCAGCCGAGTGTTGTGCTCCGGTGCTTCCAGCTGGGTGGCTAGGTCGACCTGAGGAGGAGAGAGGAGGAGAGAGGGAGGGAGGGAGGGAGGGAGGGAGGGAGGGAGGGAGGGAGGGAGGGAGGGAGGGAGGGAGGGAGGGAGGGCAACAGAGCTCATGGCAGGCGAGAGGGAGGAGGAGAGAGGAGCACTGTCAGCAAGCAACCCTCATGGCTCCCATGCCCCCTTCTACCAGCCGAGTGTTGTGCTCCGGTGCTTCCAGCTGCGTGGCTAGATCGACCTGTAGCAAGGGAGGGAGACATGGGGAGGGAGTGAGGAGTTCAGGGACCGCTCCCTGCATCCCGCATCACACTCATGCCGCCCTCAGTGCAGCGAGGAGTGCGTTGTGCTCCGGTGCTTCCAGCTGCGTGGCTAGGTCGACCTGCATCAAGGGAGGGAACCATGGAGTGTTCAGTACAATCACAGTGTGATTCAATTCAATCTCCCTTCCTGCCACCAGCACCACTGCTCCCAGCATCCCTCATGGCTCCCATGCCCCTCTCCACCAGCCGAGTGTTGTGCTTCGGTGCTTCCAGCTGGGTGGCTAGATCGACCTGCGAATGGGTTAAAGAGGGAAGTACATGTAGGATGGGAGGGAGAAAGGCCAACCCCCCCCAGCATCCCTCGTGACTCCCAGCATCAGTCATCATGGCTCCCATGCCCCCCTCCACCAGCCGAGTGTTGTGCTCCGGTGCTTCCAGCTGGGTGGCTAGGTCGACCTGTGGGCGAGGGAAAAAGGCGTTTTCATACAGTCAAATTGGATGTAAGAAGGGGGGCCCACGGAGGGAGGGAGGGAGGAAGGTCGGGAGAGAGGGAGGCAGGGAGAAAGGGGGAAAGAGAGAGGAACTGCTCAGGTGCCTATGCACTGTGCATGTGTGCTTGTATGCTGTGCTTTAACCCCACCTGGTACCGCTGGCACAGCTCAGAGGAGGTGAGATTGTTGGGTGAGCGAGAGAGAGCAAGTGTATGTGCATGGGTAGGCACCCCCTGTAGCCTGTATGTGCATGCCTGTGTGTGAGAGTGCATGTTGGCGCTCTAACCCCACCTGGTTCAGCCCACCAGGCAGAGTTGGCAGAGCTCATTAGAGGTGAGGTCGCTGGTGAGAGGGAGCAGGTGGTGGCGCAGGATGGGGAGAGCGATGATATGTGCGTGTGCCACAGCCCACCTGGTTCAGCGCACGTGCAGCTTCCCACCAGGTAGAGTTGGCAGAGCTCATTAGAGGTGAGGTCGCTGGTGAGAGGGAGCAGGTGGTGTGCAGTGTGTGTGTGTACGCACGCGTGTGTGTGTACGCACGTGCGTGTGTGTACGCACGCGTGTGTGTGTACGCACGCGTGTGTGTGTACGCACGTGCGTGTGTGTACGCACGTGCGTGTGTGTACGCACGCGTGTGTGTGTACGCACATGCAGCTTCCCACCTGATAAAGTTGGCACAACTCATTCGAGGTGAGGTCGCTGGTGAGAGGGAGCAGGTGGTGTGCAGTGTGTGTGTGTACGCACGTGCGTGTGTGTACGCACGCGTGTGTGTGTACGCACGTGCGTGTGTGTACGCACGCGTGTGTGTGTACGCACGCGTGTGTGTGTACGCACGTGCGTGTGTGTACGCACGTGCGTGTGTGTACGCACGCGTGTGTGTGTACGCACATGCAGCTTCCCACCTGATAAAGTTGGCACAACTCATTCGAGGTGAGGTCGCTGGTGAGAGGGAGCAGGTGGTGTGCAGTGTGTGTGTGTACGCACGTGCGTGTGTGTACGCACGCGTGTGTGTGTACGCACGTGCGTGTGTGTACGCACGCGTGTGTGTGTACGCACGCGTGTGTGTGTACGCACGTGCGTGTGTGTACGCACGTGCGTGTGTGTACGCACGTGCGTGTGTGTACGCACGCGTGTGTGTGTACGCACATGCAGCTTCCCACCTGATAAAGTTGGCACAACTCATTCGAGGTGAGGTCGCTGGTGAGAGAGAGCAGGTGGTGACGCAGGACGGGGAGAGCTGGGCTGAGAGAGGCAGCTGTGAGTTTGCGTATGTGTGCTGTGTGTACGCGTGTGTACACGTGTGTGCGTGCAAGCAATTGTTCCCACCTGGTAGAGTTGGCAGAGCTCATTAGAGGTGAGGTCGCTGGTGAGAGAGAGCAGGTGGTGGCGCAGGATGGGGAGAGCTGGGCTGAGAGAGGCCGAGGGGGAGAGGGAAGAGGAGGAGGAGAGAGAGGATGGGGAGTTGGTGGTGATGTTGGTGGTGGAAGGAGGAGCAGTGGATGTAGGAGCAGCAGCGGGTGTGTCGGTTTGCCCATGCACGACGAGAGCCCATGCGAGCATCACCAACGCCTGGCGACCAAACTCCTGCTCGCCTGCCCGCAGTGATAGACGACGGATGATCTGCAGAAAGGGGGAGAGAGGGAAGAGGATGGGGAGTTGGTGGTGGTGGTGATGTTGGTGGTGGGAGCAGAGGCACCAGAGGGTACGTCGGTTTGCCCATGCACCGCTAGAGCCCATGCGAGCATCACCAGTGCCTGGCGCCCAAACTCCTGCTCGCCTGACCGCATGGCCAGACGACGTATGATCTGTGGAACGGGGAGAGAGGGAAAAGAGGACCGAGAGAGGAGTGTGGTGGTGGAAAGGAGGGGAGCACCACGAGAGCCCAAGCTAGCATCACCAGCGCCTGGCGGCCGAACTCCTGCTCGCCTGCCCGCACTGCCAGACGCCGCATGATCTACACAAAGGGGAGAGATTAGAGGACAGGACAGAAGAGGATGGAGGGGAGGGTAGCATGAGAGGGCCCATGCAAGCATCACCAGCGCCTGGCGGCCGAACTCCTGCTCGCCTGACCGCAGTGATAGACGACGGATGATCTGCGAGGGGGGTCAAGGGGGAAGAGGGAGGAGAGGAGAGAGGCGAGGAGGGGAGAGGAGGGGGGGGATGGAAGAGAGAGGAGAGGAGAGGAGAGGAGAGGAGAGGAGAGGAGAGGAGAGGAGAGGAGAGGAGAGGAGAGGATGGGAAGGACAAGGTGTTGACAGAAATGTGGTGGTGGGGGAGGGAGGGGCAAGAGAGCCCATGCGAGCATCACCAGTGCCTGCTCGCACTGCAAGACGACGCATGATATGTGGAAGGCGGAGAGTGGGAGAGGGGGTAGAGAGAGGAGGGAGAGGAGAGGAGGGGGAGGCTGGGGGGGTGACAGCAAGGTGGTGGTGCGAGGGGGAGGCGCAAGATAAGAGCCTGGCTGGACCACATGTATGCTTCTAGTTTGTTTACTAAGTGACTCACAGCACAGCAGAGCAAGGTGGTGGTGCGAGGGGGGTTCGTATACTAAGCGACTCACAGCACAGGGAGCAGAGCAGAGCAGAGCACAGCAGAGCAGGGCAGGACAAAAAGCACCACCCACCTCAGATTCAACGCGTCGGAAGAGAGGGGGGGCAGCGTGGCCAATCAGAGCAAAGGCGAAGGCCAGGCAGGCAATGGTGCGGCCGGCGTATCTTGGCATGTAGTGGGTGGCGTGGGCGGCAGCGGCGGAGAAAAAGGGAACGTCGTAGTGACTCTGCGTTGCTAATGCCCTGCGGGAGTAATTTGGGAAGGAGAGAAAGTGGAGCAGAGGAAGAAAGATGGTGCGCTGATGCTGTGCCGGCGGTCATTGAGAATAATAGTTATATATACAATAGGCCTGCTACAAAGGAAATGGTGTGCCAATGCTGTGCCACCAACGGCTTGAGGTGAGAAGCTAAGAATCGTAACCACCAGGTACCGTACCCCCTAAGCTTGAAATGTCTCAAATTCGACTTGAGAGAATGGAATACGCAACCCGGCCCACCAGGCAGTGTAACCATCATACAATGCAAAGTGCCTGACCATCTAGACGAAACCACCCAATGGCCCAAGGATTCAAATTCATGTCGGGAGTAGCAGCAAACCAAGAGAAAAACGCTTAAGCACTAGGATCAAGACTTGTAAAACTTGTTCCTAGATATTCAAGAAGATCTCCATGCAAAGTGCCTGACCATCTAGACGAAAGCACCATGCATTTTGGCAAGTCTCTCAACGCAGCGCACCACACAGCACCAACTAACACGACACAGTACCTCACCACACCATGCAGCACCACACCACACAGCACCGCACCGTACCACGCGATGTTGGCAACAGCCTGCCCAGATACAGCCTCCCTCTCCAGTTTCCCGCCCACGATTCGCCTCGTGCTCTCCTCCCCCACTGCCTCTAGCAACTGCTGGCTGCGGTGCCCTGCTGTGGCGTACGCCCTGATTCAGATGGGGCAAAGGGAAAGGCGGGAGGAGGGAGGAAAAAGGGGCGTGGTAAGGTGCACTCACAATGTGCCTCGTGCTCTCCTCCCCCACTGCCTCTAGCAACTGCTGGCTGCGGTGGCCTGCTGTGGCGTACGCCCTGTCGAGAGAGGGGGGCAAGGAAGGGAAAAGGAGAGTGCTTTTCTAGGTGCACACACACGCATAGTTCGCCTCGTGCTCTCCTCCCCCACTGCCTCTAACAGCTGTTGATTGCGGTAGCCTGCTGTGGCGTACGCCCTGTATAGCGGGAAGGAGGGAAGTTGAAGTGTGGTCTGTGCTGGTCTAGTGAGGTGCGCTCACTCTTTGACTCCTGCTCTCCTCCCCCACCCACTGCCTCTAATAGTTGCTGGTTGCGGTGGCCTGCTGCGGCGTACGTACGCCCTGTGGTGAAGGGAAGAAGTCCAATGGAACATCAGTTTCGTTTGATTACTGTACCAGCCAAGCAATAGTTACGCAATCCTGTACCATGCAGCATTGAGATAGATAACAACACAATGCAATATTGAGAGATTACTGCGCCAGAAAAAGTTGAGGAAATTATCTACCATACAATACAATATTGCCCGATGACTCCACAATGCAGTAGTGATATTGACAGATTACTGTACCATGCAATGTTAGAAAGTGACTGTGTGGAGTGTTGTTGTATCGAGTCGATAACCCGCGGCACAAAGAGTGAAAACAGGTTTGGAGAGTTGACGTTGAGACGAGCGAATGCCCTGAGCGGTGCGAGGGGGGAGTGAAGAGGGGCAAAGAGGAGGGGGAGAAGGGCGAGGAGGGTTGAGAGAGGAGTTAGAGGAGGTTGGAGCGCCTTACTACTAGCATCATCAAGAGTGCAAACACGTTTGGGTAGTTCACCTTCAGAGGAGTGAGGGAGATTCAGAGGGGGGGGGGGTGTTGACGGGCAAGGAAACGAGGAGGGGTGAGGGAGAATCATAAGAGGCAGGGGGAGTGAGGGATATTCCAACCACAGAGTGCAAGTGCAAACACTTCTGAAGAGTTCACGCGCTGAGGCAAGCGCATGCAATGAGAGGGGTGCGCAGTGAGGGGTGAGGAAGAGAGGAGGAAGAGGCCCAGGCCCATCCGAAGCCTACTCCACCTCACTCCTCGCACCACTCCAAAGCCCAATCCACCTCACTCCTCGCACCACTCCAAAGCCCAATCCACCTCACTCCTCGCACCACTCCAAAGCCCACTCCACCTCACTCCTCGCACCACTCCAAAGCCCAATCCACCTCACTCCTCGCACCACTCCAAAGCCCAATCCACCTCACTCCTCGCACCACTCCAAAGCCCAATCCACCTCACTCCTCGCACCACTCCAAAGCCCACTCCACCTCACTCCTCGCACCACTCCAAAGCCCACTCCACCTCACTCCTCGCACCACTCCAAAGCCCACTCCACCTCACTCCTCGCACCACTCCAAAGCACACTCCACCTCACTCCTCGCACCACTCCAAAGCCCACTCCACCTCACTCCTCGCACCACTCCAAAGCCCACTCCACCTCACTCCTCGCACCACTCCAAAGCCCACTCCACCTCACTCCTCGCACCACTCCAAAGCTCTAAACCGCAGCAGAGGAGGGCGAGTAGTGCATTGCTCTCTGCTTCTTACGCAGCAAAGGCTGAGGAGACGAGAGGGCGGCTCACCAGAGCATGTTGGAAATGTCTTGCGACTCAAACTCTGGTGCGTTGCTCTCGGCCCAGGAAGCCAGGGCACGAAAGAGAGAGTCGTCTGAGTGGTGCAGCTTGGCGAATGACCTGCGAGGCAGGAGAGGCGAGGAGAGTGTGCGTGGGAGGGAGGTGAGGAAGGTGATCAGAGGCCAGTCCGGTTCAACTCTTGGGTCAAGAAAGGCAGGGTGAGGAAGAGAGGATTATCTGAGTGGTGGTGCAGCTTGCCATGCCATGCCATGCCATGCCGTACCATGCCATGCCATGCCATGCCATGCCGTACCATGTCATGCCATGCCATGCCATACCATGCCATGCCAAGCCACGCCGTACCATGCGATGATGGCGAGCTGCGGTGCACTGTAGCTGCTCATGTCAGAAAGGACAAGCTTTGCCGCCTCGCGGAAGAGCAGGTGCGAGTGCAGCCCCACTCGTGCATGTGCCCTGCAATGCATGGGGGGGAAGGTGAGGAGGGGGACACAGACATGGACACACATGCACACACGCAAGCACATACATATGCACACACATCTATACACACACACATGCACACACTCGAGAGGACGCAACAGGATGGACACATGGACAGTGGACACAGGACAAGATGGCCACTTGGACAGAACAGGGCAGTGTGTACAGTGCAGCGTGTACAGTGCAGGGTGAACAGTGCAGGGTGAACAGTGCAACGTGAACAGTGCAACGTGAACAGTGCAACGTGAACGATACCAGAGTTTCTCCTTGACGTGGTGTGGCTGGTAGCAATGCAGACAGCCACTCACACACTTCCAGTGCAATTTGAACAGCATTATGAAAATAGTGCAGTATGAAATAAACAACATTATGAAAATAGTGTAATATGAGCAGTACCAAAGGATCTCCTTGACGTGGCGTGGCTGGTAGCCGTGCAGCGAGCCAATCACGTGCTCCCACGTCAGCCGCCCAAGCAGGTCCCGCGACAGGCTGGCGTTGACAGCTGGCAGGCTGGCGGTGGAGCCAAGGGCGTGCATCTGAGAGGGGGGAAGGGGAATCGGAATGCGGCTGTTGATATACATGCGAATGCTTCTGAGGTGAGGGGTTAAGGCTGACAGGCTGGCGTTGGCAGATGGCGGGCCGGCAGTGGAACCAAGGGCGTGCATCTGAGGGGCAACGGAAGGGAAAACAATGGATGAACAAGAGTGTGAAAGAGACAAAGGGACGGCTTGGCATGACAGCGTGTAATCATGTACATACATACAAACGCATACAATCACACACCCACACGCACACTCACAAACATGCACACGCGCACGCGCACACACACTCACACACGTAGCAGGGATGCTGCGCCGTGCTTATTGTTCAATTAACCATTACCAACTCACACACGTAGATGCACACACTCATGACCGCACCGCACACACACACGTGCACACACTCATGACTGCACGCACCAATATGGCCACCTCCAGTGGCTGGAAGGAGTTGATGTGAGCGAGAGATGCTGCCATGATGGTGTTGAGCAGAGAGGGTGGGGTGTGCTGTGCTGATACCCTCACGCACACTCATGCACGCACCAATATTGCAACCTCTAATGGCTGGAAGGACTTGATGTGAGCGAGAGATGCTGCCATGATGGTGTTGAGCAGAGACGGTGGGGTGTGCTGTGCTGATACCCTCACGCACACTCATGCACGCACCAATATTGCAACCTCTAATGGCTGGAAGGACTTGATGTGAGCGAGAGATGCTGCCATGATGGTGTTGAGCAGAGACGGTGGGGTGTGCTGTGCTGATACCCTCACGCACACTCATGCACGCACCAATATTGCAACCTCTAATGGCTGGAAGGACTTGATGTGAGCGAGAGATGCTGCCATGATGGTGTTGAGCAGAGACGGTGGGGTGTGCTGTGCTGATACCCTCACGCACACTCATGCACGCACCAATATTGCAACCTCTAATGGCTGGAAGGACTTGATGTGAGCGAGAGATGCTGCCATGATGGTGTTGAGCAGAGACGGTGGGGTGTGCTGTGCTGATACCCTCACGCACACTCATGCACGCACCAATATTGCAACCTCTAATGGCTGGAAGGACTTGATGTGAGCGAGAGATGCTGCCATGATGGTGTTGAGCAGAGAGGGTGGGGTGTGCTGTGCTGATACCCTCACGCACACTCATGCACGCACCAATATTGCAACCTCTAATGGCTGGAAGGACTTGATGTGAGCGAGAGATGCTGCCATGATGGTGTTGAGCAGAGAGGGTGGGGTGTGCTGTGCTGATACCCTCACGCACACTCATGCACGCACCAATATTGCAACCCCTAATGGCTGGAAGGACTTGATGTGAGCGAGAGATGCTGCCATGATGGTGTTGAGCAGAGAGGGTGGGGTGTGCTGTGCTGATACCCTCACGCACACTCATGCACGCACCAATATTGCAACCTCTAATGGCTGGAAGGACTTGATGTGAGCGAGAGATGCTGCCATGATGGTGTTGAGCAGAGACGGTGGGGTGTGCTGTGCTGATACCCTCACGCACACTCATGCACGCACCAATATTGCAACCTCTAATGGCTGGAAGGACTTGATGTGAGCGAGAGATGCTGCCATGATGGTGTTGAGCAGAGAGGGTGGGGTGTGCTGTGCTGATACCCTCACGCACACTCATGCACGCACCAATATTGCAACCTCTAATGGCTGGAAGGACTTGATGTGAGCGAGAGATGCTGCCATGATGGTGTTGAGCAGAGAGGGTGGGGTGTGCTGTGCTGATACCCTCACGCACACTCATGCACGCACCAATATTGCAACCTCTAATGGCTGGAAGGACTTGATGTGAGCGAGAGATGCTGCCATGATGGTGTTGAGCAGAGACGGTGGGGTGTGCTGTGCTGATACCCTCACGCACACTCATGCACGCACCAATTGCAACCTCTAATGGCTGGAAGGACTTGATGTGAGCGAGAGATGCTGCCATGATGGTGTTGAGCAGAGACGGTGGGGTGTGCTGTGCTGATACCCTCACGCACACTCATGCACGCACCAATATTGCAACCTCTAATGGCTGGAAGGACTTGATGTGAGCGAGAGATGCTGCCATGATGGTGTTGAGCAGAGAGGGTGGGGTGTGCTGTGCTGATACCCTCACGCACACTCATGCACGCACCAATATTGCAACCTCTAATGGCTGGAAGGACTTGATGTGAGCGAGAGATGCTGCCATGATGGTGGTGAGCAGAGAGGGTGGGGTGTGCTGTGCTGATACCCTCACGCACACTCATGCACGCACCAATATTGCAACCTCTAATGGCTGGAAGGACTTGATGTGAGCGAGAGATGCTGCCATGATGGTGTTCAGCAGAGACGGTGGGCCGTGCCCCAGCTCCGCCTGTGCCCTGAATCAAGGGAGTCAACGCATGTCAACGGGGGTCAACGGGGGTCAGCGGGGGTCAACGGGGGTGGAAACCATCAGCCAACGAGGGAGTTGCGAGGCATTAATGAGTCTCATTTCATAACAGCATGCTGCAGCGGTGGAATGTGCTGTGCCCCAGCTACGCCTAAGTCCTGAACTCAGGAAGCTCAATGGGGTCAAAGAGGTCAAAGGTTCAAATCTTATCAACTCCAACCCCGAGTAAAACCCCAGAACCTTGAAATTTCAAGTCCAAAACCCCAACTCTTGAACCACGTCAACAGAGCATTGCCGCCCACCAGTAGTGGAAGATAGAATGAAAGTCAACGGAAGATGCGACATGCGCTCTTGAGACGTGCACAGTGCACCACAGCTCGTGCCTAAACTGAACCCACACCAGCACCCACCCACTCACCCACCATCCCACCCCACCCCACCCAACCCAACCCAACCCAACCCAACCCAACCCAACCCAACCCAACCCAACCCAACCCAACCCAACCACCCACCCACCATCCCACCCATCCATCCATCCACCCACCCACCCAAGCCCCACCACACACTCACCATGCCACGTTCGCCAAAGCCTGGCCCTTCAGTCTGCCGCCCTTTGCCAGCGCCTCCACCTGCCGCCCGAGCCACCGGACCGTTTCGTCCTCTTTGAGCCGGTCCACGAGACGCCGCCCGCCGCCCATGCGCTTGGCGTGCTTGGCAATGCGGTGGAATGCGGTGCAGATGTGTACAGGGGACAGACCTGTGCTTGCCTTCCCTTCCTTTTGGCCCTTCACTCGCTTAGAAGAAAAATTCCCCTCTTCCCCTCTAACTTCTCCCCCTCCACCCTCCCCCACCTTACCCTCCCCCACACTCTCGTCTTCCCCTCTCTCCCCACCCTTTCTCTCCTCACCCCATCTCTCCTCCCCTCTTCTATCCCCCCGCACACCGCCTCCCACACTCCCTCTCATCTCCTCCTCGTTCTCTCTGTGTGCTTTCACCACGGCCAGCAGTTCTGCCAACGTGGCGCGATACGATAGGACGTTCATCAGCCGCTTGCCGTCCAGCGCCGCCCAGCTGCGCAAGTCATCATTGCTGGGCGGCATGCTGACGTCACTGTGATCAGGCGGTTTGTGGCGTCTTGCCGCTTTGCTCTTGCGACTGCTGCTGCTGCCACCCCCGCCATCCCCGTTGCCAGTTCCTCCGCTGCCACTGCTGCTGCTGCTCCGCCGTTCATTCCGCTGTCTCCCCCTGTCCCTGATCGCGCTACCCGCTATCTGCTCACTTAATCCTGTGTCCGCATTCTGCGCGATACTGGCCTGGAACCGACCAATAAGAACGCGAGATGTTCTGCCTGCAGCATACCTCTTGCCAGTTCCCCCTCGCAGGATTTCCGGCGGTTTGCTTATTCTGGTGAACTTCAGAGATGTCGCGACGGTCGGTAGCACACTCAACGACCCGGCGGGGCTCCGTGCGACATTTGGGCTCGTGAATTTAGTCAGCGACTGCATCTGCGACGTACGGAAGATGGACGTGGGACAGGGAAGCATGAAAAACGCGACGCGCGCCAAGAGAACCCTACGAATGAGACTGTCAGCCACTAATGGATAACACTAATACGAAATACTAATAACGCAGACTCGTCTCGTACTGGACAGCATCTCCATTACAGATGCTTAGAATTCATATCTGTCAATATGCCATGAACTAGCACTTCGTTTTATCGAAGAAGAGAAATTTGATAGCAGTGCTGAAAACAAGCACTAATAAATAGTGGATTCGTTTTATCGAAGCGGATTTACCGAAAACGAGCTCTACCCGTACAGAGATCAAGACGAAACCGCTGACCCGTTTTCCCAGAGGGAACAGGCTGGCCGTCGGGAAAACGTTTGGCTTGATGGATTTGGTCCTACACTGCCGTCGAACGCGACAAGCACTACCACTTACGTGGATTCGATCAGGCGACGAGTTGTCAATTGGTCATGTGCCAGCGCAAGTGACGTTTTGTTTGGTTAAGCGTTAAGACTTAAACTACAGCGGGCGTCCTTCAGGTTCTCGTCTCGAGCTTCAGGCTGTCCTCAATTATGAAGATATGGTTGGTATCCATACTGATGCGATTTCAAAACTCCATAGGTCCCCTCTTGCGGCAACCACGTTGACTGTGCGCTACCGAACCTTGCTTACAAGCCTCTCCCACCAAACAGGGCTTAGCTGGCTTGAACCAAACCTCTAGCTTCGGAAACTGGCCAAGCGGGAAATTCAAATGGTAGCGAGTCGAAAACGGGTCAGCGAGCCGGTTGTCTGGTTCGGCTGCTCGGTTCGGATAAAAGTTCCCACCCAACCAGTGCCCCACCAGTTTTGGAACCAGCTCACGTTTTAGGAACCACGTTTTAGGGGCACGCTGCATTGTTTACTTCCACCACCAACAAATTCCTCATCGTCCCGCCTCTCCCTGTTTGTGCAGCAGTCGCTTTCTAAACAGCCCTGCGTATCTGTAACCAGACCAGAGCACCACTCCTTGAGTGGCATTCCCTCCCTCCATGGAAATTTTGGTTGACGATTCCAGGTCTTTTCTCCAACCACCCAGCTTCAACCCTAGCAGCAGTGAACAGGACTACCCGCTCCATTACTCGCGAACGCCCTTCAACTTCGAGCCGCCCTCGACGCATTCCCGGCCTTCTCACAACTTACCCCCGTCGTCGAATAAACTTCCCGAATCGGCCGCGAATCTTTTTGTCGTAGGCGGCGCGGCCTCCATGGCGAGCGCGTCGTCCGTGCCGCCGCGTCCCTCGCGGATGAAGCAGCCAGGACACAGGCGAAGCCACTCCGACGGCTTCCAGCTGGACCCCTCACTCGTGATAGCCCCGAATGGGACTCTGGCAAAGGGTGGCGGCGGCGGCGGCGGCAGCGGTGGCGGCGGCGGCGCGGGCGGGATGGAGTTCTGGAGCATCGAGGAGGAAACCTCGTCGCACAGCGAAGAATCTTTTCATTTGCCAGGCTCCCACTATACGCACAGCCGCCACAGTCACACTCAAGGTCATGGCAGCGGCGCGCCGCAGCAGAAAGATAGGTCATCGTCGTTATCGTTCGAGAATAGAGATGAAGAATATGGCGCTCAAGGCGGTTCGAGAGACGGCGAGGCGACATCGAGAATGCAAAATGTAGCCCCGCTTCACAAGCCACGTCAGCAACAGCCGCAGCAGCAGCAATACCAAGACCAGCAGAAACAGTTCAATCAATTCCACGACCAGCAACAGCAGCACCAACATATGCCCCCAGCATATCGCTCCCCTGCGCCCTCCGTCCCCACAAGTCAAGGCGGAATTCCCGGCTCGGAACGGCGACGGTCCAAGTCGCCGCTCCCGACCGGTAGAGTTGCCGGCGTGCCGCATGTGCGGCCGCTCGAGGTCAGCCGGCCGCCCAAACCCAACGGCCCGCGCCATCGTCGCATTCGATCCGAAGATTTCTCCTTTTCGACTTTTTCCCCAAGCAGCCCGTTAAGTGGGGCTTCCGGGTCCCCTGTTAAGTCTCCCGTCGGGACCTCTTCGCGAAACTCGCAAGAGCCCCAACAAAACTCCAGCAGTCGCCTGCGACAGTCGTCGCCGTTACAGGGATCGCAGGAATGGGCGGGAGCGACGGGACAGGAGCAGTACGGTCCAAGCCCGGGAACTGGCAGAGCCACGTCAGCACAGACGCAGCAGGCGCAGGGTAGGGCGTCGCATGGCGGCGCTTCGTCAGGCTCGCCGGGGGATTGGGCTGACATGGATTACGGTGCCGCGATAGTTGAGGGTGATTCGGAAGGGTCCGCCGCGTCGCAGGGTGGAACCGGAGTGCCGCATATGCCCGCAGAAGAGGAACATAAGGAAGGTAGCGCCGATCAGCGGTTCACTACGAAATCGACGGCAGGGGGCAAGGGCGCGACTGAATCGGACGGTCACGGTAGCAGCGGCGGGTGGGGCGGGTTATGGTCGCGGCGCCAGAAGCAGACTAATAGCGATCTGCAACCTTTGAATACTGCAGCCTCTAAGTCCCCTACGCCTCTCAGCATTCCCCAGTCGAGCGCGAAAACGCCGCCTGCCGGTGGTGCGACGAGCCCTATCCTCTCTTGGTTCGGCGCCGGAACCGCCATCACGCCTACAGGCTCGGCAGCCGGTTCGGAAAACTCCCACGATAGCTCGCACCCGGTCTCGCCGCACCAGGCTCTACCAGCCCAGAGTCCTAAGACGAATTGGTTCGACAAAGGCTCGGGACTAGGTGTGGCAAAGACGAACTCGTTACAGACTTCCCCGCAACTGTCTCCGGTGACTCCGCCATCAAGTAGCGGCGGAATGCTCTCCTGGTTTGGCGGCGCAGGTCACGGCGGAAGCAGCGCTACGCACACGACCGCGTCTAGCGGTGGCGCATCTCCGCAACAAACGGCGGGCTACAGTACCGGCAGCGGCGGCGGCGGCGGTCTTGCGTCCTGGTTCGGCGGCGGCGTCGCTGGCGGCGGATCACCTTCGTCCGGACCGCCTGCGAAGGGGAAGGGTCATCGCCGTTCCTCTAGTGTCCCCGTCGTACCGAACGTCGTTCCTGATCCGCGTGCCGGACCGGGCGTATCGCCTCTTGGTCCCAGCGCTGCCAGCGGCGGCGGAGGCGCGAATTCGAAGCTGCTTTCCGGACCGCGTGGAAGCATGTCGCGATTAGGAGGCGGAGTTGGCGGCGGTGGCGGCGGCGGTGGAGGAGCAGGAGGGTATGGAGGGAAAGGCGGTATGGTGATGAGTACTGGCGGAGTGGTTAGTTTGAAAGGCGGCCTGAAAGTGAATCTTCCAAGTTCTAGCCCGTACGGGAGCCCTTACGCGAGTCCCCGAAATCCCCCGGGCGCGGCGGGATTTGCCTCCCCGTACACGCAAGGGGGAGGGGGAGGCTCGCGGAAATCGATGACTCCGGGGGGGTCGCTTTGCGCAAGCCCGCGCACTGTAGCGGCGCAAAGCGAGCGGGATCAGGCGAAACTGGCGGAGATTCAGAGCATGTTTAGCAACTGGAACGCGGGAACTCCCTTGCAATCCCCGCGAAAAGGTGCTTCCAGAATCGTTTCCGGCGTCCCGCTAAGAACGCCGCAAGTGAGCGAGTATTACAGAGAGGACGGGGATTATGAGGTGGAAGAAGAAACACCCGAAGTTCTCGGTCCGTCGAACTCGAATGTTTTGGGGAAACCGTATCAGGATTTGGAGGATAAATACAAGTTGTCGCCGAAGGAGCTTGGGCGGGGGAACTTCGGCGTGATTCACGTGTGCGAGAATCTGGAAACGGGCGAGCGATACGCGTGCAAGACAATCACCAAGGCTAAGCTCGAGGTACGTTCTAACGAGGCTAAGGGGGGATGTTGGTGCTGACGCAGATCATGTGAGGGTCAAAGCACGCGCAAGGTGAGTAGCATGTGGGGCAGGTATATTTGGGCGGCAAGTAAGGGCCGCACTGAGTGCATGGGTGGCAAGGTGGAAGGGAGCGCGTGAGGTGAGAGGGAGGAGGGATGGGTCGCAGGGGGAGAGCGGAGGAGTGAGGGGCGGAAAAGAGGAGCGGAAGAGGAGGTCGCAAGGGGTGGTCACGGGAGGTCGAGGGGAGGACAAGGGGATAAGTCTTTTGTTGAGAGAAAGCAAGAGCAGTGAGGTTGGGGTAACACCTTGCTATGTGAAATAACTTTGCAATACATGTGAATAGCAAGAAGGTGATTCAGCATGTATTGCATGCTCATGTGTATGCTGGTGTGTGTGTGTTTTAATGGTCATCAGCCTTCATCCACCATTGCATTTATGCAGGCATGCCACATGCACACAAATTCATACACTAACATTGGTCCATTCGTGCGCGCATTTGTCAGATGCGCGTGTACATTGTGCCACATTCCACTTTCTATATGACTTCCCAAACCCCATTCGCCCTGCAGTGTTGGGATGATGTGGACGATGTAAAGAGGGAGGTGCATGTGCTCGAGACGCTCCGGGGACACCCCCATGTCGTCTCCATTATCGAGACCATTGAAGATGAAAAGGTGAGCACTTGCATGCACTTACAAACAAGGCATACTTTTTTCCAATCTACATTAAACAAACAAGCAATTGGTCAATATGGAGTTATTTGAAGGCGGAGAGCTGTACGACCGTATCCTTAAGCGCAAGTAATCATTCTCCTGTGAGAGCAGCCAAGGTAATTCGGTCGGTGGTGGAGGTCCAGGCCTTACCATACTCTCCCTCTCCATGCATTCCCTCCCCCCTCCCTCTCTCCTCTCCCCTGTCTTCCCTTCCCCTCCCCATTCTTTCTCTTCCCCGTCTCAGGAAGTGCACATCATCATGGAGTTGTGCGAAGGAGGAGAGCTGTTTGACCGCATTCTCGAGCGCAAGTGCTACGGAGAGAGGCACGCGGCCAAGGTGATCCGCACCGGTCGGTGGTGGAGGTGCTGGCCTTCTCATCCCCATTGCCTGCTGCCCCCCACTCCCCCCCTTTACCAGGAAGTGCATATCATCATGGAACTGTGTGAAGGGGGAGAGTTGTTCGACCGTATCCTCGAGCGCAAGTACTACGGAGAGAGGCAGGCGGCCAAGGTGATTCGGTCGGTGGTGGAGGTGCTGGATTACTGCCACCAGCGGGGCATCGTGCACCGCGACTTAAAGCCCGAGAACATCCTGCTCGTGTCCAAGAGGAGCGACACCCGGTGCAAAGTGATCGACTTTGGCATGGCCTACTGCCTCAAGCCAGGTGAGGGTTCTGGGAACGCAGGAGCGGGAACCGGGAAAGCTTGTAAAGGGGATGAAATGGAATGGACCGAACGAGCTGGAACACCCAATGACAGGCGCCTGTGGAGGTCTGAAACAGTTGTGCCTATTTTGAGCCACCTAAAATACACACCCAATGACAAGAGCCTGTGGAGGTCTGAAACAGTTGTGCCTATTTTGAGCCACCTAAAATACACACCCAATGACAAGAGCCTGTGGAGGTCTGAACTGAAACAGTTGTGCCTGTTTTGAGCCACCTAAAAAGCACACCCAATGACAAGCGCCTGTGGAGGTCTGAATCAGTGATGCCATGGCTTCTGGCTTCTGGCTCCAGCTGCCACCAGCTGCATTGAGGTGTATTTTGAGGCGCCTCAAAATACACCTGAATCAGTGATGCCATGGCTTCTGCCTCCAGCTGCCACCAGCGGGAGATAATGTGCCGCAACTTAAAGCCCAAACGCATTCTGCTCTGCTCTTCCAATCTGAATCAGTGATGCCATGGCTTCTGGTTCCAGCTGCCGGCTGCCACCAGATAATGTGCTGCAACTTAAAGCCCAAACGCATTCTGCACTCCCAAATTCCAATCCCAGCTCAACTCTTTGCCCGCTGTACCAACCCCCCTGCCCTCCTCCTCTCCCCACGATCCGCTCCCAATCCCCTGCAGGCGAGCGTTGCAAGCTAAGGGCCGGAACGCCCAACTACATCGCCCCAGAAGTCATAGCCAAGAACTACGGAGCAGAGGCCGATCGGCTCGGCTCTTTGCCCGCCTTACCAACCTCCCTGCCCTGCCCCCCCCTTCCCCCTCCCCTCCTCTTCCCCTCTCCCCGCCCCCCCCCCACGATCTGCTCCCAATCCCCTACAGGCGCGCGCTGCAAACTGCTGGCCGGAACGCCCAACCCAACTACATCGCTCCAGAAGTCATAGCCAAGAACTACGGCACAGAGGCAGAGGTGTGGAGCGCGGGAGTCATCCTTCCCTTCCCCTTGTCTTACCCTTTCCCCCCCGTCCCCATCCACCTCCCCCAGGCGAGCGCTGCAAGCTGCGTGCTGGCACGCCCAACTACATTGCTCCAGAAGTCATAGCCAAGAACTACGGCGCAGAGGCCAATCGACTCCGCTCTTTGCCCGCCTCACCAACCCCCCTGCTCTCCTCCTTCTCTCCCAATTCCTTCCTTATTCCCTGCAGGCGAGCGCTGCAAACTAAGGGCCGGAACGCCCAACTACATCGCCCCAGAAGTCATAGCAAAGAACTACGGAGCAGAGGCGGACGTGTGGAGCGCGGGGGTGATCCTTTACGTGCTACTTTGCGGGTTACCCCCGTTTTGGGGGGATACCACGGAGGACGTGTTCAAGAGCATCTTGTGGCAGGAGCTGGATTTTGAGACGGAGCCATGGCCGGTTGTGAGCACTGCTGCTAAGGACCTGGTCAGGAGGATGCTGACGAGGAAATTCGACCGGCGAATCACGGTGTCGGAAATACTGAGTAAGTTGGGGGTTGGGCGTCAGTTTTGGGTCGAGGGAAGAGTGATTGGGTGAGAGGGGGAGAGCGAGGGGGAGGGGGAATGGGGAGGGGAGGGGGAGGGTGGGGGGGGGAGAAGAGGGTTTGTGGAAGGATGCAGGGAGTTGGTGGGAGCACCATGCACGGGCCTGCCACCACCAGGCCTTGTTCTCGTCTTCTCGTTTTGAGGCGCCTCAGAACTAGCCTGCCACCAGGCCTTGTTCTCGTCTTCTCGTTTTGAGGCGCCTCAGAACTAGCCTGCCACCAGGCCTTGTTCTCGTCCTCTCTTATTTTCTCCACAAGCCACGGTGGAGATTCTTAAAGACAAAAGATTTATGAATGAGTAACATCGTTCCCTCCGTCCCTACCCTTCCCCGCCCCCTCCCATGCTCCCTCCCTTGCCCTTTATAACGTAGTACTGGTAACTCTTGAACTCTCCATCCCTTCCCTCCACATCATAATACTAGACTCTTCTGCCCCCCCTTTCCCGACCTTACCCCTTGATTATTCTCTCCTTCCCTCACCCATCTCCCGTTCCCCCTTCTCCCCCCCACCCTCCCCCTCTCAGAGCACCCATGGATCAAGGCACTGACATGAGAGATTTTAGCAGGCTGATCAGCGAATCAACGGCTGAGAACATATTATGACAAGGCTGATGTCGAGAAAGGGGGGGAGGGGGAGGAGGGGGTATGATGGGTCTGAATATCCTCTCCTGTAACTTTGATGATGAGGGTGCCTTTTTCAGAATCGTTGGTCAAATTTTGAAAATAAACACCGAAGGATGTTCATCCATTTCTCCCGAGCCAAGCCTTGATAAAGCGATGTGAATTTGAACCAGAGTGCTGATACCTCTATGAGGAGCTACGTACTTGTTCAAGTTACCTTTCCCTATGATAATGGTTTCCTGGGTTTTACTCCACCCTAAACTCTTTATACCCAAAATGCTTAAAGCTGAAGTATACATTTGTCATCCAGGTTTTGGGTTTAGAAAGTCACCTCACGGTCTCACAGGCAAACTTTCAAATTTCAAAAGTTTTTGAACCCCTTCTGTCAAATGTATACGAAAGCTTTAAGCATACGAAACATTCCAATACCTGTCCACAAAGTGAGTGTTGATTTGAATCCAGCAAGTTTTATGTAGAACAAGCTTCAGGCTGCACAACACACGACCGCCTGTGGAAAGCATCTTCTGAAACCAAATCGAGGATTCTCCTAAGATCTGTGGGTCGTGACTGGTTCGAGACAATCGCGTGCGTCTCAACGTAATCTTCAGGTCTGCGTCGCTGACATCAACCGTCAAGCTTTCTGGCTGTAAAGCGCAAAGTGCGTGCTTGCGTGACAAGAAGATTTTTTTTGCAAGTGACTTCGCTTTGCCTTGCTGTCAAAGGATTTCAACAACTGTTGTGACGTTCCCAGAAGCAGAGAAGAAGAATTAACAAAACAAAACAAACTATAAATGTCGGGAAACATGTCCACATTCAAGCGAATTATTTTCTGTTGGCGTGATATGTGCTTGTTTTTCATTAGCGCTTGACAGTTCATACTAACCGAAGAAGGTAAATATGGAATGAACAAGCAAGATTGAGTCTGCCGAACAGTTGAGTGAAAAGCACATGGGCTGGATTTGGAACAGGCTGTCACGCGAAGCTGGCGTGGTGGCAATGAATAGTAATCAGGCGATGTGCAGCCTGGATTGCAAGCTGCGCGCACATGGTCTATCCAATCACCCCTAGTATCAACTCCCAGCAGCTGACCCGGCTTTTACGAAATTTTCAATGACCGTAGGGCGATAAAATGCAGCAGTTAGCAATTCTGATAAGGATTGCACTGCGGATGCCGAATGGTGAACGAGTTTCAAGGACCAAATTAGCTGCCCTTGTAAACGAACACCATCTGGAGGTGGGCAGCACACCGTGGTTGTATTTGCGGTGCGCAGAGTCAAAACGAAGGCCAGCTCCTCACCAATTCAATCCACGCTGGCACTGCCAAATCCGCGTTTCTTTCCGCTGTTTCGTCAAGTGCTTACGTGGGCAGCCCGGCAATTTCCCACGAGAAGGAAAGAGCGAAACAAAACGTTGCAGTCGCGAACCAACGGCCCCTGCTGTTCATGCCTCGCCGCTGCCCCCATGTGCATGCCATACGCACCCAATCTCCCCATCCCACCGTCAATCTCCCGACATTGCATTTTCCGCCATTACCGCTCCAACGGACCAGACTGGACACACCAGCCGCTAGACCCCAAATCACCTAGCTAGCAGGTAATGGCTGTACTGCTTTCCTTGCACGACGCTCCGATACCCTTGCCTTCATCACCCCATGGTTGCATCCTCCCTTTCCTCAACCCAGTTACTTTCCACAACTGCTAAAGACGTTCGCACTTGTCCATCACCAGTGTCTCCTCTCCTGATTAGTCACTCCAATCCCGAGATCGTTTCTCTCCTGTTTGAGTCACCCAGTCTTTTAAGTAATCGACCCAGGCAGAGAGACTGATACAGTCAGGTGAAAAATACAGAAATTTCTCGAACCGCGTTTCTTTCCTGACGCACTCCAGATAAACTAGACTCTGCCATCGCATGGCTGCAGCAGCCGCTAGAAGCTGGGAAGACACCACCGCGCCGCATATGAACAAGTACGCCATGTTCGCTCCCGGAACCGACCGCACCATCAGCAAGGAGGAATGGCGCCGCCAGCAGGCGACGCTGATTAAAGCCATCGACCCGGAATTCTCGGGTAGCCTCGTGTGCCCCGTTACCGTCCGCAACTGGCGGAAACTCGAGGAGAGCGCCGCGTCGTCAACTGCCGACAACGCGGCGGCAGACCTGTCGGATTTCAACGGCATGGCGGCTGCTACGGAAACGACGGCGGCGGCGGATAAACCGGCGCCTCCGCCGAGTGCGGAGGGTATCAGCAAACTATTACCCGCGTTCTGTGGCCTCCTCGACCCCCACGTCCTCGGTCTCCACCTTCGCCGATTATTCCGCGTCTGGCGCATCAAGCGCGTCGCTTTCCCCCAGTCCGCCTCCCCCGGGTGCGCTCGACGTTCCCCCTTCCCCCAGTGCCGCCACCGCACCCGCCACCGCACCCGCCACCGCACCCGCCACCGCACCCGCCGCCGCACCCGCCGCCGCACCCGCCGCCCCCGGTAGTACCGGCTCGTCGGCCGCCAGCTCCCCCGCCAACTCGGGGAAGCTCCCGCGCGCGCGCGTGTCGCTCGCGCAGCAGATTCGCGAGCAGCAGATGAACTCGGGCAGATTCAAACCCTTTGCTTCGGGCAGATTTCCCGAAGGGATGTCGGGCAGTGGACGGTTCCCCATGTCGCCCCTGGAACCGAATTCGGGGCCCAACTCGGGAAGGTTCTCCGCAGTTTCGCCTTCTTCCAGCCAGGGCAACTCGGGCGCGTTCCCCAGCCCCGCAGGGCACTACGCGACGAGATCGATGGGCGCGAACGGGGGCAGCGCAAGTGGGCCGCTCGCGATGGCGCAGCCGGCGGGGCTTTGGCGACAGGGCAGCGACGGGCATCGCATGGGCGGTGCGACGATGGAGCAGAGTCGCATGGCGGGTGCGACGATCAATACCATGCAGCCGGGCCAGCAGGCTCCGCCGATGGGTTTCTGCATGGGCGCGCAGGGCATGGGCGCGCAAATGATGGGCGGGCCCCCTGCGACGAGCCCTCCTGCGATTGGTCCGTCGCAGAGCAATAATATATCGCCGCGCGATATGATTCTTCTCCGCCCGAATAAGTGGAGCGGCGCCAACGTCGCCGATGCTCCCCTCGTCCCGACCTTCGGCTCGTCCGCCTTCTCCGATAGTTAGTTTCCCGCTCTTAAATACACATGGCAGGAAACATTAAGCGGTGTAGAATGAAAAGAACGCGATGCGGTTTATTCTGCTCCTTAACACTTTCTTTCCTGTGTGCTTTACTCCCCGCTACCCCTGTTCCCCTACCCGCAGCCGCATCGCAATGCTCAAGCCACGATTCTTTCGCCTCAACTCCTCAGCTCTCTCGACCCGTTCCGTCCTTCGCCTCGCGCCCGCCCAACACGGGCAGCTGGGATGGCAGCAATGCAGATGACGACGACGAAAAAGAGCTCGATTTCTCCTCAGTCCGCTCCGTTTGTCTCAATTTCGAGGAGGTTTTAGAAATCTCAGAGTCGAAAGAGTTTAACCGCGTGCGAATTGAGTCTATCGACATCGTCCCGCTGATTTCCGGGATGAAAAGCCCGTTCATGGCTGCAGCTGCAGCGAATCTTCCCGAGCACGTGCTGTTCGCGCTGACGTTTTCCGGGTCGGATGAAATTTACCTGCCCGGCGACGAGTCGATTTTGAAGCTTTTTCCGAGCCGGTATCAGACGAGGTACTGGGAGCAGGAGCGGCGGAGGCAGGAGGAGAAGGGTAAGAAGGAGACGAAAATGTGGCAGTCGTGGCAATCCCAAGGGAATCCGAATAAGCAGGAGCAGCAGGTGTGGCAACCGCCGCCGTCACCTCAACAGCAGCAGCAGCAGCAGCAGCCTTTGCAGCAACAGCAGTGGCAGCCGCAGCAGCAGCAGCAGCAGCAGCAGCAGCAGCAGCCGCAGCAACAGCAGTGGCAGCAGCAACAGCAGCCTCCGCAGCAGCAGCAGCAGCAGCAGCAGCAGCAGCAGCAGCAGCAGCAGCAGCAGCAGTGGCAGCAGCAGGGACAGCAGCCGCAGCAGTGGCAGCAACAGCAGCCACAGCAACAGCAGTGGCAGCAGCAACAACAGCAGCAGCTTTCACAACAACATTGGCAGCAGCAGCAGCAGCAGCAGCAGCAGCAGCAGCAGCAGCAGCAGCAGCAGCAGCAGCAGCAGCAGCAGCAGCAGCAGCAGCAGCAGCAGCAGCAGCAGCAGCAGCAGCAGCAGCAGCAGCAGCAGCAGCAGCAGCAGCAGCAGCAGCAGCAGCAGCAGCAGCAGCAGCAGCAGCAGCAGCAGCAGCAGCAGCAGCAGCAGCAGCAGCAGCAGCAGCAGCAGCAGCAGCAGCAGCAGCAGCAGCAGCAGCAGCAGCAGCAGCAGCAGCAGCAGCAGCAGCAGCAGCAGCAGCAGCAGCAGCAGCAGCAGCAGCAGCAGCAGCAGCAGCAGCAGCAGCAGCAGCAGCAGCAGCAGCAGCAGCAGCAGCAGCAGCAGCAGCAGCAGCAGCAGCAGCAGCAGCAGCAGCAGCAGCAGCAGCAGCAGCAGCAGCAGCAGCAGCAGCAGCAGCAGCAGCAGCAGCAGCAGCAGCAGCAGCAGCAGCAGCAGCAGCAGCAGCAGCAGCAGCAGCAGCAGCAGCAGCAGCAGCAGCAGCAGCAGCAGCAGCAGCAGCAGCAGCAGCAGCAGCAGCAGCAGCAGCAGCAGCAGCAGCAGCAGCAGCAGCAGCAGCAGCAGCAGCAGCAGCAGCAGCAGCAGCAGCAGCAGCAGCAGCAGCAGCAGCAGCAGCAGCAGCAGCAGCAGCAGCAGCAGCAGCAGCAGCAGCAGCAGCAGCAGCAGCAGCAGCAGCAGCAGCAGCAGCAGCAGCAGCAGCAGCAGCAGCAGCAGCAGCAGCAGCAGCAGCAGCAGCAGCAGCAGCAGCAGCAGCAGCAGCAGCAGCAGCAGCAGCAGCAGCAGCAGCAGCAGCAGCAGCAGCAGCAGCAGCAGCAGCAGCAGCAGCAGCAGCAGCAGCAGCAGCAGCAGCAGCAGCAGCAGCAGCAGCAGCAGCAGCAGCAGCAGCAGCAGCAGCAGCAGCAGCAGCAGCAGCAGCAGCAGCAGCAGCAGCAGCAGCAGCAGCAGCAGCAGCAGCAGCAGCAGCAGCAGCAGCAGCAGCAGCAGCAGCAGCAGCAGCAGCAGCAGCAGCAGCAGCAGCAGCAGCAGCAGCAGCAGCAGCAGCAGCAGCAGCAGCAGCAGCAGCAGCAGCAGCAGCAGCAGCAGCAGCAGCAGCAGCAGCAGCAGCAGCAGCAGCAGCAGCAGCAGCAGCAGCAGCAGCAGCAGCAGCAGCAGCAGCAGCAGCAGCAGCAGCAGCAGCAGCAGCAGCAGCAGCAGCAGCAGCAGCAGCAGCAGCAGCAGCAGCAGCAGCAGCAGCAGCAGCAGCAGCAGCAGCAGCAGCAGCAGCAGCAGCAGCAGCAGCAGCAGCAGCAGCAGCAGCAGCAGCAGCAGCAGCAGCAGCAGCAGCAGCAGCAGCAGCAGCAGCAGCAGCAGCAGCAGCAGCAGCAGCAGCAGCAGCAGCAGCAGCAGCAGCAGCAGCAGCAGCAGCAGCAGCAGCAGCAGCAGCAGCAGCAGCAGCAGCAGCAGCAGCAGCAGCAGCAGCAGCAGCAGCAGCAGCAGCAGCAGCAGCAGCAGCAGCAGCAGCAGCAGCAGCAGCAGCAGCAGCAGCAGCAGCAGCAGCAGCAGCAGCAGCAGCAGCAGCAGCAGCAGCAGCAGCAGCAGCAGCAGCAGCAGCAGCAGCAGCAGCAGCAGCAGCAGCAGCAGCAGCAGCAGCAGCAGCAGCAGCAGCAGCAGCAGCAGCAGCAGCAGCAGCAGCAGCAGCAGCAGCAGCAGCAGCAGCAGCAGCAGCAGCAGCAGCAGCAGCAGCAGCAGCAGCAGCAGCAGCAGCAGCAGCAGCAGCAGCAGCAGCAGCAGCAGCAGCAGCAGCAGCAGCAGCAGCAGCAGCAGCAGCAGCAGCAGCAGCAGCAGCAGCAGCAGCAGCAGCAGCAGCAGCAGCAGCAGCAGCAGCAGCAGCAGCAGCAGCAGCAGCAGCAGCAGCAGCAGCAGCAGCAGCAGCAGCAGCAGCAGCAGCAGCAGCAGCAGCAGCAGCAGCAGCAGCAGCAGCAGCAGCAGCAGCAGCAGCAGCAGCAGCAGCAGCAGCAGCAGCAGCAGCAGCAGCAGCAGCAGCAGCAGCAGCAGCAGCAGCAGCAGCAGCAGCAGCAGCAGCAGCAGCAGCAGCAGCAGCAGCAGCAGCAGCAGCAGCAGCAGCAGCAGCAGCAGCAGCAGCAGCAGCAGCAGCAGCAGCAGCAGCAGCAGCAGCAGCAGCAGCAGCAGCAGCAGCAGCAGCAGCAGCAGCAGCAGCAGCAGCAGCAGCAGCAGCAGCAGCAGCAGCAGCAGCAGCAGCAGCAGCAGCAGCAGCAGCAGCAGCAGCAGCAGCAGCAGCAGCAGCAGCAGCAGCAGCAGCAGCAGCAGCAGCAGCAGCAGCAGCAGCAGCAGCAGCAGCAGCAGCAGCAGCAGCAGCAGCAGCAGCAGCAGCAGCAGCAGCAGCAGCAGCAGCAGCAGCAGCAGCAGCAGCAGCAGCAGCAGCAGCAGCAGCAGCAGCAGCAGCAGCAGCAGCAGCAGCAGCAGCAGCAGCAGCAGCAGCAGCAGCAGCAGCAGCAGCAGCAGCAGCAGCAGCAGCAGCAGCAGCAGCAGCAGCAGCAGCAGCAGCAGCAGCAGCAGCAGCAGCAGCAGCAGCAGCAGCAGCAGCAGCAGCAGCAGCAGCAGCAGCAGCAGCAGCAGCAGCAGCAGCAGCAGCAGCAGCAGCAGCAGCAGCAGCAGCAGCAGCAGCAGCAGCAGCAGCAGCAGCAGCAGCAGCAGCAGCAGCAGCAGCAGCAGCAGCAGCAGCAGCAGCAGCAGCAGCAGCAGCAGCAGCAGCAGCAGCAGCAGCAGCAGCAGCAGCAGCAGCAGCAGCAGCAGCAGCAGCAGCAGCAGCAGCAGCAGCAGCAGCAGCAGCAGCAGCAGCAGCAGCAGCAGCAGCAGCAGCAGCAGCAGCAGCAGCAGCAGCAGCAGCAGCAGCAGCAGCAGCAGCAGCAGCAGCAGCAGCAGCAGCAGCAGCAGCAGCAGCAGCAGCAGCAGCAGCAGCAGCAGCAGCAGCAGCAGCAGCAGCAGCAGCAGCAGCAGCAGCAGCAGCAGCAGCAGCAGCAGCAGCAGCAGCAGCAGCAGCAGCAGCAGCAGCAGCAGCAGCAGCAGCAGCAGCAGCAGCAGCAGCAGCAGCAGCAGCAGCAGCAGCAGCAGCAGCAGCAGCAGCAGCAGCAGCAGCAGCAGCAGCAGCAGCAGCAGCAGCAGCAGCAGCAGCAGCAGCAGCAGCAGCAGCAGCAGCAGCAGCAGCAGCAGCAGCAGCAGCAGCAGCAGCAGCAGCAGCAGCAGCAGCAGCAGCAGCAGCAGCAGCAGCAGCAGCAGCAGCAGCAGCAGCAGCAGCAGCAGCAGCAGCAGCAGCAGCAGCAGCAGCAGCAGCAGCAGCAGCAGCAGCAGCAGCAGCAGCAGCAGCAGCAGCAGCAGCAGCAGCAGCAGCAGCAGCAGCAGCAGCAGCAGCAGCAGCAGCAGCAGCAGCAGCAGCAGCAGCAGCAGCAGCAGCAGCAGCAGCAGCAGCAGCAGCAGCAGCAGCAGCAGCAGCAGCAGCAGCAGCAGCAGCAGCAGCAGCAGCAGCAGCAGCAGCAGCAGCAGCAGCAGCAGCAGCAGCAGCAGCAGCAGCAGCAGCAGCAGCAGCAGCAGCAGCAGCAGCAGCAGCAGCAGCAGCAGCAGCAGCAGCAGCAGCAGCAGCAGCAGCAGCAGCAGCAGCAGCAGCAGCAGCAGCAGCAGCAGCAGCAGCAGCAGCAGCAGCAGCAGCAGCAGCAGCAGCAGCAGCAGCAGCAGCAGCAGCAGCAGCAGCAGCAGCAGCAGCAGCAGCAGCAGCAGCAGCAGCAGCAGCAGCAGCAGCAGCAGCAGCAGCAGAGCAGCAGCAGCAGCAGCAGCAGCAGCAGCAGCAGCAGCAGCAGCAGCAGCAGCAGCAGCAGCAGCAGCAGCAGCAGCAGCAGCAGCAGCAGCAGCAGCAGCAGCAGCAGCAGCAGCAGCAGCAGCAGCGCAGCAGCAGCAGCAGCGCAGCAGCAGCAGCAGCAGCAGCAGCAGCAGCAGCCGCAGCAGCAGCAGCAGCAGCAGCAGCAGCATCAAGCAGCAGCAGCCCAGCCAGCAGCAGCAGCAGCAGCAGCAGCAGCAGCAGCAGCCAGCAGCAGCAGCAGGCAGCAGCAGCAGCAGCAGCAGCAGCAGCAGCAGCAGCAGCAGCAGCAGCAGCAGCAGCAGCAGCAGCAGCAGCAGCAGCAGCAGCAGCAGCAGCAGCAGCAGCAGCAGCAGCAAGCAGCAGCCAGCAGCAGCAGCAGCAGCAGCAGCAGCAGCAGCAGCAGCAGCAGCAGCAGCAGCAGCAGCAGCAGCAGCAGCAGCAGCAGCAGCAGCAGCAGCAGCAGCAGCAGCAGCAGCAGCAGCAGCAGCAGCAGCAGCAGCAGCAGCAGCAGCAGCAGCAGCAGCAGCAGCAGCAGCAGCAGCAGCAGCAGCAGCAGCAGCAGCAGCAGCAGCAGCAGCAGCAGCAGCAGCAGCAGCAGCAGCAGCAGCAGCAGCAGCAGCAGCAGCAGCAGCAGCAGCAGCAGCAGCAGCAGCAGCAGCAGCAGCAGCAGCAGCAGCAGCAGCAGCAGCAGCAGCAGCAGCAGCAGCAGCAGCAGCAGCAGCAGCAGCAGCAGCAGCAGCAGCAGCAGCAGCAGCAGCAGCAGCAGCAGCAGCAGCAGCAGCAGCAGCAGCAGCAGCAGCAGCAGCAGCAGCAGCAGCAGCAGCAGCAGCAGCAGCAGCAGCAGCAGCAGCAGCAGCAGCAGCAGCAGCTTAAATGACATGGTCACTTGTCAAGGTAACTGTACTGCAAGTGGCCTTTCAGGCTTCGGAGTGATCGCGTATTTGCAATATGGCCTCAACGTGAAGGACTTTCTTGATTCTTATATATAAACAAATACCCCTCAGGAAAATGGGCTGGTACCTTGAACTGGTCTGGGATGCTCTGAACATATTGCCAGCCAGCGGAACATTGGCTCCATTTAGTTTCTGGAATGCACAGTAGAGAGTGTTCGGCAAGCAACAATGGATAAATAACAAACTGCATGACGAAAACCTTCTCCAATGCCGATGTACTTCAATCAACCCATCATATGCTTCCATAAAAAGTTTTCCCGCACGTGTGGGGCTGAGCTCACAGCTCCGCTAGAATCACATCACAGTCAGGTCACATGCTGTCGACGTATACGTGCGGTGGAAAGTGCACTTCCGAGTAGAAATCTGGTTGGCCGTTGATATTCTGTTATGCCACCAAGCATGTGTCACACAGCTGCAAAATGATTCAGTCACGCGTCTGACTCAGCAGACAGGCAGACTTCTGCCGTGCGTGCCAATAAGCTTCACCCTTTTTCGAGTCGCCTAGTTCCATCCCAAACCATGCCACGGCTCTCCCTGCTGGTCTTGCCCGAGCCCCACTGGGTTTATCCTCCCCCCCTGTAACCCTATTGTGTGCCTATGTGGAGTAGCCGGATCTTCCCTCAAACGAAGCAGCGTGAACCATTGGACCAGGATAACGACGTGGCGTTATTCCTTGTCGGCTATATCCAACTTCCATCTCCATTTGCACTCCCAGCTCGCATTTCTGGCTTCCGGCGGGCAGGCAGCCAGAAGCTTGATGGCCCTGTTACCCTGGAAGCTGACCGCAAATATTTCCTCCTTGACAACCCTTCGCTACGCCACACCCAGGAGATGCAACGCCTCATCCACGCAGCGAGGATATACAGTTGCTAGAGGATCCCCCCTCCATTCTTCAACCTTTTCTTCCTTTTCCCACAGATTATGCAAAACATTCACATATCATGGGTGAGGGTCTGGGAACAGAAAACAAGTTTGACAAAAAAAATCAGGAACCGGGGTTTGGTATGGACTGTCCGCGAAATCCCCTTTCCAGAGAGTCCAAGACAGAAACAAACTTGTTGCCCATGGGCTGGGGTCGTTGAGTTTGGTCCGGTTTGCTGCTCTTGGCTCCCTGAGCGTCGCTCGCGCGGCAATCCCGATGTGTTATCCATCCACCAACCCAGCAATCCCTCCCTAGCCACGAGCATCAACACATTTCGCGCCCTTTTCTGTTTCCAGCAACGCGTAGTCCCATTCTGCTGCTCCCCTGCTGCTGCTACTGCTCTGCCACTGATTCTGGTTGAGAAGCTAAGGGATATTGTTGGAAGTGGTGGATTGGCGAAGCTTACTTCCAAGAGTGCTAGAAATCAACGTGTGAAATGCGCAGCGAATAGTCTAGTACGCCATCTCTGTGACGTCTTCTACCATAACGAGGTAGGCCTACTTCTTCTACGTTGTTTCATCTCCTGCTTTTCCTACATTTTGTGAAGACCAGAAGCTAGTTTCCATTGAGCCGCGGCGAAACGAAACTTGAAGCAGCCATTGTTGATATCAACCAACACGTCACCGCGTGGAGAAGCATAGACACCACCATGTCGAGCACCAACATATCACTTCTTATTTTGTTTTATTTTCTTAATGCTTTTGAAGCAAGTTGCCAGCTTCCACTAAGCTTGTCAGTGTAATCAGCTGCGCCTGTTCTTCCCTCTCGCTCTCTCACTCACTCGTAGCCATCAGTCTCCAGCTTACCTTTGCTGCAGTTTCTGTTACAGGCATACGAATTTTTTTTTGGCGTCGTGTGGCTCCATGGCCTGTGTTGCTATTCTCGCATTACGTGCGACTCATGCCTTTATGTCCCTCTGCCTACCTCGTTGGACACGTCCTTCCGTTTTCGTGCCATCTTTCCGATTGCAAATTTTTTTTTTCCGTCTTTCCCTTTTCTTTGTCAGCGTGCAGGTGCCTAAGCTCTGATATTTATCTTCCTCGAACACCCTTGAAGCACCTCACCTCGTCTCTGTAACCACACCACCATCACCCTCTTTCCGCCAGTAGAAGCCTACAGGCGACTGCCGACTCAACAGAGAGTAGTGGCTTCTCCACCGAAGAGTCTCGCAACTAGTTTCCATCAAATAGCTACCTAGTTACTGTTAGCTACTGGAGCAGTGTAGTCGCTCTAAACCACTAGGTGGAGGCAGGCAAGGGTTTCAGTATGGCAAGCCAAGAACCAGCTATGAGTTCCGCGACAATGTCGACCGCTGATACCAGCTCCCCCACCAACAGCACCCGCACCATGTCCACCGTAACCTCCGCCGCACCGTCCGCCGCGCCGTCCGGGCCGCCCGTGTCGATGAGCTCGTCGAGCGTCACGGGCACCAAGGCCCTGGCGAAGCGCGCCATCCGCGTCGCGCAGGCCGTCGCGGACGCGCGGCTCGACAGCGCGTACGAGAACGAGTCGGAGGGGTTCGACTATCACGACTCGGTCGAGGCCAGCAAGGGCATCACGCAGACGGACGGCGGGCAAAGCGGCGCGCAAGGCGGCGGGAAACCCGGCGGCGCGCCGGTCGCGTCGTACCTGCAGCGCATGCAGCGCGGCGGGTTGATCCAAGCGTTCGGATGCCTGGTGGTGGTGGAAGAAGCGACGTTTAACGTGCTTGCTTTTAGCGAGAACGCCAAGGACCTGCTGGGGCTGATCCCGAAGCCCAAGACGGAGGAAGAGCTGGAGGCGGAGAAAAAGGCCGCGGAGGAGGAGGAGCGGAAGAAGGCGGAAGAGGCGGCGAAGGCGGAGGCGGCAACGGCGTCCCCGAGCAAGGCGTCTCCTGCAAAGTCGGGCATTGGTGAGTTAAACGTGAAGTAAGAACCTTCACTAGGAGCCTGGTGAACCATTGGTTACTATAACGTGAACAACGAACCGGTTCGTTATTCTGAGCCGTCCCGAAACTCATTCGAAACGCCTCAAAACTCGTTCAGGACGTTTTGAAACGTTAACGTGTGTGAAGTACCAATCAGGTGCGCCGGTAGGGCGTTGGCGATTTTTACGTACTGGGAGGCTTGCGGGGCAATAGCAAGGCGCGCATTGGTGAGCGTAACGTGTAGGAAGAACCGTAGCTAGGAGCCTGGCCGGACATCAGTGAGTGTAACGTGTTTAAGAAACGGATTAGGTGCTTTGAGGCGTCTCAAAACCTTCGCGTGTACGAGGAACAGCGTTGAGGCGTCTCAAAGCGTTAACGTGTAACAGGAGCTGGTAGGGGCGTCAGTAGAGCATTGGTGAATGAAACGGGTTCGACGAACCATGTTTTGTAGGAGCCAGTCCGGGCTTTGGTTAGCGAAGTACGTAAGGGGGACCGGTTAAGCGCGCCAGTAGGGCACTGGCAGGGCGGGCGCTTAGAGATTCTCTCCCTGTGTTTGCATCGCTGTTCTCTCCCCCGCTCTCCTCTCGTATCCATTCGCCTCTCTGCTTCCCTTCTCCCTCCCTCCCGTCCCGCTCGTCTCTCGTCTTTCGCTTCTCACCTCGTTCCTCGTTTTCCGCGTCTTGTCTCCTCTACCTCTCCGTAATTTTCTTGCTTTTACTCATCCCATTTTCCCTCCCTCCCCGTTACGTCCCCTCTCCCCGTCTCCCTCTCCCCCTTTCTTCCTATCTATTACTTTCTCGCTCTTCTTAACCCCCCCCTCTCACCCGCCCAGGCCGCGCCTTCTCGTCCCTCAAGGACAAGATCTCCTCCGCGATTCGCGGGCACAATGCGGCAAGCTCCAAGCACTCCAAGGAGCGCGGACGCAGCGCCGGGCCTTCCGCGAGCTCGGGCGGGCGCGTGGGCTCCCCCGCGCGCTCGCAGTCCCCCTCGCGCAAGTGGCGCAGCGGGTTCCGCGCAAGCCGCCGCGCGGAGGACTTTGAGGGCGCGCACTCCAACCTGAGCAAGGCGGGGGACGCGGACTCCGCTCCGCCTGCTCCGCCTCCGCTTCCGCCGCTCCCCGTGCTCGGTAAGCCAAAAGCCAATGTCGTGACTTTCGAAAGGGCGGGAAGAGCATTGGGGGGAGCACTGGGAGGAGCATGGGGGGAAGCATTGGGGGGAGCATTGGGGGGAGCATTGGGGGGAGCATGGGGGGGAGCATTGGGGGGAGCATTGGGGGGAGCACTGGGGGGAGCATAGGGGGGAGCATTGGGGGGAGCATTGGGGGGAGCATTGGGGGGAGCATCCATGTCCATGCATACACGCACGCATGACGTCATCACACATCATGTTGTATGCGCTTGAAGAAGAACATTTACATCCATGCATGCATGCCATCAACATGCACGCATGCCATCAACATGCACGCATGCCATCAACATGCACGCATGCCATCAACATGCACGCATGCCATCAACATGCACGCATGCCATCAACATGCACGCATGCCATCAACATGCACGCATGCCATCAACATGCACGCATGCCATCAACATGCACGCATGCCATCAACATGCACGCATGCCATCAACATGCACGCATGCCATCAACATGCACGCATGCCATCAACATGCACGCATGCCATCAACATGCACGCATGCCATCAACATGCACGCATGCCATCAAATATATCGTCGTGTTTGGGGGTATCGTAACCATGCAAACACATGCGCGCTTAGAGTCGACTCAGCATACATCACACATGGCCGTGCGACATATGTGCACGCACATGGCTTTCTTCCCCCTATCACACCATAGTCCCCATTCCATCCCCTCCACCCTACCCACACCCCCCCAACCACCCCTCTCGCGCCCGTTTTCCTCCCGGATAACCTCCACTCTAGCCCCCCCTCCCTGTACTGGTAGAACTCGCCGTGTCGAACCGCCTCTCCTCTCCTCTCCCTCCCCTCTCCCTCTCCCCTCCCTCCCCTCTCCCTCTCCCCTCCCTCCCCTCTCCCTCTCCTCTCCCTCCCCTCTCCCTCTCCCCTCCCTCCCCTCACCCTCTCCCCTCCCTCTCCTCTCCCTCCAGATTTCGGGGTGGACGCGCGTGTGCTCTTTACTCCTGACAGCGTGACAGCCCTCGAGAAGGCAACAGGCGCGGCAGACCTGAGTATGATCAACCCGGTGTTAGTCGAGGCGGCAGTGTCGAACCGCGGGGACCACCGGCCGTTCTACGCCATCCTGCACCGCATCGACGTGGGCATCGTCATCGACCTCGAGCCCATCCGACTCACTCCCTCCCCCTTTTCCTCTCCTCTCCTCCCTTCCTCCCCTCCCTCCCCTCCTCTTTCTCCCTCTGCAGATTTCGGGGTGGACGCACGCTCCCTTTTTACTCCCGACAGCGTGACGGCTCTGGAAAAAGCAACAGGCGCGGCCGATCTGAGCATGATCAACCCAGTTCTTGTGGAAGCAGCTGTGTCCAACCGCGGGGACCACCGGCCGTTCTACGCCATCCTGCACCGCATCGACGTCGGAATTGTGATTGACCTCGAGCCCATCCGCGACGCCGAAAACATCTTCACCGGCGCCGGCGCGCTCCAGGCGCACAAGCTCGCCGCCAAGGCCATCGCTAGGCTCCAACGCATGCCGCCCGGCGACATGACCAATCTGTGCCAGGCTGTCGTGGAGGAGGTGAAGGAGCTGACTGGGTACGACCGAGTCATGACGTATAAATTCCACGAGGACGAGCATGGAGAGGTGCTGGCCGAAGCTAAGAAAGAATCCATGGAGCCTTACCTCGGCCTCCACTACCCTGCGACCGATATCCCCCAGGCCATCCGGTTTCTGTTCATGAAGAACCGCGTGCGGTGCATCTGCGACGCGTATTCCGATGAGGTGAAGGTGGTGAGGGATGAGGGGCGGCTCAAGCAGCCGGTGACGCTGGCGGGGTCGCAGCTGCGGGCGGCGCAGCGGTGCCACATCCAGTACATGCGCAACATGGGCACCACCGCCTCCATGACCATGGCTGTGATTATCAACGACGAGGACGCCGCACAGCCGGCCCAGCAGCAGGGAGCTGGCGGCGCTGCTGCTGCTCCCGCGCAGGCGAACCGAGGGAAGAAGCTGTGGGGGCTGGTGGTGTGCCATCATGAAACCGCCCGGTACCTCCCGTTCCCGCTGCGCCTGGCGTGCGAGTTTCTCATGCAGGTGTTTTCGCTCCAGGTGAATATGGAGCTTGAGATGGCCCGGCAGCACCGCGAGAAGGAGATGCTCCGCACGCAGACGCTGCTCTGTGATCTCCTCATGCGCGGGGATGCTCCCCTCGGGATTGTCTCGCAGAACCCGAATATCCGGGACTTAGTTAAGTGCGACGGCGCCGCGCTGTACTACGCCGGGCGGTTCTGGCTGCTGGGGACCACTCCCACTGAGATGCAGATCTTGGATATTATTGACTGGCTGGATTCTGCGCATCCGGATTCGTCCGGTCTGAGCACTGACAGCCTGGCAGAGGCGGGGTACCCGCGAGCCGAGGAGCTCGGGGAAGGGGTGTGCGGGATGGCGTGTGCGCGGCTGTACGCGAGAGACGCGCTGCTGTGGTTCCGCTCGCACGTGCGGAAGGAGGTGCGGTGGGGCGGGGAGAAGCACGACAATAGAGACAAGGATGACGAGCGGCCGGAGCGGATGGACATGGGGCCAAGGGCGAGCTTTGCGGCGTTTCTGGAGGTGGTGAGGCAGCGGTCGATGCCGTGGGAGGACGTGGAGATGGACGCCGTGCACTCGCTGCAGCTCATTCTGAGGGGGCATTTGACGTCCTTCAGTGACAACGATATGAGGGACATGATGCTCAACCGCATGCGCGACCAGGTGGGTTTCTGGGCTTCTAGCAGTGGGTGTGTGGGGGTGGGTGGGTGTGAGGAGGGGCGTTCCTGGAGGTGGTGAGGCAGCGGTCGATGCCGTGGGAGGACGTGGAGATGGACGCGGTGCACTCGCTGCAGCTCATTCTCAGAGGCCACCTGACCAGCTTCAGTGATAACGATATGAGGGATATGATGCTCAACCGCATGCGCGACCAGGTGGGTTTCTGGGGGTTTCTGGGTTTCTAGCAGTGGGTTTCTGGGTTTCAGGCAGTGGGTGTGTGGGGGTGGGTGGGTGGGAAGAGGGGCGTTTCTGGAGGTGGTGCGGCAGCGGTCGATGCCGTGGGAGGACGTGGAGATGGACGCCGTGCACTCGCTGCAGCTCATCCTGAGAGGCCACCTGACCAGCTTCAGTGATAATGACATGAGGGATATGATGCTCAACCGCATGCGCGACCAGGTGGGTTTCTGGGGGTGGCTTTCTGGGTTTCTAGCAGTGAGCTTCTGGCAGTGGGTGTGTGGGGGTGGGTGTGAGGAGGGGCGTGTGAGGAGGAGGTGGTGCGGCTGGAGGGACCGTGGGAGGATGTGGAGATGGATGCTGTGAGAGGGTGCGTCACTGGGTGGAACGCCAGGCTGGCTGCTGATGCTGATGATGAGCGCATGTGCATCCTCCCATGGCCCCACCTTTCCACACCCCTTCTCTGGCAGGAAATGGATCGCCTCAGTGCAACAGAGAGTGAGATGGTGCGAGTGCTGGAGACGGCCACAGCGCCCATCCTGGCCGTGGACAGGGACGGGTGTGTCACCGGGTGGAACAAACCCCAGGCTCTGACCCCCGTTCCTCCCTGTCCCATCTCCCTTCTCTCCACCCCTGTCTCCCCCTTTAAAACACCAGGAAATGGACCGTCTGAGTGCGACAGAGAGTGAGATGGTGCGAGTGCTGGAGACGGCCACAGCGCCCATCCTGGCCGTGGACAGGGATGGGTGTGTCACCGGGTGGAACGCCAGGCTCACTGGCGCTGCTGCTATTGCCGCTGCTGTGTCTGACCCATCCTCCCTTGCCCCCTACGCCCTATCCCCTACAAACATGCCAGGAAATGGATCGTCTGAGTGCGACAGAGAGTGAGATGGTGCGAGTGCTCGAGACAGCAACAGCGCCCATCCTGGCCGTGGACAGGGATGGGTGTGTCACCGGGTGGAACGCCAGGCTCACTGGCGCTGCTGCTATTGCCGCTGCTGTGTCTGACCCATCCTCCCTTGCCCCCTACGCCCTATCCCCTACAAACATGCCAGGAAATGGATCGTCTGAGTGCGACAGAGAGTGAGATGGTGCGAGTGCTCGAGACAGCAACAGCGCCCATCCTAGCCGTGGACAGGGATGGGTGTGTCACCGGGTGGAACGCCAGGCTGGCAGCGCTGACGGGGCTGGCCACAGGGGACGCCCTGGGAAAACACCTGATCACAGACCTGGTGGTGGAGGGCAACGTGGACGCTGTTGGGAGGGCGCTCTTCCTGGCCCTGCAAGGTACGGCCGTGTGTGGGTGCACTGAAGTGCTCTCTGCAATTGACGTGAGTGTGTGCCTCGTACCCTTCGGGTATAGGCCAAGCGCACCTGATCACGGACCTGGTGGTGGAGGGCAACGTGGACGCTGTTGGGAGGGCGCTCTTCCTGGCCCTGCAAGGTACGTTGGTGTGTGTGTGTGGTGTGTTGAGGAGAGAGCTAGGGGGAGGGAAGCACACCTGATCACGGGCCTGGTGGTGGAGGGCAACGTGGACGCTGTTGGCCGCGCGCTCTCTTCCTCGCCCTGCAAGGTATGCTCTTTGCTGTTACCTTCTCTGTGATCAGGTCAAGCGCTGGTGCAAGGTATGTGGTCGTACGTCCCCCCTGGTAGGTGCATTTGCTGACAGGGCTGGCCACAGGTGACGCCCTGGGGAAGCACCTGATCACGGACCTGGTGGTCTGTCTGTGCTGTGTGCTGTGGTGCAGCGCTCCAAGGATTCGGTCATCCTCGTCATCAACGCCTTAGCCAGCCGCGGCACGGCCATGGGGGGGGACGACATGGAGGACGTGGTGGGGGTTCTCAGCTCCTCTTCTCTCTGCCTCTCTCTCCCTTCTCCCTCTCTCTCCCCTCTCCCTCTCTCTCGCCTTTTCCTCTCTCCCTCTTCTCTTCTCCCCTCTGCAGGTCAGGAGAGCAAGGAGCTGGAGATCCATCTGCGCACCTGGGGGGTCGTCCAATCCAACAAGGATTCGGTCATCCTCGTGGTCAACGCCTTTGCCAGCCGCGGGACAGCCATGGGAGGGGATGACATGGAGGACGTGGTGGGGGTGTGCTTCGTGGGGCAGGACGTGACGGCTCAGAAGGCGGTGCAGGGCAAGTTCACGCGCCTGCAGGGGGATTATGAGGCCATTGTTCACGGGAACAACTCACTCATCCCCCCCATCTTCTCTACTGACGGTGAGTGTGGGGTGCCTGGGTGCATGCTTATAAGGGGGGTGGGGGCAAGCCTGGGTTGGGAGGGGCTCAGAAGGCGGTGCAGGGCAAGTTCACTCGCCTGCAGGGGGATTATGAGGCGATTGTGCATGGAAACAACTCGCTCATCCCTCCCATCTTCTCCACCGATGGTGAGCCCTGTTCTTATGGTGCTTGGGTGCTTGGGTATGGGGGTGCTCGGATGTGGGTGTGTGCTTTTAAGGGGGATGGGTGCTTGCTAACCGAGTGCTCGTGTGCCTGCCACAGTTGCGCTTTGCCACCTGCAGTCCTCCCACTTCTACTCCTTCCACCCCCTCCACCCCTTCTCCCTCTTCCGCTTCCACTACTTTCACCCCTTGTTCCCCACTCATCCCCCCTCGTCACCCCCCGTCCACCCCTCCCATCCCGCTCACCTCTCTCCCTCTTGTACCTCTTCTCCCCACTCTTGCCACTCATGCGTGCCTGCCATGCCTTGTTCCCCCTCATCCCCCTCGTTTCCCCTCCCCCTTTTGCACTCCAGACTTCGGCAACTGCACCAACTGGAACCTGGCTATGCAGAGAGTCATGGGGGTGCCATGCCGCTCACACTTTCTCCCCACTCTCTCTCTTCTCCCTTGTCTCTCCCTTCTCCCCTCCCTTATTTTTCTCCAGACTTTGGCAACTGCACGGACTGGAACCCCGCCATGGAGAGGATCACCGGGGTGCCACGTCAGCAGGCGATCGACCGGCTGCTGCTGGGCGGCATTTTTGGCCCCATCTGCCGCATGAAGGCGGACACGATGACGAAGCTCATGATTGTGATCAACAAGGCCATGTCCGGCCAGATGACCGACCGTTACCCCTTGGAGTTCCTCGATGCCCATGTGAGTGGATGAGTGCACAAGTCATGGATCTTAGAGTGTGCACACATGGGTGCATGAGCTGATGATTGTGATCAACAAGGCCATGTCCGGCCAGATGACCGACCGCTATCCGCTCGAATTCCTCGATGCCCATGTGAGTGTTTGGTCGCACGAGGCAGTGTGCGCGTAGTGTGTGGTGTGTTGTGTGAATGGGTGACATGGCATGCACCAGTTCTCCCATTACTGCTGCCAACCGCCTCCTCACCTACCCTTCCTCCCCACACCTCCTCCCCCACCCTCCTGCGTAATGTACAGGGCCAGCTGGTGGAGGGGCTGCTAACCGTGCAAACCCGCCAGAATCCCGACATGCACGTGACGGGGGTGTTCTGCTTCCTGCACACCGTCTCCGCCGAGCTGCAGGCAGCCCTCAACCTGCATCCCTCTCCTCCCTCCCCCTCCCTCCCCCCACACACAGGGCCAACTGGTGGAGGCGCTTCTGACCGTCCAGACGCGCCGCGACTCGGACGGGCATGTCACGGGGGTGTTCTGCTTCCTGCACACCGTGTCCGCGGAGCTCCAGGCAGCCCTCAACCTGCAGCGCGCCACGCAGGACTTCGCCAAGGAGAAGGCCAAAGCCGTCGCCTACACGCGAGATGCCATCCGTGGGCCTCTGGACGGGATCGAGCATGCGCTGGAGGGGCTGCGGAAGGAGGAGCAGGAGGGGCGGCTGGTCGGGGAGGAGGAGAGGAACGCGGTGGGCGTGGCGGAGCGGTGCAAGGAGCAGGTGGATCGTATTCTGGGGGATGACGACATTGACACCATTGAAGAGGGGTGAGTGGAAGCAAGAAAGGCAGAAGGGTGAGTCAATTCTCAAGGTGCCGCAATAGCGGTGCAAGGAGCAGGTTCACAGGATTCTGGGGGATGGCGACATTGATACCATTGAATAGGGGTGAGTTGATTGAAGGGACGGTGAGTTGAGTTGAAGCAGGCCTGTGTATGACGCATGGGTATCTGGGGGCAGGTGTTGAAAGCATGTGGGGGTGGCATCTTGGCGGAGCGGGGCAAGGAGCAGGTGGACAGGATTCTGGGGGATGATGATATTGACACCATCGAGGAAGGGTGAGTTGGATTGAAGCGAGAAGGGCAGACAGGGTGAGTTGTACAACAAAGGGAGGCCCAGGCAAACAGGCCGCAAATGACATGATCGTTCACAGAACCCCTGCTTTTGAGTCGACTCAAAAGAAGAAGGGCAGGGTGAGTTGTACAACAAAGGGAGGCCCTATGATGGATTATACGCGTTCAGCGTATATTCGCGTATCGTATATACGCTTCCGTGTATACGCCATACGCTTGAGGTTCGGATTAGGCATACGCTTTTTCGGGCAGGGAAAAAACATTTCGGGCAGGGTGGAAAAAAAGTACCCCCTATTTCATCTCACTAAGACGTGCCCTAGCATTTTCCTGAGTCCGATCGGCGGGTGGGGTTGGGCGAGGAGAAGACATCATAGCTAGAGAGCCTAGTGTTGGAGAGGCTTGTCAAGTAGGTGTGCGCGGGGACTCTGCTGGAAGCGGGAATGCAAGGTAGGAAATGACGGGTTAGGAGTAGGGCTGACTGGTAAGTGGCGTGAGATTTGTTGGGGGGTCGAATTTGATAGGTTGGAGTTTGTAGATACGATGGTTTTCAATGCGGTAGAAGAGATGGGTTTCAATGTCAAGACGAGATCTGAAATGCGACACATGTGCCTGCAAACTTTGAAGTCAGATCCCATCTTGCCTAGACCGCCGACTTCGGCGAAATGCTCACCAAGAAAATCCGCATCTTTCCTGCGATTTTATTTTTCCGGGCTGCCCGAAAACTTTTATGGCTGCGTATAGCGTTTAGCGTGTTGCGTGTACACGCTAGCGTACATACGCTAAACGCGAAGGGTCTCGAACGTATAATCCATCATAGGGGAGGCCCAGCCAAACAGGCCGCGAATGACATGGTTGTTCAAAGAACCCCTACTCTGCCTTTCCTTTTCAACTCCACTCTCCAATCCTCCCCTCCACTCTCTCCCTCTCCCCGTCTCTCCCTTTCTCCCCTTCGCTCGTTCTCTCCCACAATCCTCTCCCTCCACCTTTCAGCTACGTCAACATCATCCCGGCCGTCTTCACCATTGCCTCAGTCATCGATGCAGTCATCGCCCAGGGCAAGCAAGCCGCCTCTCGCCGCGGCGTCTCCCTCGCCTTCGACCCGCCGCAGCAGCTGCGCTCGTTCCCGGGCCTTGCAGGGGACCCAGCTCGCCTGCAGCAGGCCCTGGCGGAGTATCTCACGAGTGCCGTGGCGTTCACGCCGCAAGGCGGGTGGGTGAAGGTTCGGCTTGTGACGAGCACGCGCAGTCTCTTTGGCGACCAGGGCTCCCTCAAATGCGAGTTCCGGTGAGTGCAAGCAGCAGGGATTTGGGGGGGGGGGGGAGTGAGGGCTTGTGGAAGGTGTGTGGCGGGTTTGGCATGGGGTGGGATGGCCTCGCAGGGGACCGAGCTCGCCTGCAGCAGGCCCTGGCGGAGTACCTCACGAGTGCTGTTGCCTTTACGCCGCAAGGCGGGTGGGTGAAGGTGCGCCTCGTCACGAGCACGCGCAGTCTCTTTGGCGACCAGGGCTCCCTCAAATGCGAGTTCCGGTGAGTGCAAGCAGCAGGGATTGGGGGGGGGGGAGTGAGGGCTTGTGGAAGGTGTGTGGCGGGTTTGGCATGGGGTGGGATGGCCTCGCAGGGGACCGAGCTCGCCTGCAGCAGGCCCTGGCGGAGTACCTCACGAGTGCCGTGGCGTTCACGCCGCAAGGCGGGTGGGTGAAGGTGCGCCTCGTCACCAGCACCAGGAGCCTGTTTGGAGATCAAGGCTCCCTCAAATGCGAGTTCCGGTGAGTGGGAGAAGCATGGGGGGCGTGGGGGCAGGGACTGGGCGTAGAGGATGGAAGGGGAATGTGGGTTGGGTTTGGCATGGGATGGAATGGGCTCAGCTCTCTGGTGCAGCAGCTGTACGACGAGGCACACCCCACCCCAACTCCCTGTTGGTGTCTAACCCCTTCATGTGTTGTGTCTTCTTCTCACACCCCTCTGCTTCCAGAGTGCAACACTCGGGTTCTCTCCCCCAGGAGCTGGTGCAGCAGCTGTACGACGAGGCAGACCCCACCACGCTCTCTGTCTGTTGTTGTCTAATCTCTTCCTTTCCCCTTCCCCCCTTGCAGGGTGCAACACTCGGGTTCTCTCCCCCAGGAGCTGGTGCAGCAGCTGTACGACGAGGCAGACCCCACCACGCTCTCTGTCTGTTGTTGTCTAATCTCTTCCTTTCCCCTTCCCCCCTTGCAGGGTGCAACACTCGGGTTCTCTCCCCCAGGAGCTGGTGCAGCAGCTGTACGACGAGGCGGACCCCACCACGCTCTCTGTCTGTTGTTGTCTAATCTCTTCCTTTCCCCTTCCCCCCTTGCAGGGTGCAACACTCGGGCGCCCTCCCCCAGGAGCTGGTGCAGCAGCTGTACGACGAGGCGGACCCCACCGCGCGCACGCAGGAGGGGCTCGGGCTCTCCATCTGCCGCAAGATCCTGCTCGCCATGGCAGGCGACGTGCAGTACGACCGCAACTACAACGCCTGCGAGTTTGTCGTGCGGATTGGCTTCCCCTTTGCTTAGAAGCCTGGCTCTTCCTCCTTTCCTCCTCCGCTCCTCTTCCTCCTCCACGTCTCCTCCTCCACCCCTCTCGGTGCGCTGCAAGATCCTGCTCGCCATGGCAGGCAATGTGCAGTACGACCGAAACTACAACGCGTGTGAAATTGTCGTTCGCATTGGGTTCCCTTTGGCGTAGAAGCCTCGCTCTGTGTGGCCTCCTCCCTCCTGCACCTCACTTGATGGATCCTAAAGTCTAGCTCTTCTACCCCCACACCTCCTCCTCCACCTGCCTAATATGCTGCACAGAACCCTCTTTTGGTAGTTAATCTTGGCACGTTCCTGCTTGTTGCCTTACGACATGGAGCAGGGCAGATGTGGGTGTTTGGGCTGCTGTAGTCTCTGACTGGACAATGTTCAGTGTCATTGTGTATTGTAGGTGTGTGTTTGTGTGTGACTGCTAGACTATAGTAAGGTACCACCAGTAGTATGTCTGGGGATGAGGTTGAATTGAAACAGATGCTAGTGGCATGTTCAGAAACTTGATCACTCTGCTCTGCACCTACTGACATCGTCTTTTCTGCGCTGAAGAGATACCGTTGCCGGAAAGAGAGTATGGTACGGTACGGTAATATTGAAACAAACAGTAAGGGGAATTGCCAGTGAACAATAAAACAATCAAATAATGAATGAACAAATCAAATAAGGCCTCTACCAAGCAGGTGTGCTCTCTCCAGTGGGAAATACTGGAGGAGCACAGTGCTGGCTGGCAGACAGATGAATGAAAGAAAGAAGCGCCGAAGCAAGCAGACCACACTCTTGGCTCTTCAAAGGCTGCCTGCCTGTGCATGTGAAACACCCAGGATTATCCTCAATTCTCTGGCTTTGAAAATGCCGTATCTCTACCTCAGCTGCAGATGCTGACCGGTTGAGCCATCCATTAGCGAATCTTGAGCTTGTTTTCTCAACTGTAATGCCTCACAGCTGCCCACGCAGACGATGGATAATGGAAAACAGAGTCCCCTCCTGCTCCTTGTGAATGGAGACGATTGCCTAGGCGCAAAACACCTCACAGCTGCCTATGCAGATGATGGATCATCGCAAACAGGGTCCCCTCGTGCTCATTCCACTCCCCCCCACTCCCCTGCCCCACCCCTCCTTCCTCTCCTCCCCCTCCTTCCCCCTCCTCCATCCCATTCCCCAATTCCACTCCCTCCTTCACTCCACCCGGCCTACCACTCTCCCCACTTCCCCCATCCCCCCCCACAAGCCCAGCCACAGCCAGCAAAGCAGCCGTGTCCTCATCCCCTCCCAGAGGAATATCCAGGTCAGCTGCACCAAACCCTAAACACGCCGAGTTGAAAGCCGCGTTAGCTGACCCAGGAATCGCAGGATTACTATGGTGGTTTGGAGTGAGGCCAGTGGCATGGGTGTTAACAGCAAATCCAGTGGGGTATCCGGCACCGAAGCTGGTGCTGTCTCGTGAGTTGAAGGCAGCAGCAGGTCTCGGATTTGCTGCAGCAGCGGAGAAAACACCTGAAAAGGCACCTGGGCTGGCGTGGCCGCTGCCAGTTGCGAAGCTACCGAAACTCCTGGGGTTACCAGCAGAAGCAGCGGGAGCAGGGGCAGAGGATGTAGCAGCAGCAGAGGCAGCAGCAGCAGCGAAAATCATCATTTCATTCTTGTCTTCCATCGCAGAAAAATCTCCCAACGTGCAATCTCCGCCCCCCAGCCTTGCTTCTCTGGGCTGCCCATAAAAACCCTGAATCGATGGCGAAGCTTGTGCAGGCGGAGGAGGGGGAAATGTCCCCCTCTGTCGACCTGGCGCGGGCGGAGCATGAGCTCCGCTCGCGTGCTCCCGCGCAGATGCGAGTTCCGCCCGCATCTCCGCGAAATGGGCGGAGGCACTGCGCGGCCAGCTTCCCCCAATTGCTGTCCCAGTGTCTGTCCCCGCGAGTTCGATCCCCTGATAGCTGCTCGCGCCGGGAAACGCGCCCACGGCGTTAAAACGCAGATCTGCTCGCGCTGCTGCTGCTGCTGCGGCGGCGGCGGAAGCGGAAGCGGAAGCGGACGCGGACGCGCCCTCCTCTAAGAAACCACGAGCGTCGCGAGCGTCGGGAGCGAAGCCTGTTTGCGGAGGGCCTCCCGCGGAAAGCCCTGCCGCCACCTCCGCGGGAAACCCCCCCGCCTGTTGAATCGCGCGCAGTATCTCCGCCATGTCGCGGCTGTAGCGCCCCGCCGCAATCTGCCGCAACCGCTCGTTTTCCCCCTGCAGGATCATCAGCGCCTGTTCCATCTCCTGGAGTCGCTGGTCCGCGGCGCGTTTCTCCGCCGCCATGGAATTCACCTGCGCTTCGAGCTCCACGAATCGCTCGTGCTGCCGCTGCCGCGACCGCTTCGCGTATTCGCGGTTCAGCAGTCGGCGCTTTATCGAACGCTCCTCCTCGGTTTCCTGCTGTATCCCGCCGCCGCCGGCTTGCAGCGCCGCCGCCACTTCGCGCGCTTCGCCGCCGCTGCCGTTTCGTTCGTGCGGCGCCGAAGCGCAGCGCTGCAGCGCCCCGTGGTCTTGTGCTGCTTTGCCTTCCGAGCCAGATCCCGAGCCTGAGCTGCTGGTTCGTTGGAGCCACGCGCTTAGGGTTTGCGCGCCGTGGCTGTCCGGCCAGCGCTGCTTCTGCGTTTGAGTGGTAGTTAGAGGGATATTAAACGTCGGGGGCGACGCGTCGCCGCGCTGCGCGCGGAAACTCCCGCCGCCGGCGGAACTCCCCCCCCGGGAACTCCCCGCGCTGGAAGGACGCACCAGCGGCGCGCCGAAGCGGTTCGGGCGGAGATAAGCTGTCGCCGGCGGAGACACGATCATATCCGCCGTGGAATGCGCGCTCGGGTTTTCCCAAATGCTTCCGTCCTGTTGAATCTGAGCCTGATGTCCCGCCGCGAAACGCGGCGCCGACGACGTTTCTCCCATAGAGAAATCCGCTGCTTCGCGCGCCGCCGCGGGGAGAGGCGGCTTCGGCGCCGACTCGAAAATCGACGAAGGGGGCTTGTCGATCTTGATTCGCGAAATGACGGCAGCGACTGCTGACTCGAATTCTTCCGATTGGCTGCTGCGGTGGCGCTGGTGCTGTTGTTGTTGCTGCTGCTGTTGCGCCAACACGGGCGGCGGTTGCGGCGGTTCGACTTCTGATCCAGAATGCCAAGACATTTCTCGCACGGCGGGGTTCGTTACACGAGAAGTTCGCCGACTCTTCAAGAATAATCGGTTGGAGTTAATTGGCTTACAACTCGTGACAGCTCAAGAAAATCTCGTCCAAGAGGGAAAATGGATGTCCCGCGATCCGCGGTTAGTAAAGAAATGAAGAGCTTTCGTGGTTGAGCAGTGAAAGCAAGGGAGTGTTTGTGATGATTCGAAAAATCTGAGTTTGTGAGGATGACTGACAACAATGAAGCTTAAAGTGTTCGTGGAACGGACTGTACAGTACGAGGTAGTTAATCTGTTGGGTAGAGCCGAAACTACGCAGGATGCTCGGATACGCCAAGCAAACCCACTTACACCTCCTCAAACACGAGCAGAAATTATGGGGTGGGGAGGGAGAAATAATAGAAACTTGATGGTGAGAGACAGCTCACTTTGAGAGTCCATGGCGTCTCCTCGCGTGGACGCTTGGAAATGGCATGGCTTGGATCGTGGGGGCAATCGCAGGACTGGATTGCGCGGAGAGTGGGCTCGGCTGTCCGCTTGCGCACATCTCACCCTCCCCTCCAGGATTCCCGCGCGCCCAAATCCAAACACTAGTGGTGGAGACCCCGCTTTCTTTGGGACCTGTGAGTCACAGTGACCCTGCCATTGCGGCGCTGGCGTGGCGTGCGGTGCAACTAGTGGTTCCGCTAGGTGTGGGCTTGGCGGTAGCGCACGGCCAAGCGAGTCAACCAGGGAGGACGGATATGATGAGGGAAGGAAATGGAAGGGAAGGGAAGGGACGGAGAAGAGTCGATGATAGAGGAAGTGGATTTACAGTACAGTGGATGTCCAACCTTGTCGCATCAATTTCCGAAATTCTACGGCCGACTCTTTAGCAGTTGAGCACCGGAAACCGAAAGTCGTTTACAAGCACTCGCGGTTAGAGTAGATTCAAAATTTGTACAAATGGTTGAGAGCCCCTTGATTTCCGATCAGTAAATATACCTAGCCACCCAGCTTTGCTGCACTAACATGGCTGGTTGTGTACAGGCCCTTTCTGCCTGTGGCGAAGCTGATGAACGCTCGGGGAACGCAATGCACGATTCAGTACTCATGTGATTTGAGATATTGCATGACTATGCTGTGTTTAAAACCAGGGTGCACATTCAACGCGGTTCGGCTTGAGATGTTGGGAAGGGGGTTTGGAGAAAAACAGTGATTGGCTCACGAGGGGCGACAAAAAAATGATTCCGCTAGAGCTTCGGGCATTTCGTAGGTGGCGGGAGGGGGTGAAATGGCGGGAGTGGGTGAAACCGAATGGCGGGAGGGATGAAACAGATTGGCGGGAGGGGGGGGAAACGAAATTGCGGGGGAGGGGGGAAACAAAATTGCGGGGGAGGGGGGAAACGAATTTCGACGGGGAGGGGGAAATGAAATTGCGGGGGCGTGGGGAAACGAAATTGCGGGGGAGGGGGGAAACGAATTTCGACTTGAAGGGGTTGAAAGCACACCTCGTAACCCACTCAGTCAAGGGATAACCTTTGATGCACATTCAGCTGAATGTGCACCCCGGTTTTAATTTGTACCTCGTGTAATCTGGTCAGGAATCCCGCCGCATAATATCCGCAGCTAAGGCTTTCATTTGCCCAACTCCTAGCGGGAAGGCGTTAGCGCACGATCATCCCTTTACTTTCCTTGTCCAGTTTAGCGCGAGCAATTACCATTGTATCAACCCAAGTGAGTTTCAGCTGAAATGGGCCTAAAAATACATTCCGAAGGCTATGCAGCCTGTGAAGTTACGATTTTGTTTTTTCATACCCTCGTACAGTGTAAGGTCTGTGCCTAAGTACTTCGAAACCACAGTGACTCTGAAAAAAATCAAGACGCACCACTAGCCAATTAAAGCCCGAGTCTAGAATGGCAACTTTTTAAGTTCAAGATTCTTGAACTTGAATTCGCCTCCCCTCCCGTCCCCTTTTAGGTTGCTCTCCCTTCCGGCGTCCGTCACACCCACGCTTACTCTGAGTGTCTCCCACGCTCTCCCATCATGTCGCTGGCCTTCACATGACCATCGCTTGCCCATTCCGTCGCTTTCCCAACACCTTTCAAGTTCAGTATTCTTGAAGCCTTACCATTCTAGACTCGGGCTTTAAAGACTCAGAAATTTGGCATCACTTGTCGACCAGGGTCGTCGTTAAAGTGGGAAGGCCTGTCGTTTATTGAACGCCAACCTGTCAGTTAACGTTGGGCAGCCGCTAGCGTCCAGGTCCATTTCAAGCGCGGCCTCTTGCTGTGGCCTAATTGGACGATGATCGGGCACGTGATCATCCACAAGTAAACCAAAATCATTCGAAGGAAAAACTGTAAAACTGTACACTAGGTGTTTCCTGGAGGAATATTACAGTAATATTATTAGGAACAGTTTCCTGAAGAATGAACCTGCAAGGACATAACTAGTCTCATGTTGCCAGGAATATGATGATGGCTTGAGGTGAGAACAGCCCGTAATGAATGCAGAATCCTCGGATATACAATTTAGATTGGATTACGATTTTCAGTCTCCAATTCACAGTACAGTGTGTGCCCATTGTTTTTAGCAATTACACACCCACGAAGCTTCTCTTGGTTTCGTTGATTCTAAAAAACAGATCGTAAAAACTCTCCAGCACATTCGACTCTTGCTAGTACTCAGATTACATATTTACCATTTCTAAACGAGCGCCAAGCTGGAAGGTAAATTAAAACTCAACGGGCTAGGATATCATTGGAACGCCGTACCGTAGGCGATCTGCGTGAGGAAGCCTTGCGGGCATCACGCAAGAAGGACAGTGACCGAGACAAGAGAAAGGTCGTCTGCCTCGTTTGGCTGGTTAGGCAAATGTGTGGAACAGTGTTACTGTAGTGATGTGGGCAAATGAATGCACTCGGAGACGACTTCGACTCAACCAAGGTCTCAACCCGTGGCCCACTCTCCAGGTGAATTGAGTCAGCACGACCTGTGAACAGTGCCACGACGATTTCGTGCAAGCCCGAAACAAACCCTGGCCTGTCTCTCTACAGAGCTTCTCGTAAAAAAAAAAAAACACAAGATACAATAAAAATACTACAACTTTCTGGATTCATTAAGACCCGTTAAAACCCCAGCTCACATATGTCAGCTGGCACCTGTAATCGCATACAAAAAAATGCCAGCTTCTTTCAGGGATTTTCAGCAGACACGGAGAGCCTCACAGCAAGTACACTCATGCATCACTATTCCAAAGCACATACAGACATGAGAAAACAATCATATTTCTCAGATCCTATCGGCCTTATGCTAGCTTCAGGAGCTCAACCAGTGCAGCCATAAGAAACGCGGCTTCGGAAACCGCCAGCATGTGTTCCGTCCCCAGCGCTTAGAACCGGAGCTTAGAGAAGAACCATCTGTTCTTGCCCGTCTTGAATCGCTCCTCAAAGATCTTCTTCAGCTCCTGTGGTGCCACACGGGCAGATGGGCGTAACAGGCAAACCGGCAGATGGGCAAACGAGCACAACATGCACATGGGCAGATGGGCAGAAGGAGACGAGGAAGTAGGACGGGTCAGAAAAAGCGGCTTATGAGCGGGAACGAAGAAGAGGGAAGAGAATATGGAAAAATTGAACGGGGGGGAGGGGGGAGGGGGGAGGGCGGGTGGGAATCAGAGCTGGGGAAAGAAGGGGAGGGGATATGGCACAGCTGAAGAAAGGTGTGAGTCACATGGCAAGAAGCCACATTGAATTGCACACAGCCTAAGGACATTCGCCCGGATTTGCCTTCCTCTCACTCCTTCTCTCAATCCTCTCTGTCTGCCTCCCTGTTCTCTCCCTCCCCCCCCCCCCCCCCCCCCCCCCCCCCCCCCCCCCCCCCCCCCCCTCCCCAATCGTATTGCTCTCCCTCAGCCCTTTCTCCTCCCACCGTCTGCTCCTCCCCCCTCTCTTCTCCCCCACCTCTTCGCTCCTCCCTTCCCCTTCGCTCGCGCCCCCCCTCACCTTCTTGGTCTCCACCCGCTTGGCTGAGCTCTCAAGCTTGTCAGCCGTCACCGTGCTCTTGAGGTCAACGTCAAGCTGGTACCTGCGGTCAACGAGAGTCAACGGGTAGTGAAAAGGGGGTCAACGGGAGACAACAGGTGTGAATGGCCCTGGATTGGGACAAGCTTGTCAGCCGTCACTGTGTTCTTAAGATCCAAGTCAAGCTGGTGCCTGCAGTCAACGCGAGTCAACGGGCGTAAAAGGGAGTCAACGGAAGTCAACGAATGATCGTGTTTTCATACGTGGCCGCGATATCAAGGTAAAGTCCAACTGGACGGGCAGTCAACATAAGTCAACGCGGTCGAACAAGGAGTATGTAGAGCCATGGGGGAGAAGGGGAGGGGGAGAGGAGGAGGGGGGGGGGGCGCGCGGCGGGGAGGCGGGAAGGGGGAAACAAGGGGAGGAAAGAGGGGATGAGCGGGAATTCGGGGGAAGCGGAAGAGGGTGAGGGGGATTGGGGCGGGCGGTTTACGAATGACAAATTAAGCGGGAGGGGTGTGGGGAAATATGACAGGGATGTGGGGAAATAGGAGAGGGATTTGAGGAAATAGGATAGGGATGTGGGGAAATAGGAGAGGGATGTGGGGACATGGCAGAAGGGAAGCGGGGAAGTAGGAGATTGAGATATAAGGGATAGGGAGGGGGATGCAAGGGAATATAAGGCGGAATGCGGGGAACAGGAGAGTGATGTGGGACAAGTAAAAATGGAGGTACGGGGGGTAGGGGACGGAAAATTCAGGAGAACAGGAAGGGGGAAATGTGGGAAATGGAAGAGCGGGATACGGGGAACAGCGAACGAGATGGCGGGAAGGTAGGGCGATTGCGGGAAGGAAGTAGAGGGGTGATAACACATGGAAAAGGTGGGAGCGGAAGAGCGGGGAATTTCGTGAAGGGAGAGGGGGGAGAGGGATGCGGAGGAGTGTGGCACATTGATTACCCAATGGGCGAAATAGTTAATCAAATAGGCAAATTAGTTACCTAGTGCGCGAATTAGTCACCTAGATTGCATAAGGTGATTGTCTATAACGAGCTTCACTTGCGAGCAAGGGAATCAACGACCTAGCAGTGAATAATAGATTAGTTGCCTAGTGGGCGGGTTAATTACCTAGTGGGCATGAGGTGGTTGTAGTTAACGAGCTTGATGAACGCCTTCACTTGCGAGCGCTTCGCGAGGGTCTTGGGCGTGAGCTTCTTCGTGACCTAGAGGAGTGTGAAGGGGTTGGGAACAGTAAGGAACAGTGGGGAAGAGTGGGCCGGGGATGGGAGGAGTTGGGAGATGTTCGGGGAAGTGGGAGGAGTGAGAAGGGAAAAGACACCATTGCGAGGGTCTTGGGAGTGAGCTTCCTCGTGACCTGGGGGAGTGGGGAGGAGTGGGAGGCGTGTGAAGGGGCGCGCTGGACTTGGGAGTGGGAAAGAACAGGCCGAAAATCATCACCCTTCAGCCTCAATGCAAGAACCCCTACACACCTCAAACGCGTCAACTCAGCCGTCGATACACGTCCGTAAGACCAGGGAGTGATGTACGTCGGCAGCACAAGCATCTCAATCTACGTCCACACCACAAGCATCCTGATCGGGCCGCTGTAAACAGCGCGACCACGGCGGTCTGGCGCACAATGGATCACAGATTAAGAAACCCTAATCCACGTCCAGCAATGAAAGTTCTCGAAAACCGCCCTAATGAACTACGTCCGCAGATTCAAGCGTGGCAGATGGTTGACGGTTGACGACTTCTGACGCGCCTAAAAAATTGACGCTGAAACTAAGCCCGTCAGACGACTGCCGGCCAAAATAAGCCTTTCCGAAGGCTAGCGGTGAATTCAAGACTGGCTGACGGCTGACCACTTGCTCGCGGCGCGGAAAACAAGATACTCCAAGTTAACGGGCGTCCCACCTAGGTCGCGGCCCTTTGATCCAATGATCCCTCGGCGATTGCTCGGTCTCTTTCCCTCCCTCGCTCCCACGGGCCCGCATTTTAGTCTGTCGGCTTTGCGCGTTGGCGTCCACGCCGCGCATCTTACGGCGCCCAAACACACGGTCCCTCGGTCCTTCCCTCCTTCGGTCATTCCGCATGCCTGCCTGCCGTTACAAGTTAACGTTCGCGGAGCGCCTCTCCTTGAGTCGCCTGAACTAACGATCCTCCCTCCTTCGGCCATTCCGCATTCCTGCCTGCGCGTAACTTCGCGCGTATCTTCCAAAGGCGTCTGAACTAGCGGTCCCTCGGTCCCACGGTCCCGCGTGTCCGTCTGTCGAAGATATTTCCTTCACGGTTAAATCGACGGTGCTGCTTCGAGCGCCCTGCTTACGGCGACGGCCTCTAACTATCGGATGCTGCTGCAATTTACAGTCTCGAATCTACACCCAAAGAACTAATCGACACGACACGAGAAACGACGGCTTGGAAGACCGCAACGAGGCCAATAAATCAACTTCCACGTCAGCAGTTACGTTAGCAGGTTTCCCGCCACGTCACGCCAAAGGCGGTAACCTCACCTTGCGGGGATACTTGGAGATCCCGGCAACGAGCGCGTGGCCGTACTGCCGGCCGGAAACGCCGTCGTCGAAGTTCTTAACGATCACCGCCTTGCGGCCGGCATAGCGGCCCTGCAGCACCACCACCACCTTGTTCGGCTTCAGAAACTTCACCATTGTGACAGTAACGAGGGGACGGACGGGACGGGACTACAGCGAAACGGTTGCGGGACAGACGCCCGAGGCTCCTAAGACTGCCTAGGGTTGGTGGTGGGAGGGAGAAAAAGGGGTAAGTCGAGGAAGTGGTGAGAGGATATTCTCGCTAAACCCTAAACGGCTCCCGCTGGGGTGTCTGTTGCGCCACTGCTGCCTTTTTGCGCCCCGCTGCCTATCGGCGCCACTGGTTGCCCCTCACATCGAGCGACAACTGGTTACCGTTTGTGGAGTTTTCGTGAATCGCAATTCTTGAAACATGTTTTCGGCATTGTCGTTCTTCACTCGCAAGCGTGTGAGTGACACTCTTCGCGACGTGTGAGTGGTCTGCGAATAGTGTTACTCGTTTACAGAGCAAGTGGGTAGATTGGTAACCACAGAGGGGTGGTATGCCACAGATGCGACACGCTACCGAGCATCTTTCCCTATGCTACCCTCGGTACAAAAGTCCCAATTCAGAAAAGTTAACACTGTCATATGCAAGGCACATATGGAAAAGTACCAAGTAACTACTCAATAGAACAAGAAATCAATTCTCGCAGCAACCAACCTTATTGGTAATCTTTGTAACCTGGCTGTGCTATGAGAAATTTGCTACAAAACAATCAAGGAATAAAAGGAACCCTAATTCTATATTGTTGTGTCTCAAAGCTTTAATCAAAGCATCCCCAATAATTATCCGATGTGTTGATCAACTGGGTAGGTATCATGGAAACTTCACCGTAGGTTTCCACTAAACCAAGGGTGAGCTGCCCACAGGAAAAGGAAGGCGTTTCGTATAAAAAAGGCATGAACCACAGCTGAATACAGAATATAGTGATTGTAAACAATACACACATCCTGTTTGCTCGCATGTGGGTACACACGGGTGCACTTGCATTCGAACAAGAATCACAAAGGGGGTACGAAAGAAAGCGGAAGGAAGGGAAAGATGGAAAGAGAAAGAGCGGAAGAAAAATGGGGGAAATACGAGAGAGTGGCATACTAAAGAACTTTCTTACCAAGAGCTCCTTGTGCCGTGAGCCTCTTTTTCGTATCCCTTACTAGCATCTTCTTTAACAGATCCACTGCCTCCGCACTCACGCCGCGCCACACGTCCCCTCTATAGCTCTCCTTGGCTTCCTTTATAGCTTTGATCACACCGGCTTCGGTACGCGCCCAAAAGGGCGGCACTCCCGCCAGCATGACATACAGCACGACGCCCGCGCTCCAGATGTCTGCAGGGAAGGAGTAGCTGCCCTCAACCACCTCTGGTGCCACGTAGTATGGCGACCCCATGAACTCCGTCAGGGGCTTGGCGCCTGGTGATGGAGAGCGGTTGGGAGCGGTGGGGAGGGGTGGGGAGCGGTGGGAGTGGTATGAGAAAAGGAGTTGCACAAGGGAAGGAGCAGCTGCCCTCCACCACCTCTGGTGCCACGTAGTATGGCGACCCCGTGAACTCTGTAAGCGGCTTGGCGCCTGGTGATGGAGAGCGGTTGGGAGCGGTGGGGAGGGATGGGGAGTGGTGGGGAGGGGTGGGGAGCGGTGGGGAGTGGTATGAGAAAAGGAGTAGCACAAGGGAAGGAGCAGCTGCCCTCCACCACCTCCACTGCCACGTAGTATGGCGACCCCATAAACTCTGTAAGAGGCTTGGCGCCTTTCCATTGAATGGAGGGGTTGGGAGAGGTGGAGAGCGGTAGAGGAAGAGGCAATACAGCAGTGGTATAGGTTTGAGTTACAGGCAGAACACTGCCAGCACTCCAGATTCAGCCTGTAACGAGAAACCAATCACTTGGGAGTGAGGAGAGAAGATTCACTTCGGTCGTTAGAAGCACCTGAAGTACCTGGCGTCTCACCTGGCAGCCCACCTGGCGTCTCACCTGGCAGCCCACCTGGCGTCTCACCTGGCAGCCCACCTGGCGTCTCACCTGGTTTCACGATGGCAGCGATGCCAAAGTCGATGACCCGGCAGTCAGAGAGGGACTGCTGAGACTTGAGGAGAATGTTCTCAGGCTTGATGTCCCGATGCACGATGCCGTGCTGGTGGCAGTGCGCTAGCACCGACAGCACCTGGTGGGATCGGGGGATAAGGGGGACAGGAGGGAAGAGGAGAGGAGTCTGGGTTCGGTTGGGGCTTGATGTCCCGATGCACTATGCCGTGCTGGTGGCAGTGGGCTAGCACCGACAGCACCTGGTGGGGGGATCGACGGGGAAGGGGGATAAGGGGGACAGGAGGGGAGGGGAGAGGATAGGAGGATGCTCTCGGTCAGGGTGGGGACAGAAGAGGAAAAGGAGTTACTTTTGTCAGAGCAAAGGGATGGACAAAGAGACGAGATTACTACATGATATTCTCTAAAAGCTTTGACGACCAAGTGCTTCCAATACAAAAAGGCTATGTGTTGAGTTGTGTCACAACAAGATCAATAGCTGCTCAACCACCTGTATGCGCTGCCCCTGTGTGTGCTGCCCTGTATGCGCTGCCCCTGTATGCGCTGCCCCTGTGTGTGCTGCCCCTGTGTGTGCTGCCCCTGTATGCGCTGCCCCTGTGTGTGCTGCCCTGTATGCGCTGCCCCTGTATGCGCTGCCCCTGTGTGTGCTGCCCCTGTGTGTGCTGCCCCTGTGTGTGCTGCCCCTGTGTGTGCTGCCCCTGTGTGTGCTGCCCCTGTGTGTGCTGCCCCTGTATGCGCTGCCCCTGTGTGTGCTGCCCCTGTGTGTGCTGCCCCTGTGTGTGCTGCCCCTGTGTGTGCTGCCCCTGTGTGTGCTGCCCCTGTGTGTGCTGCCCCTGTGTGTGCTGCCCCTGTGTGTGCTGCCCCTGTGTGTGCATAACCATGAAAGTACTATACCGCTCTCACCTGCTGCATGATGCCCTGAGCGTCCCTCCTCCCTCACCTGCTGCATGGTGCACTGTGCGTCCCTCTCCTCTCACCTGCTGCATGATGCCCTGAGCGTCTCTCTCGTCCAGGCGCCGCCTCTCCTTGATGCGATCGAACAGCTCGCCTCCATGGCACAGCTCCATCACCAGATGCACCGCCTGTTGTGCCATGTGATGTCACGCCATGCCATGTGATGTCACGCCATGCCATGTGATGTCACGCCATGTCATGTGATGTCACGCCATGCCATGTGATGTCACGCCATGCCATGTGATGTCACGCCATGCCATGTGATGTCACGCCATGTCATGTGATGTCACGCCATGTTATGTGATGTCACGCCATGCCATGTGATGTCACGCCATGCCATGTGATGTCACGCCATGCCATGTGATGTCACGCCATGTCATGTGATGTCACGCCATGTTATGTGATGTCACGCCATGCCAGCGCATAAAGGTGTACCATGCCAAGACATGCCAGGAACGCAACATTATGCCATGTGATGTGTTGCAATGCGATGTGATGCGATGCGATGCGATGTCATGCGTTGCCAGAAGACGGTGTGTGCCAGACAAGACGATACGCTGGGAAAAAATATAAACATATATATATATATACACATATACATATGTATATGGCTGTTTCATACTGTAACCAGTAAAAGTGACAAGCATGCACACATGACAAACAATGTAAAACTTTCAACTTCCCCACATTAGCTGCCCGCCGCATATTTTTTCACCTTACACCTGTCACACCCCTTGCCCACCTCATATCCCCCTTTATCCACCACCCAACCCGTCACCCACCACACACTTTCTCACGTACCACCACATACCACCACATACCACCACATACCACCGCATACCACCGCATACTACCGCACACCACCACATACCTCCTCATCCTCAAATACGTCTTCCAGCTTCGACACATTCGCATGCCCGCCCACCATCTCATGCACCACCACGCTTCATCTAGACTGCTCACTCACCACATATCACTGCATCCCACCGCACACCACCACTCACCTCCTCGTCCTCAAACACGTCTTCCAGCTTTGCCACGTTTGCGTGCCCGCCCAGCACCTCATGCACCATCACCTCCCTCTTCACTGCATCCACATCCGCCTTGCTCTGCAGTGTGTGGGAGGGAAAGGGCGGAGGAGCGAAGGAGAGTGGGAGGGAGACGGGGCAATATGGAAAGATTTATCGCTCTAAGTGCCTCAAGCACCGTGCCCGCCCAGCACCTCATGCACCATCACCTCCCTCTTCACTGCATCCACATCCGCCTTGCTCTGCAGTGTGTGGGAGGGAAAGGGCGGAGGAGCGAAGGAGAGTGGGAGGGAGACGGGGCAATATGGAAAGATTTATCGCTCTAAGTGCCTCAAGCACCGTGCCCGCCCAGCACCTCATGCACCATCACCTCCCTCTTCACTGCATCCACATCCGCCTTGCTCTGCACAGCAAGAGGAGGATAGGGGGAGAAGGGACAGATGGAGTCTATAACCACATAGTCCTGTCTGCCCGCCCAGCACCTCATGCACCATCACCCCCCTCTTGACTGCATCCACATCCGCCTTGCTCTGCAATACGCAGGGGGGACAAGGAGAAAGGACAGGGCGCGTGGGGAGGGAGAGGGAACAGATGGACTCTAAAAGCACATGCACATGCCCGCCCAGCACCTCATGCACCATCACCTCCCGCTTCACTGCCTCCACATCCGCCTTGCTCTGCACAGCAAGAGGGAATAGAAGGAGGATTTGAGGGAGAAAGGCCAGGGGGCATGGGGAGGGAGAAGGGCGAAGGTGCTATAACCACATACTCATGCCTGCCCGCCCACCACCTCATGCACCGTCACCTCCCTCTTTACTGCCCTTCTACTCGCCCTTTCTAACTTCCCCTTAATCCTTGCACCTCCCACCTCCCCGCGCCTTGCACCCATCCCACTCTCACCTTCAGGTCGCCCTTATTGATCGACTTGCATTGCAAGCCAGATGCCTCTTGATCGGGAGATCTGCTTGCACCCTACCCACCCGCCTCTTGATTCTTCTCACTTCCCCACCCCTTGCAGGCCTGCATCTCATCACACCCACCCACCCACCTTCAGGTCGCCCTTATTGATCGACTTGCAAGCCAGCTGCCGCCCGGTCTGCTTGCACTGCACCACCCGCGTCACTCCAAACTGCCCCGCCCCAAGCTCCTTCTCCATCATCATATACTTCTTGTCCAGCCGCCCAAACTCCCGCCCAAGCACGCTCCCGCCCCCACTCCCAAAGAACCCCCGCTTCATCTGAGCCAGGCCCCTCTTGGCAAACCCTAACAGCCCCCCCTTCTTGCTGGATTTGAAAAAGGACGACTGGATTTCCTCCACTGTGCATGCTGCGTCCCCCTCCACTGCCCCTAACGCGTTCAGGTCTTCGGCAGAAAGAGAGGAGAGGCGGGAGATTTTCTTGTCCCCTCCTGCGCTGCCAGCACCAGTGGCAGCAGCACCAGGAGCACCCCCAGCAGCAGCGGCAGCAGCAGCAGCAGATGCGCCGGGGCTATGGGGACTCCCACCAGCACTCCCAGAGAGGCGGTGAGGGGAATGAGGGTCACTCTCAACAGAAGCACGTCTGGGTAAAGGCGCCCGGTGCTGCTGCTGCTGCAGATGATACTGCTGCAGCGACTGCGATTGGGACCGTGGCAGAGAGGAGTGAGACGGGTGTGACTGCCCCTGCCCCTGCCCCACGTATTTCCTCTCCACAGCCCCCCCTCCCAGCATTGCACCCACATCCATACTGGATCCTCTAGCAATCCGTCCCTTGGGTTCTCCCCGTCCTCCGTCTCCCCCTCGTTCTCCCTCTCGCTCTCTCCCACTGTCGGCACTCACCTGTCTGGGAACCCCACCCCCTGGCCTCCCGCCTCGGATTCTCTCCATCTCCCTCTCTCTCTCCCTCTCCCTCTCTCGCTCCCTGTCCTTCTCTCTCCCCCACCCCGCGTCCACACTCCCTTGCCTGGCTATACGTGGTGCCCGCCTTGCCTCATCAGCCCTTGCCCTCTCCCTATCCCTCTCTCTCTCCCTCTCCCTCTCTCTGTCCCTGTCCCTGTCCCTACTCTCGTCAACGCTGGAGTGACGGGGAATCCTTTCCCTCCTTTCCTCCCACTCCCTCTCTCTTTCCCTCCTCTCCTCCCAATCCCTCTCCCTCCCGCTGTCAACACTCGCTTGACGCGCAATCCTTCCCCTCCTCTCCTCCCTTTCACCTCCCCTCTCACCTCGCCTCTCCTCCCTCTCACCTCCCCTCTCCCCTCTCCTATCCTCCCTCTCTCTCTCCCATCCCCCACTATCCACACTACCCTGCCTAGGAACCCGGGGAATCCTATCCCCTCCCCGCCTCTCCTCCCTATCCCTGTCCCCCCGCACACCATCTACACTCCCTTGTCGAGGAACACGCGGGATTCTATCCCCCCGCCTCTCCTCCCTCTCCCTCTCCGCCACCCCGCCATCTACACTCGATTGACGGGGCACACGTGGGATTCTAGCCCCTTTCGCCTCCTCTCTCTCCCCCCTCCGCTCCACCCTTCCCTCATCCCTCTCCCCTCGCCCCTTCCTCTCACCCCTCCCCTCCTCCCTCTCCCGTTTCTCTAAGCTGCTTTGTCTGCTCATCCTATGCCTCCTCTCTTCCCCCTCCTCCTCTTCATACCTTCTCAACATAGCACCTCCCTCACTCGCTTGCCTAGGCAGCCTTCCCCCCCTCTCCACTCTCTCTCCTCTCTCCCCTCCCCTTCCACCTCCACCCCTCTCCCTCTCCTCCTCCGCAAACGACCGCCTCCTGTTCCCCCTCACCCTCTCATCCCCGTCATAAGCCTCCTCGCCACCCCCAGAAGAGCTCCTACCAGGAAAAACAGGCGGAAGACCAGGAGAAGCGCCCCCAGCAGGCGGGGGAAGGCCAGGGGGAAGGCCAGGGGGAAGACCAGAGGAAGCCCCCCCGCCAACAGGGGGAAGGCCCGCCCCAGACGCCCCTCTTCCCCCTCTCCTCCTCCCCCCATCCTCATCCCAATCCGCCCGCCCCTCGCCCTTCCCCCCGCCTACTCCAGGCTCTGTCAATCCCCTTCCGCGCCTGGGGTCTAGGGGAAGGCTCTCTTGCCTGAGTGTTTCCATGCCAGGAACACCGGCAGCAGCAGCAGCAGCAGCATCGAGGTCTGTATCGAAGGCGGAATCGCTGGTGGTGGAAATGCTTCGCTCTGAGAGTGACTTGCGCAGCACGCGAGCCCCTGGCGCTGCTGGGAAGAGAGTGGGGGAAGGGGAGTGGGGAGGGGAGGGGAGTCATGGGCAGCAGCAGCATCGAGGTCTGTGTCAAAGGCAGAGTCGCTGGTGGTGGAAATGCTTCGCTCTGAGAGTGACTTGCGCAGCACACGCGCCCCTGGCGCTGCTGGGAAGAGAGGAGGGAGGTGGGGAGGGGTGGGGAGTCATGGGAAGCAGCAGCATCTAGGCCTGATTCAAAGGCAGAGTCGCTGGTGGTGGAAATGCTTTCTTCGGACAGAGAGTGACTTGCGCACACAACACACGAACCCCTGGCGCATCTGGGAAGAGAGAGGGGGAAGTCATCAGCCACTCTCGCAGGCGGGAGGAGAGAGAGTGGATGCGTTGATGACTTGCATGAAGGCTTTGGTTTGCATGTGACTTGCGAAGACATCAGCCACTCTCGCTCGCCTGTAGGCTCCCCCACCCCATACTCACCTCTGCCACCTCCACCATCAGCTAATGTCATCCCAGCATCTCTCTAAGCTCCCCCACCCACCCCATGACTGTTGTCACTCTGGATGCTTCGCTTCCAGCGAGCAGGCTCCTGGCACGAAGAAACACATCACCCCATGCTCACTCGCCAGCTCTTTTTTTTTTTAGTCAAATCAGTAAATTGACTCACCAGCTTTGGGGGGCAGCCCTCTTTCCCGCAGGTTGGCAGCGCTGTCAGCACTGCGGGTGCCGTAGATGTCACGGCTATCATCGCCTTGCATGCTTCCCTTCCCTTCATTCGGCCTCCTGTTTCTAGCCCCATCTCCCTCCTCTCCCTCCTCCCACTCCCCTTCCTCCTCATCCTCCCCTTCCATCCCCTTCCATCCCCTTTCCCCCTCTGCCATCCCCTCCGCATACCCATCTGCACCCATCCCCCGTTCCTCATACTCATCCGCCCCAAATCTCGCTGCACCTCCCTCTCCATCCGAGCCTGCTTCCAAGCCTTCACCCGAGCCTAGACTGTCATCCCGCCGGTAGCGTTCTCTCTGCCTCTCCTCCTCCCCACCGTCGCTCTCACTTTCGAGGGGAGATTCATTACTCTCCTCCGCCTCTCCCGCCCTCTCCTCCCCCCTCCTCGCTCCCCCTCTTCCCTTTCCATGCCATTCCTCCTCCTCGTCCTCATAGTTCTCACTGCCGTTACCCCCCCTCCCCTCTCCTCTTCCCTCCCCCTCTTCTTCTTCCTCCTCTCCATCCTCCCGCCTTTCGACTTTGCCTGCCCTTCGTTTCTCCTCCTTTCTCCCCTGCCCCCTACCCCCACTCCCACCATACTCATTATAATCCCGTTCGTACGCTCTCCTTTCAGGCTCTGAATCCTCACTTTCGTCCGATTCCCGCTGTTTGTAGTCACGCCCTTCCAGGTCTCGCTCGTGATCTCTGTCTATCTCCCCACCGCGCCTCCTCCCTTCCCCATGCCTATCCCTCTCCCTCTCATACTCCCTCTCCCTCCCATACTCTCTCTCCCGCTCCCCCTCCCCTTCCTCTTCCCCTCTCCTCCCCTCACCTCGCCGCCTCCCCTCCCTCTCCCTCCCCGCCCGCCCCGCGCTTCCGCCAGGCGGCGGAGTGCCACGTGGCGGCCTCTCCGCCTCCGTGCTGTTTTGCCGCCGGAACAACCTCCCCGAAACACCACCGCCCTTGCTACCGCCGCTGATCCCCTGCCGATCGTCGAATCCCGGCGAAGCTGCGCCGTGCATTCCGGGCGGCGTAAGTGGCGAGCCGCGGCCGCCACACGACATAGATCTGCCAACTGCGGAAAACGCGGATACAGACCCACCTCTTCCGCTTCCGCTTCCGCTTCCGCCGCTTCCCGCGCTCGCGGAGATTCGACCGCCGCCGTCGCCCTTACTAGGCGTGCTCGGCCTCTCAAGCAGTTGCTGCTGCGCTGCCGGTCGGCCGCCGGAACTTGACGGCCGGCTGACGGCCGCTGGACGGCCGCCGCTTGTAGACGGCCGGGCCGGTTGTTGACCCGTCGGCGACTGCTGCTGCTGCTGTTGCAGAAGCGTCATGACTTGGCGCGCTTTGGCCACCTGACGCGTGTTGGCGGCGTTTTCGGGCTGTTGGAGTTTTTCCATGAGCGTTGCTGCTTTGGAGAGCTGCTGCGGGGACACGTGGGCGGCTCCGCCAATCGAAGAGGAGGCGGAGCGTCGGTGGGATTTGTCGTTTTTGCTCGCCATGACGGAATGTGCTTTGAACGAAATAAATATGGATAAAGAAATGGATGAAACCCTATAAACTAGGATGCTGGTAAGGCAGAAGGCCCGAAGAATGCAGTGTCTTGTCTCAGTCTAAATTATGGTAAATTGCGGTACGGTCGAATCCGGTCGTATTAAATACGGTGGAATGGCGTAACTCTGGAGAACGAGAAAACGTTTTCCCTTCAGTCCAGAAGTCCAATTGGGAGTGAGGAGCGAATGCTTTCTGAACCGAAGCTTGAATCCAGAGTAACGGACCACGAACACGCGAAATCCGGCTTTGAAATGCACACAAATGTAACACCTGAATCCTAGAAGGCACCCTGGAATGTAGTCTAGAATGCTAACTACATTCGATAGTGATTATAATGCAGTCCAGGTGGATGGATGAGAGTTGCTGGCATCGAAGCGCCATGGATTCTTAATGGGATCGAAGCGCGCAGCCGGCATTGGCCTGATGACGATAGTGATGACAATAAGGAGCTATGGAGCATGCAGATAAGGATGGCGAAGGAAGGCGAAGAGCAGTGGCGAAAGGAAGCGAAACCCTTGTCAGGCTCTCGCATCCGAATGCTAACCTCGACTTTTCCACTTCAATAAAGATTCCGTGGAAGTTGCTTTCCAAGTTTCTCAGAAGCAGGAATGACGAGTGGCCTCCACGTCGACAATGACCAGCTTCCTGTCGGCCGTTCTGAATATCTACGAACCAACATTGGTGCGAGAAGGCCAGTTGCTGACCGAAGGAGCCGCAAACCAGCCAGCCCTTGGGAACCAGTTCTTACTACGAAGGCTGGAAGCCACCCACGCAGGGAATTCCCGCTTCTACTCCTACTGCTACTCCTCCTGCTTCTGCTAGTGTAACCTGGAAATGCTGATTGGGTTGGTTCTACCTGCTATTGCTGGTAGCTTCGATCACCTCCACAGGATAATCTCGATTTCTGTGTGCCGCTGCTGGTCTCGATTCCTCAACTTGGATAAGATAATCTCGAGGAGACAGTCTTACGAGGGCGTATATTCTCCACTTGCTTTCGTAAAACGAACGTTTCGTTGAACAGAAACTGCTAGAGTGCCAGGCAACGAAATGCAACCGAATACGAGACAAACAAACCCAAAATGCTGTATTTACGCATCTATGGTGGGACAAGCACTGCAGCGGGTGCATCGATGGGTGCCCAACCACACCCAGCCCATCACACGACTGTACAGTACACGTACCATGTTCAAAGATGTGGTAGGTGGCAGCAATGTACTATGACATCCGTTACGAAAAACACCGGTAGCATTACAGATGTACCGCATACAATTCTGATATGTAACTTCAACAAAGTGTCCTTCACGTCATACAGCAATACATGCAAGCAATACATTGGTGCAACCTACGGTACCACACGATGGCACCGTAGATAGCAAAAACATTGCTTTTAGCATGCAGGCGTGCCTTTTTTACAGTATGAACTGTTAGAAACTCACAAGTTGCCAGTAGTACATTATTGGCTGAATGCAATATCCTCTATATGGTACTCTTTAAGTTGAAGTCATTCACTTTCTTGCTCTCACTAGCGATTCGTGCCCCTACTGGAGGTACTTCCAAGATTTCAAATACGGTACCGTATAACCTTGATTAAGCTTGCAATATAAATATATGAATATTATAATATATTGTCAGGACGAGGGCGTAGCCAATATGGGTAAGGTACTGTAGCACCAAAGTGCTACACACCCTCCTTAATAACCTTCACCGCGCATAATCCCTGGACATGTAGGAGAGGTAAGTGAGGCCTTACTGCGAGACCCTAGTCCTCCTCCACCAGCTAGTGCCTTACCGCCTGACATATACACGCGATGCACGAAACCTTGAAATATATACCCTCGAAACCTAGACATATACCCATGATCTTACTGCAGAAACCCCAGTGCCTCCTCCAACGCCTCAACCACCACACGGCCGTGTTCTCCCTCAGGCAACCCAGCCCACACATGCCGAACGAACGCCCCCTGCGGGCCTGTAAGCTCGGCATGTGGCACAACTATCACCTTCCCCCTCCACTGTGGCTCACGAGCGACGTTGTTCAGGTTTGCCTGCTCCCACACGTGATGGTACAGCTCGTACTCGTCTTCACGCACATTGTACCATTGTTGATAGAACTGCGGGATGCAATGGGAGGGGGGAACAACCTCTGAGGCACCTCAAAAGACCGCCACCACCCCCATCGCTCTTACACATGATGGTACAGCTCGTACTCGTTGTCACGTACATTGTACCATTGTTGATAGAACTGCGGGAGGCAATGGGTGGGGGGAACAACTTCTGAGGCACCTCAAAAGATCGCCACCACCCCCATCGCTCTTACACATGATGGTACAACTCGTACTCGTTGTCACATACATTGTACCATTGTTGATAGAACTGCGGGAGGCAATGGGTGGGGGGAACAACTTCTGAGGCACCTCAAAAGATCGCCACCACTCCATCGCTCTTACACATGATGGTACAACTCGTACTCGTTGTCACGTACATTGTACCATTGTTGATAGAACTGCGGGAGGCAATGGGTGGGGGGAACAACTTCTGAGGCACCTCAAAAGATCGCCCCCACCCCCATCGCTCTTACACATGATGGTACAACTCGTACTCGTTGTCACGTACATTGTACCATTGTTGATAGAACTGCGGGAGACAGTGGGAGGGAGCGGAACAACAGGATGAGGTGACTCCTCTGCCGACTCAACATTCAGGTTTGCCTGCTCCCACATGCGGTGGTACAGCTCGTTCTCGCCCTCTCGTACATTCCACCACTGCTGAAAGAACTGCGGGAGATGGTGGGAGGGGGGGGAAACCTTTGAGGCGCCTCAACAGTCAGATTTGTCTGCTCCCACACGTGATGGTATAGTTCGTTCTCTCGTTCAGGCACATTGTGCCACTAGCGGAAGAACTGCGGGAGGGGAGCGAAACAACAGGATTACCTTGATATTATTTTATCGCTCATTATGATCGTATTTACAAGCTTAGTACACTCTGAATTCTCCCACATGCGCTCGTTGGTATAGCTCGTGCGCTTTCTCGGGCAAATTGTGTCACTGGCTGAAGAATTGTGGGAGGTATTGGGGGGGGAGCGGAACATCAGGATTACCTTGAGATACTTTTATCGCTCATTAGGATGGCACTAGCGAGCTTAGTACACTCAGAATTCTCCCACAAGCGTTGGTATAGCTCGTGCTCTTTTCTCAGGCACATTATGTCATTGCCTGAAGAACTGCGGGAGGAAATGGGAGGGGAGCGGAACAATAGGATGGCATTAGCGATCGTAATATAGCTCATTCGGATGGCAATAGCGAGCTTAGTGCACTCTGAATCCTCCCGAAAGTGATTGCATCAGAAATGATTGCATCAGAAATGATTGCATCAGACGTGATTGGGAGGAGGTGCATGGGAGGAGGTGGATAGGAGAGGTGTACAAAAAGCGTGACTAAATTGGGCACAAGCAGAATTAACGACAATCACCTTGAACCACGAGGGGTGTCTATCCTGAGGGGAGTCTATGCTAGGTGCTGCCCTCCTATCCTTAGGGGTGCCTATCCTAAGGGGTGTCTAACCTTAGGTGTGCCTATACTGAGGTGTGCCTATCCTGAGGTGTGCCTATCCTGGGTTGTGCCTATCCTGAGGTGTGCCTATCATGAGGGGTGTCTATGCGGAGGCAAGGGGGAAGGGGGGGGAGGGCAATGGGAATAGGGTGGCGGAAGGAAACGGAATAGCGGAAGAAAAATAAGGGGGGACGGTGATTATAATCTTAGGGAAAGGGAATGAAAGGGGAAAATGTGGGAATCTTGGGGCAGCATATCTCGGAAAAAAACAGTACACAAATCCCATCTTCCTGGTTCAATCGTTAACCACCTAGGCGAGATCCCGTTTTCCCAACAACAAATCACCAGGTAACCCCGCCGTCAAAGGTTAACACTTGATTAACATTGGTTTGGATATGTACCATGGCTTTTAGTGCTAGATCGACGCCAAGTGCTGAATGGCCTGGTTTCACCTACTTCCAACGAGTTCCATGGCATTCATTGAAGTGCCGCTACGGCGGATGCACAGCTGCGTGAAGACCATGCCTCCTCCAACAAAATGTCGTCTTCAAGCAGAAGTTCTGATCCAAACAGCAGCCCCACCAGCAGGAGTAGTACTAATAGTACCACTTCTCTTGCTACTACTACTAGTACTAATAGCAGTGATGGACGATCTCCGGCTCTACACGGCCAAGCTGGCGGATTTCGGCATCTCAGTTCGCCTGCGCGCCGATCAAGAAGCAGCGGGTTATGGCGGAAGCTTCCCATACGAAGCTCCTGAGATGATTGCTGGCGAGGCGTATGACTGTAGCGCGGATATCTGGAGCCTTGGGGTTACGCTCTATGCCATGCTGTCCGGGTGTTGGCCGTCGTTTGATGGTGGGGTGCGGCGATTGGATGAGAGCAGGGACTGGGAGGATTCTTGCTGGTGGTTTGTGTCGCGGCAGGCGAAGAATCTTGTCCGTCGGATGCTGTCGGTGGATCCTGAGATGCGACCGACGGCTGAGGAGATTTTGAGCGATCCCTGGGTGAGGGGTCAAGGCGGAGAGATAGTGCAGTATAAGCAGACTCCCTTTCTGCAACAAGCGGCTCTGATGAGCAAAGGGCGGCCTGCTGGAGCCAGAGGTCGCCGCAATCTGACTGAGAGGATGCAAAGAGGAGATGTAAATAGGGGAGAGTGCGGGGCTGCTGCTGCTGGTGCAGCAGATACGAGCAGCACAGCATCTACAGGGGTGATGACAGTGGAGACACTACACTCATCTCCTTCACAAACGTCTGTGTCTTCGTCCATTATCTCTCCACCATCCTCCTTTCCTGGTTTCCACGGCCAAGAAGGCCGTAAGCAGCAGGGTGGGTTCAGAGATTAGGTGGCAAGAGTAGGGTGTACAGTACTCAGAGCCAGAGGATAGTTAAGAGTTTCCAACAGCCTTAGAAACTCTTGAAACTCGTACTTCTAAGCAATGCTCTTTACGGGCATGACATGCATAGAGAAACACATCAGGAACAAAATAAAGGAAGATGTTCAGCCCACCAAATTGTATAAATAAAAGCAAACGGACAATCACATACAAAAAAAAAGAAAAAATCCAACAGCCCACCAAGGTTCCTTCACATTCTAGAGAAAAGAAATATGTTCAGCCCACCAATTTTGTAAACACCCCACCAAACTAGAAAACAGCCCACTGAAACACAAAAACGACACTGTGGACCATCAGAGCTCTCTTCTTCCTGTGCATACCCCAAAGAAGGGAATGAAACCAACGAGGAGTCAAAAGGTATTGGCTTTCCGAAGATTTTGGCTCCCCTGTGGACCACCAGAGCTCTCTTCTTCCTCCTGCTGGTGCACCTGCTCTGCCTTCCTTCAACTTGACTTGAGGTCTTCTGCCGCTCTTCAGCCGCACCTTTCCAAGGAACGGCCCAGCTAGCTCAAGCTCGCACTTCTGCGTACAAAGGACGATGAATGGCAGCAAATGAACCAGGAACCAGCACAGCAAGATACACGTATTAGAGGACCAATGATAGAAGACGAGGTAAGTAAAAGGGCAAAGAGGTTGAAGTGTGTGGAGAATAGATGGGGGAGAAGGGGAAATTGGTGGCGGCATGTGGGACATAGATGGTACGAAGCAGGGGGGAGGGGAAGGGAAGGGGAGAGAGGGAGTCGGTGCGAGGGGAGAGGGGAGAGGGGAAAACGCGAGATGTACCTGTGATTCCAATTGCACGTACCTATTACGGATTAAAGTATTGAATGCCTCCAGTTCTAGGGTCGTGTTCTGTGTTGTCAGCAAGAAGACATATGCTGCAGTCCAATTTGGACTGTGCGGCAGAGCTCTGGCAGTGCTTCTCGATGCATTCGTCTAGACTTGGGCCTGAAAGGAAGTTGCAACACCAATAGGCACCAAGGCATAAGGGTTCAGGACCATAGAATTGGTAAAAGACAAGGTACGGTGCTACTGCCGCTGGATCAAGGTTCATCGTGGAGTAGCTGTAAAGCTGTGGATATCACTTAGCAAAAGGATCAAAGATTTGGTAAAAGACAAGGTACACTGCGTTTACCCCTGGGGGGGAAAGAGGGAGAGAGAGGGGGCGAGAGAGAGAGAATAGGCGAGAGAGAGGGCGAGAGGGGGCGAGAAGGAGGGCGAGAGAGAGCGGGAGAGAGAGAGGACACAGAGAGCTAATGCACAGAGAGAGAGGACACAGATTGCACTTACAAGTTCCAATTCCACCGATATTCATACAGATTACACCATAATCACAACGAACGACATCGCATGTTCCTGGAGAGAGAGAAGGAGAAAGAGAGGGAGAGGGGGAAAGATAGTGAGAGAGAGGGAGAGAAAACCCCCTGATGGGGGCTTGGGGGGAGGCACTGTCCCTCAGGGACTGCCTCACAGTGAGGATCCTCGGGAACCCGCGCTGGATCTCCCTTAGAGGGTGACGGGCGGGGAGGCGGCAGAGATAGCTATTGTAGGAAGCTGAATCCCAGATTGCTTCGTATGCATGAAAACTATAACTCCTGCGTGTGTGTAACTTGACTACATCAATGAAAGGACCATGAGAGAGGGAGAGAGAGAGACGGGAGGAGGGGAGAGAGATGAGAGGGCGGGAGAGAGACAGGAGGGGGGGAGAAAGACGGGAGGGGGGGAGAGAGATGAGAGGGCGGGAGAGAGACAGGAGGGGGGGAGAGAGACGGGAGGGGGGGAGAGAGACGGGAGGGGGGGAGAGAGACAGGAGGTGGGGAGAGCGACGGGAGGGGGGGAGAGAGACGGGAGGGGGGGAGAGAGACGGGAGGTGGGGAGAGCGACGGGAGGGGGGGGAGAGGGACGGGAGGGGGGGAGAGGGACGGGAGGGGGGGAGAGGGACGGGAGGGGGGGAGAGGGACGGGAGGGGGGGAGAGAGACGGGAGGTGGGGAGAGCGACGGGAGGGGGGGAGAGAGACGGGAGGGGGGGAGAGAGACGGGAGGTGGGGAGAGCGACGGGAGGGGGGGAGAGGGACGGGAGGGGGGGAGAGGGACGGGAGTGGGGGAGAGGGACGGGAGGGGGGGAGAGAGATGAGAGGGCGGGAGAGAGATGGGAGGGGGGGAGAGGGACGGGATGGGGGGAGAGGGACGGGAGGGGGGGAGAGGGACGGGAGGGGGGGAGAGGGCGAGTGCTTTGCGGAAATGAAAGTGAACATGGCTTTGCGGAAATGGAGTATTAAAAAGAAGATGCACACAACACACCTGTGCAGATGCCATTGCGCAGTACATATTTAGAAGCGCATTTACAGACGGCGCCACGACTCGTGTCGACACAGACTTCAGAGTCGGGATCACAAGGGCTTGTCTTGCATGTTCCTGGCAAGAGTGGGGTATACCATACAAAGCAGCAAGAGTTGGTTAGAACATGCTCTTTGTATAGCATACAAAGAGTTGGATAGACAGAATGAGAATGGGGATCATGTGCAGAGATGGGGGTGGACACAAATGTTCAAAGACAGAATGAGCGTGTAGGAAAAGAGTGAGGCAGGTAAAGGAACACATCCATACCCTTGCAATTCGGGGCGGTGCCTTTGTAATAGGGAGCGTCGCAAACACATCTTCCACCGTACTCCGTTTCTTCGCAACGTTCAAAGGGACCACACTGCATGAATCGGCATCGTGCTGGCAGTTGGAGCATTCGTCAACATGGGAGAGAGAGAGAGCAGGGGGAGAGGGGGAAAGGGGGGAAAGGGGGGCTGAGGGGAGAGTGCTGGCAAGGGACCACTGCTGGACATGGCATCTACCAGTAGGGCTCTTGAGAAGTCTCAAAGGGCTCCTCTCACGTCTACAACCTCCGAATCACAGGATGAAAGTCTCTCTATTGTGTATTGTGCTCTCTACTCTAGCTTGTACAAATTTTTGCATACAGGATACAGAGAGCATGTGTGAGAGCAGTGTGTGAAGGTGGTGACAGGCTACTTACGCGCACAGGAGGTACTGGTAACTGGAGTATATCCAACCTTGCAGTGACAGTATGAAGCGTAAGCGTCCTCACGACACTCCTGGCCGAAATCGCAGGTTCGAATTGCGCATTTTGCTGGCAGATGGTGGGAGGGGTGATGGGGAGGAGGGAGAGGGAGAGGGAGAGGGAGAGGGAGAGGGACGGGGAGAGGGGGAGGTAGAGGGAGAGGGAGAAGGAGTGGGAGAGAGGGAGAGTGGGAGAGAAGGAGAGGGAGAGATGGAGAGAGAGTAAGACTTTTGGTAGGAAAAGACAGAAGGAGTGAGAATAATTGAGAACCAAAATTGAATGTTCTGGAGAATACATGAAACAGAGAGGGCCATATGCCAAGCTATCACCAAGCCATCACCTCCCTCGTCAAGCCATCATCTCCCTCATCAAGCCATCATCTCCCTCATCAAGCCATCACCTCCCTCATCGAGCCATCACCTCCCTCATCGAGCCATCACCTCCCTCATCGAGCCATCACCTCCCTCATCGAGCCATCAGCCACCTCGTGAAGCTCTATGCAGTAGCACAGACGAAGACCACACCTTTGCGTTCCTCAGACAAGACCTAGAAGTTGCCATCAAGGGGGCTTCAACGTGTGGAGCCTGTTGCGATGCCTCACGGGCCACATGGTTGACTTGAGAGCGGTGAGGTGACCACATGGTTGACTTGAGAGCGGTGCGGTGACACATGGTTGACTTGAGAGCGGTGAGGTGACCACATGGTTGACTTGAGAGCGGTGCGGTGACACATGGTTGACTTGAGAGCGGTGCAGTGACACATGGTTGACTTGAGAGCGGTGCAGTGACACATGGTTGACTTGAGAGCGGTGCAGTGACACATGGTTGACTTGAGAGCGGTGCAGTGACACATGGTTGACTTGAGAGCGGTGCGGTGACACAGGGTTGACTTGAGAGCGGTGCGGTGACACATGGTTGACTTGAGAGCGGTGCAGTGACACATGGTTGACTTGAGAGCGGTGCGGTGACACATGGTTGACTTGAGAGCGGTGCGGTGACACATGGTTGACTTGAGAGCGGTGCGGTGACACATGGTTGATCTGAGGTGCTACCTTGCCCACCTCGACCTTGGGTTTGCACGAATTTTGATACCGAAACCACTTGAGAGAGTGAGAATAGGAGAAGTACATACGAGTGCATTTTCCTCCAGGGTTCCCAAGATATCCTGGCTCGCACTTGCAAGTTGGTGCGCGGTCTACCATCTCGCATACTTGATGTTCACCGCATTGCATGACTGCGCAGGTTGCTGCTACGTGGGAGAGAGAGGGAGAACGAGAGGGGTGGAGAGGGATAGTGAGTTGAGGCAGGGGAAGAGACGGTGGTAGAGGAAGGAGGGTAATAAAACGGAAAGAGAGATAATATGCAAGGAGATTTGGAAGAGGAAAAAAAGAAGAGGAGCGGAAAATTTCGTGCATGTGGATACCAGGAGTATTACGCACGAGCACAATAGTCGCCTCTCGCGACGTATCCCGGCACGCATTCGCAAGTCCCAACCCCTCCAGGGACTTTCTCCACACAGTGTTTCTTCCACGGACAAGACAAGACCTGGCATGTTTCTGCAAGATGGGTTTAAAGATTGATCGGGAGAAGTGGGAGAACGATACAGAGGATGAGGAGAGAGCATGGCAGAGAGGTTATGACAAGCGAGCAAGATAGGCAGCAACGCGAGTGACAATGAAAGAGAGAATAATACCAATTAGAGAAGCATTGCATAGGAGGAGAGAATGAGATGCAAAGAACGCATGCGAGTAAGAGAGTAAAGTGAAAGAAACATGCACAGCACATACCAGCACAAGAACCCGCCTGGCCGACGTATCCGCTCTTGCATTTACAGGTTGCTACGCCTCCCACCATCGCACATTCTTCCCTTGGTCCACACTTCATGGCTTCACAGGTGTCTGTTGGATGGATGGAGGGAGACAGGAGATGGGAAGGGGGGGAGAGGGGAAGAGGGGAAGGCGGGAAGAGGGGAAGAGGGGAAGAGGGGAAGAGGGGGAGACGGGAAGAGGGGGAGAGGGGAAGAGGGTGAGAGGGGAAGAGGGTGAGAGGGGGAAGAGGGGGAGAGGGGGAGAGTGGGAGAGGGGGAGAGTGGGAGAGGGGAGAGAAAGTAACCTACATCGCCACTAGTGCAATGACCTTTGGCAGGAGGCGTGCTGGTGGACATGACATGGAGCAGAAGGATTGGAGGAACACGTGGGTCAGCTACTGGAGTGAGGCAGCGAAGTGGAGAGGGGAAACGCAGGAAGGAGCAAAACGACAGATCGGAAGGGAGTGGAATGTGCACGAATGATGATAAAGGGAGGGAGAGGGGAGATGGGGTCAGGGAGTGGAATGCGCACGAGTGAATGATAAAGGGAAGGCAACGGGACAAGAAAATGAGACTATGAGCACGTACTTGGGCAAGCTTGGATGCTCGTCCGGGAGTTCCAAACACAGGTACGGGGACAGTCAGCGGGACAGTTAACTGCCAAGAGGGATATAAAGGTACAGAAAGGTACAGAACGAAAGCAAGCCATCTGTCTACCTTCTCTCAACCACCAGCAATGGTATAGAAAATTTACATCTGCCACGTGACTGCTCCACATTTGCTATTTGAGCAACGTTGGTGGCTAGATAAGCAACGGCACCTAGCCTTCCTCAAGGTAACCAAGTGCAACCATTCTCACCACTCCCCCACTAAAGCGTTTTGGATTTTCCCAGCAAGGAAGGTGATGATGAGTAGGGACGATGACTGGATGGACGATGATTGGATGGACGATGATTGGATGGAATGTGTGTAAGTTGCGATGCGCACCTTTCTTACAGACCGGATAGAGTCCAGATGTGTCACAACGGTGTCCTTCTGAACAGCCCGCGGTTGTGCATGATTCTGGCAGATGGCGGGTGGAGAGTGATTATAATGAGAGGGAAAGAGGGGAGGGGAGCGCGGGTTGGCAGGGAGGGGAGGTGGACGGGGAAGGGGAGATGGGGGGTTTGGAGAGGGAAACAAGCTTCCTTGTGCTATTCACTTAGTTGAACAGCACAAGGCCAACAAAGCTTGTTGGGCAATGCCTCAGATCCAGAGAAATAGAAAAGGAGATAACGGGGTACATAGGGAAACATAGAGGAAGAACTGACGCGGGTAGATTTAAAATCCATTGCACGTACCTGTGCAATTTTCTGAGACTGGATCCGGTGAGTAGCCTTGGTTGCAGTGGCAGTATTGGGAGGACAGATCGTTGTTCCAACCCCACCACCAGTTGTGAGATTTCTCAACGCATTTGCCATTAGCACACTTGTCAGCAGTACAATTGTCACGAAGAAACTCTGGACACAGATGGAGAGATGGAGAGAAATGCAGATGAAGGATGGAGAGAAAACAGGGTGTGTAAGCAGGTGAGGCATGCAGGATGGGACACCCACCACCCTTCCATAAATCACCAGAGGCAAACAAGCAGGTGATTTTGACTCCACTAAAAAATCACCCGCATTTCAGCAGGGGCAAGGTACATATTCAAGTGGGATTGGCTTGAAAAACACATCAAACGTTTCCTGATTGCTCAAAATGAGCTGTGATACTGTGCAAGCGCACGCCATATACTACAGGTCATGAGCATATCCAGGCAAGCAAACCATTTTGTGAGCCACACAAACCTCATTCACACCACTGCATACAAGGAAAATACCAGCACATACGTACGAAAATACCGGCACAAAGGACAGCACATACGTACGTACCAACACACTCTCCGTTTTGGCGATAGTATCCAGCCACACACTCGCATCTTCCAGGAATCCCGTTTGGGAGGTCACGTAGTAAAAGTGTATTTTTGAGACGTGTCAAAAGAACATATGTACGTACCAGCACACTCCCCGTTCTGGCGATAGTATCCAGCCACACACTCGCAGGTTCCAGGGATCCTGTTGGGACTGTGTTTCAGCTGCTGACATTGCACATGGGATTCTTCCAATAAACCGCACTGTGTTGGACTCGACGGATCATACAAAACCTTGCATGTTGCTGGCGGATGGTTGGCGAGAGGGGGTATGTCGGAGATTGGAATGTGCAAAGGGAGAGGGAGAGGGAGAGGGAGAGAAGGGGAAGGGGGGGGGGGCGGGGGGGGGGGTTTCTCAGATAATCCTTCCCCTCTCAAATCGCTCCTATCGAAGGCCACTACGGCCTCTCGGCAGACCGAGGATGTGAAGGGTGACAGGGAGGAGCAAGAGTCTCAGCGGGGTAGCAACAGAGCGATGAGTGGGGGGGGGGGGGGGGGGGGGGGTGTTGCTCGGGGGCATTCTATGTATTCTTGTGTATGCCATATGACTTGGTTCTTGCTGTCTAGCTACATCGGTCTTACCTTGCCAAGGCTTGTACCCCTGTGCCTATTCTATAACATGACCGCTTGAGAGGAACGAAGAGAGAATGGCAAAAATGAAGAAGGGCATACGTACGGGCACAAACGCGTGCCTCTCTGCGAAGGTACCCATCCTTGCACACGCATTTAGCATGGGTCCGCTCCTCGATGCTTTGAGGAATACAGTCTTCTTCTGGGCTGCAATTCACGTCTGGGTGACCGCATGTTGCTGGAGGATGGATGGCACGAGAGGGGGTATGCAGGAGAGAGGGAGGGGAGCACATGTTGTTAAGTGGCGTTCAGCTGCTGACATTGCACATGTCAGCATGCAGTTTGGACTGAGCAATGAAACCTCAAGAGTTAACAAAACTTTATTGTATGGACTTGAGCTGGTGGAAATATGGACGACTGCAAATTGTGGGAGTAGCGTGAAAAACAATCCGCAAATTCGGAAGACGTCCGATGCACAATGTTATGAGTAGGCGGCTCAACCATTTCCTGCACTCCCACACACAACAACGTACCGAGACAAGATCCAGGCTCGCCAACCATGTTGTCGCCGCATGTGCAAGTAATATCGTCACGACAAACGGCTGGGGGCGGACACCACCTTGACCAGCACTTATCTGGCAGATGGTTGGCGGGGAGAGGACGGGAGAGATAGAGAGGGGGAGAGTTATCAATTATATACATGGCACGCCAATGATGTTCCTTGGATACGTAGAGAGGGGGGAGTGAAGGGGAGAGGGGAAGAGAGAGAGAGCGAGGGAGTTCACATACGCACCGATGCAAGTCCCATTTGGCAGCGAGACGGTGCTGTCCAAAAAGCAAATGCACTTGGCCTCCGAAGTGACAGGGTCATGCTCGCAAACTCCTCGTATTCCACACTCCAAAACCTCGCAGTCATCTGAGAGAGGGATGGAGGAAATAAAAAGGGAGAAAAAGGTAGAGAGGTGAAGAGAGTGCAAATCGGGGGGAGATGGCGAGAATGGGGGATGAGAGGTAGAGAGGAAGGGGATGAGCGGGGAGAGACATAGTGCAACATCAATGAAAAGCTATGCTACGTACCGACACACAAACTGCAGGTTTGCAAATGTAGTTAAGTACTGCATACCCATGTTGCTTGCAGTGCCATAATTTCTCACAAGCTTTGCCACCACGCTTGATTGCGCATGCATCTAGCAGGCGGTTGGTCGCAATCTCTCGACAGCTTCTCGACATGATTTGAGGAGCTACAAAACAGCACTTGTGATCTCTCTTACCGAGGGTTAGAGAGGGAGGAAGCACCAAGTAGGCTTCACATAAAGAAAAAAAAACCACCAATGCACACCTTTGCAAGTGCCATCAGATTGCATGGTAAAGCCTTTGCTGCACTGGCAGGATGCTGTCCCAGATACAGGGTCCTTGGCACACACAGCCGAGGGATGACATTCCTTGAAATTGCAGTTATCTGACAGGGAGGATGCAAAAAACAACAGTTGCGGTAAGTACCATTTGAGAAGGAAGGCAAGTAAACGACCACCCGAAAGCTCTATCTCACGGTACTATCAGGAAATGCACGGCCTGGGGGAAATGCACTTTGTGTGAAATTTTTACACGCAAAAAACAAAAGGTCAGATGCTCTACCAGTATTAATGATGCCAACTTGCCAAGCATGGAATGGAACGGAAAAATGGAAGGCGAGCAAGAAAAGGCACGAGCAAGAGGATGAAGTAGAGCCAATCCAACCGCTCTGAGACATCTTGAGGTGCTACATACCAGCGCAATACATGTCTTGAGCAACGTCTCCAACGCAGCTAGAACCAATGGGGCAGCCCGTGACGAGGCATGTTGCTGGCGAAGGAATGGGGGAGGAAGAGAGAGGGATCGTGGGGAGGGGAGGGGGGAAGAGGGGAAGCAGAAGGGAGAGGGGGGAGTGGCGGTTGTGCTTTCAAACACAGGACCATTTGAGAGGGAGAGGGGAGGAGGGAGGGTAAAGGGTGCTTCCATTGCTAAAGGAGGTGAGGGGCGGTTAGACCGAGAGCGAGTATTGGGGATGGGGTAAAGCGAAGGAGGCCAAATATACGCACCAGCACAGGTGTTATTTGGTAGCATGTAGTAACCGTCGTTGCAACTGCAGGTTTTAGCTCCACTTTGCTGGTCCGTCTCACATGTAGCATGAGAATCACAGAGAGCGCACGAATCTGACAGGAGGGGTGCCAATATTTAAGAGAGAATGTGAAAGAGGGTGGGGGGACGAGGAATCGTAGGTTGCAAGAAACACAATGTTTTAGGAAAGGGACGTATAGTAGGCCACATAAGCAGTGAAAGAGAGTTGTAAGGGCGACAAAAAAGGGGAATGCTCATTCCTGAACCAAACAACGAGAAATCTGTGCATACCGCTGCATCCCCAAGCATGTTTTCCCCATCTGCAAACAAGTACCTCACCTACCAACGCCTCATCACACTTATCTAAGCTTCTAAACGCATTAAATGAAACCCATGTTGCCACGTCAGAGCCAGCAAAGATGTTTAGCAAAGTTGTAGCACGTTTGCCTTGAGCATCCTTGTCAGCAAACAGAGGAAGACACACAAAAATACACGTACCACGCATCCGGGTCATCCTTAATTTGTTTACGTACCAACGCATGTCTCAGACACATTCGTGAAGCCCTGCTTGCAGATGCACACTGCTACATCAAGCTTGCCCTTGACACAGGTGGCGTTGGCACCACAATCCTGCACAATGCACGAGTCTGGAAAAAAAAAAAAACCGGAGCGGGAGAAAAGACAAGCAAGGGAGCAGTCAGATCCGCGAGAGACTGGGTGGATAGGGTAAATGAGGGTCAACGAGGCAGGATATATAAGAGTGCGAGCAATCGAGAGGGAGTGAGGAGGGAGTGCGGGAGTGAGCGAGGGAGTGAGGGAGTGAGCGCATGAGGGACAGAAGGGAGTGAGGGAGGGAGGGACAGGAGGGAGGGACAGGAGGGAGGGACAGGAGGGAGGGACAGGAGGGAGGGACAGGAGGGAGGGACAGGAGGGAGGGACAGGAGGGAGGGAGGGAGGGAGGGAGGGAGGGAGGGAGGGAGGGAGGGAGGGAGGGAGGGAGGGAGGGAGGGAGGGAGGGAGAAAAAGGAAGTCGGAACTAACGGAACGGACAAGGTATAAATGAACAATGGTGATAAGGCAGGCCCTTACCCAGTGCCACAGGCACACCACCCAGCCATGCGGCAACCTTAGCAACACTCACCCACGCAGCCATCATTGGGAGTCCTGGTGTACCCATCGTTGCAGCTACACATGTCACTCCCTGTTGCATTCTTGAAACAAAAGGCATTCTCTCCACAGTTGTTCACAGTGCATGGCTCTGAGGGGAAGGGAGGGGGAAGGGGGAAGCGAAGGGAGGGAGAGGCATGGGAGGCACTGAGGGTTGCAGGCTTGCAAGCATGACTCTCACTCAGGCACGATGGGAGATGAGGAAGCCAACTGTGCCGCTCCTCTGGTAGGCGAGTTCGTTTGTCTTCCCGCTTCTCTGGGGGAGCTTGTCTACTCGCCAAGCAAGCAGCCAAGTGCCTTCTCAATGCAGGCCCGAGCAGCATCCCCTCAGCCCGCATAATCCACTTCTACAGGCCGCGGATAACAGGGAGAGATAAGCGATAAGCGAGAGAGATAAGCGATAAGCGAGAGAGATATGCTATAAGCGGGAGAGATAAGCGATAAGCGAGAGAGATAAGCGATAAGCGAGAGAGATATGCTATAAGCGGGAGAGATACGTGAGAGATAAAGGATAAGCGAGAGAGATAAGCGATAAGCGAGAGAGATATGCTATAAGCGAGAGAGATATGCTATAAGGGGAGAGATGCACAATGCTACATCACGATTTCCCTTGAAATGGGTGGTCTTGCCAACACAACACTGCACAATGCACGAGTCTAGGAGGAAAATAGGAGCGGGGAAGAGATAAGCGAGCAGCGAGAGAGTGAGAGAGACAGAGAGCAAGAGAGAACGATGCACCCATAATGATGTACCCCCCATATAATAAATAAAGGGAGTAATTAGAGGGGGGGATAGAGAGAGAACGCACCAGTGCAATTGCCGAATGGAGACAGGATATAGTAGTCGTTGCAACCCGACTTGAAGAGTTTAGGGTTCGAAAGTTTGAAGAGAGTTTGAACCAGCAGTTTGCAGAGAAGACATGAGCACAGACTTGGGATGAAAATAACAAAGAGAGGGGGTGTGAAAGAACCGGCGCCATCACGTACGAAAGCAATGAGCGCCGTTCCATGCGAAGCCGAAATCACAAGAGCAATCACCTCCACCTCCATTGCACCAGGCATGCTCGGGGCAGTCACTGTTGTTGAGACACACTGGACACAGGGAACGAGGAGGGAGAGATGGAATGGAAGTAAAGCAATGAAAGATACCATGGTTGAGAAGTGTTGGGGTGGTTGTGAAGTAATAGGGTGGTTGGCAATGGCACTCACCAATTCATGTCCCCAAGTGAGTGAGACGGTAGCAGAAGAGATGTCATTGAAAAATGTTGTTGTATTAACTTGCTTAAAGACCTTTGTGGTGGAAAGCAAGCCTACCACAACAGCATGTTTTAACTAAACAAGCTGCTGCCACGCAAAGTCATGCCTCCTAAGTGGGGTTCCATCGGTAGGTAGCGAAAGTGATGGCACAGAAATACTTACCACGGCATGAGGTGTCACTTGGCCGGAAGCCAGCATCACATTTACACACTCCCAAATCTCCAGAAACCTTGGCGCAACTGGATTTCTTGGGACAATCCGTTTTCGTGATGTCGCACGCGGCTGCATGGGAGTGAAGCAAAGAGACGTGGCCAAGCGGGATTCACCGACATTATCACAACAGAGTTGAGCATAGAGAGATGGAAGGGTTGGATGAAGCAGGGGGCGACCAACAGAGCAGGACAGAACGCACATGGAGGGGGAGTCAAAGAGACGGGCAGACAGAGAAGAGGGGTGGGGGGCGGGGAGGCAGGTGGGAAGAGGGAAAGGTGATCGAACAAGCACAACGTACCGACACAAATGCCAGCCACCCTGATGGTTCCATTGATGCATTCACAGGTGGTACCGCTTTCCTGCATCACACACACTTCCGATTCGCCACACCAAGTGTGATCGCATGATTCTGCAAGCAGGGAGGGAGAGAGGTACAGAGAGATTCGTGAAGCCCCACTGGCAGGCATAGATCGCAGCATCTTGAGCAGCCATGAGCGGAAGGAGCAAGACATCTTGAGCAGCCATGAGCGGAAGGAGCAAGACACCTTGAGCAGCCATGTGCGCTTAGTGAATGCGGGAACGGGTGGCTACCAGCAGAGCAGAGCAGGTTAGAAGAAAGCACATGAGGGAGAGTACAAGACACGGGCAGAGAGAGGGCTTGAACAACGTACCGACACAAGAACGACCGACCCTGACGCGTCCATACTCGCATTCACAGGTCACACCGCCTTGATGCTCAAAACATCTCTCCCAGTCTCCACACGCGTTCGGAACATTACATCTTTCTGGAAGCAGGGAGGGAGAGAGATAACGAACGTGCACTTGCATGCACATTCGTGAAGCCCCACTGGCAGGCACAGATCGCAGCACCTTGAGCAGCCATGACCGATTAGTGAATGAGGGGACGGGAGGCAGGAGAGAAGAAAGCACATGAGGGAGAATGCAAGACACGGGCAGAGAAAGGGCTTGAACAGCGTACCGGTACAAGAACCACCGAACCTGACGAGATTATCCGCGCATTCACAGGTCACACCGCCTTCATGCTCGACACAATGCTCCCCATCGAGGCACACGTTCGGAACATCACATGTCACTGGAAGCAGGGAGGGAGAGAGATACAGACAGAGAGAATGAACGTGCACTTGCATGCACATTCGTGAAGCCCCACTGGCAGGCACAGATCGCAGCACCTTGAGCAGCCATGACCGGAAGGAGGAAGACAAATGCAATTAGTGAATGAGGGAACGGGAGGCTACCAACAGAGCAGGAGAGAAGAAATCACATGAGGGAGAGTACAAGACACGGGCAGAGAGAGGGCTTGAACAACGTACCGACACAAGAACCATTGACCCTGACGCGGTCTTCCGCGCATTCACAGGTTGTACCAAAATCATGCTCAACGCAATGCTCCCATTCGCCGTAACACTGGTGCGGAATATCACACGACGCTGGGAGCAGGGAGGGAGAGAGATATAGAGAGAGAGCGAGAAAGCGATGACAAAGGGATACACGACACTCCACACTTGTGTTCCGACCGTGTTCCGACCCTTTCACTATAGAGAGTGCGACAAGTGGGGAGATAAAGGGCGAGAGAGTGGGTTGCGACAGAGCATGGAGAGGAGAGGAGAGGAGAGGGTGAAAGCGTAGAGCGGGGAACTGGAGATAGAGGGAAGGGAAAACGAAAAGAGATAGTTGGGAGGAGGGGGAACTCCCAGCTGGATAGCAGCAGATCCGCACGAAGGGAATCGGAGGTGTTGTGTTGCCTGGGGGTAGAGATGTAAGTTCGGACTGCAGATAACTGCAGCTGCAGCTACGAGACCCCATATATTTGTTTGTTGCATGCATCCCAGAGGGCCTAGATTCATCTACCGTGCTATCAGTGAGCAGGACCGCAGGAGAGAGAGTGCAGGTGAGGGAGCAAAAGGCATCAGTACGCCGACAAAGAAGCACACCACGTACGTACCAACACACGACCCAGGCTCCCCAATGTATCCACAACAACATGTGCAGAGTGCCTCGCCGTCGCCATTCTCCCAACACGCTTCCCCAACGCCACATTTCTTGATCATGCACGTTTCTGGTACATGGTCGGGGGAGGAGAGCGTGGGCGTGGAGAGAGAGGAAATGTAAGCGTCAGTTTGAGAGGAAATGTAAGCGTCAGTTTGAGAGGAAATGGAAGCGTCAGTTTGAGAGGAAATGTAGCGTCAGTTTGAGAGGAAATGTAAGCGTCAGTTTGAGAGGAAATGTAAGCGTCGCTTTGAGAGGAAATGTAAGCGTCGCTTTGGAGAGGAAATGTAAGCGTCGCTTTGAGAGGAAATGTAAGCGTCGCTTTGAGAGGAAATGTAAGCGTCGCTTTGAGAGGAAATGTAAGCGTAACTTTGAGAGGAAATGCAAGCGTGACTTTGAGAGGGAATTTTAGGGGTCACTTTGAGAGGAAATGTAAGCGTGACTTTAAGAGGGAATTTTAGGTGTCACTCTGAGAGGAAATGTAAGCGTGACTTTGAGACTTTGAGAGGGCCATAGCGTGGAAGAGAGAGCGAGAGTGAGTGAGGGTTGACTCAGAGGGATTTCCCCGACGCTCAGAGGGACACGTGTGCGCCCTCCTTTGCAGACGAGCAGCGGACAGAGCATAAGCAGGATTATGTGGAGAAGGCGGGGGGGGAAGGGGGGGGGTGGTCCTAGCAGGTCGCGGGAGTAGTTGTTGTGGGTTGGTGGGGGAGGAAGGAGGGAGGAGAGCGTTGGGAAGGAGAGGAGAGAGAGGGGAGGGGGGACACGCACCAGTGCAAGTGCCATTTGGCAGCGTGTTATAGTTGGGGTTGCAAATGCATTGACCGTCGCTGCAGTGCGAATTGGAAACGCACTTCACACCATTGCACTCCTCTTGAGGCGGAGGCGGAGGCGGGGCGGGTTGAAAGGCTGCGAGCGCCTGAGGAGAGGCCACGGGCGGCGGAGGAGAGGAAGCGGGCGGCGGAGGAGATGAAGCGGGCGGCGGAGGAGATGAAGCGGGCGGCGAAGGCGATGAAGCGGGCGGCGGAGGAGATGAAGCGGGCGGCGGAGGAGATGAAGCGGGCGGCGGAGGTGTTGGTGCAACCCTACGGTTTACACTCGGCTTGATGTCCGTGTGCGTGCATGTGTGTGTGTATGGAATGGTATGAGGGCATGGGATAATATATATTTCATGCTTATAATTGTGTGTGAATGTTGAGTCATGATGTCGAGTGTGTGTGTCGAGTCAATAGCGAGTTATCGCTAGACGCGTGTTACGCGGTCGTTTGTGTCTCGCGCGCGGTTTCTATTTTGTCGTGCGCGGTTTCTATTTTGTCCTGTGTCGAACGTTCGGCGTGTCGCAGGTGTGTGCAGCAGACCCATCAAGAACTCAAGGATGAGTTTGTGATGAAGAGCCCGAGCCTTGGTGTCAAGCCTCAAGTGATTTCGAAGCTCGCCAAAAGGGTACACCTCAAGATATTGAAGATAGTTACATTACTTTGTGTAGTGTAACATTTCACTTGGTGTAGGCCCTAGTGAAGGGTAGTTTCGAGACCCTTCGTGGTTGGGGACAGTGTGGCACTGTTCCACATCACTGTACCTCGGCTCTTGGGGTTTGTAGGAGCTGGGAGTCATTCCCAACTCGTAACTCTTCCTAACTCTTCCTATCTTGTGTTCTAAGACTATAGTGGCTGCCATAGTGCCGTTCGTTCAAACTGACGTTGTGTCGTCAATACTTGGTGAAATCGTGCGATCTAAATTGCCTATTGTAGGCGACAATAAGACGCTCCAGATCCAAGTTGAATCAAGTCATTTGAAGCTGTGACCAGAACGCTATGAACGTTTGAAGCCGCTGTGCAGAAATCCGGCTGTGCACTCTATCTTTCGTTTTAGGCACATTGGAGCCTACTGTGACTATAACAGGAGGCGATGAAGCGGGCGGCGGAGGAGGTTCAGATGCTGAGGGAGGGAGGGAGGGAGGGAGGGAGGGAGGGAGGGAGGGAGGGAGGGAGGGAGGGAGGAGTTGCAACGAACGGGCCGCAAGAGCGACAAGAAGGTTTCTCAGAAACAGTAACAGTAGCAATCAAATGGCATTGGTGGTGTTGCACTCGAACAGAAAAATACCTTCACACTAATCTCTTCCAAAGGACACACCTGTGGACCTCACATGTTTCTGGAAGCAGGGAGGAAGGAGCGAGATACGAAGAACAACGTACCAGAACAATATCCATTTCTCCGAGTGTACCCAGTCTTGCACATGCATTCGTAAAGCCCTCCACCGTTATCACATTCCTCATTTTCGCCACAGCCTGTGATGTGGCAGGTTTCTGGCGGATGGAGTGGACGGGTGGAGAAAAGAGAGAGCGGGCGAGGGGTTGAAAGAGGTGGAGAGCAGGAGTACCCCTACCAGAGCGCAGGCTACTGAGCAAGACCGCATGAAAGAGAGTTCGGGAGAGGGATCGAGGGGCATTAATATGCAGACAAAGAAACACAGCACGTACCAACACACGATCCAGTTCCCCAATGCATCCATCGAGGCATCTGCATACTTTCGAGAATTCTCAAAAGTGACTCCTCCCAAGAAACGCACACACCAAGTAGTACGTACCAACACACGATCCCGGCTCCCCAGCGTATCCATCGAGGCATCTGCAGACCGACTCGCCGTTGTCGCCGATGAAATCCACACACTCCTCCCCAGCGCCACACGTCTTGATGCTGCACGATTCTGGTACATGGTCATTGGTCAGGGGGAGTGAGAGTGTGGAGGGGAGGATAGAGAGGGGGGTTGGGACGGGGGAAAGAAGGTGGAAGAGGTGGAAGAGGCGAGTTCCCTACTAGGGCGCATGTTGGGCAAGAAATCGTGAGAGAGAGTGCGGGAGAGGGGGCGAGGGGCATCAATACGCACACTACGTACCAACACACGATCCCGGCTCCCCAGCGTATCCATCGAGGCATCTGCAGACTGACTCGTCGTTGTCGCCACCAAAGTCCACACACTCCTCCCCAGTGCCACACGTCTTGATGCTGCACGATTCTGGTAAATGGTCAGGACGGGGGAGGGGGAGAACGGGGGAAGAGAAAGGGAGAGAATTTGAGCAGAAATCTAGTGCCAGAGCGTGGGACAGACAGAGTGCGAGAGTGAGTGAGTGACACGCCAAGTCCCAACGTGAGCATTCTCCCCCTCCAGGGGGAAGGGGGTAGAGGGAGAGTGGGAGAGAGAGGGAGAGGGGGAACACGCACCAGTGCAAGTGCCATCAGGTAGCATGTTATAGTCGGGGTCGCAAGCGCATTCACCGTCGGAGTTGCAAGAAGAGTTGGGACCGCACTCCACACCATCACAGGGATCTGGGAAGAGAGATGTAGGCAGTTTGAACAAGTGGGGCAGGAGCGCGCTAGTACAGCGGGATACCTAGCGTGTTAATGGTGCATGCGGCACGGGGCATGGTGCATGGGGCACGGGGCATGGTGCATGCGGCACGGGGCATGGTGCATGGGGCACGGGGCATGGTGCACGGGGCACGGGGCATGGTGCACGGGGCACGGGGCATGGTGCAAAGGGCACGGGGCATGGTGCACGGGGCACGGGGCATGGTGCACGGGGCACGGGGCATGGTGCACGGGGCACGGGGCATGGTGCATGGGGCACGGGGCATGGTGCATGCGGCACGGGGCATGGTGCACGGGGCACGGGGCATGGTGCACGGGGCACGGGGCATGGTGCATGGGGCACGGGGCATGGTGCATGGGGCACGGGGCATCGTGCATGGGGCACGGGGCAAGGGCCATGAGGCACGAAGCATGAGGCATGGGACAGACAGAGTGCGAGAGTGAGTGAGTGACACGCCAAGTCCCAACGTGAGCATTCTCCCCCTCCAGGGGGAAGGGGGTAGAGGGAGAGAGGGAGAGAGAGGGAGAGGGGGAACACGCACCAGTGCAAGTGCCATCAGGTTGGGTGATATAGTCGGGGTCGCAAATGCATTCACCGTCGGAGTTGCAAGAAGAGTTGGGACCGCACTCCACACCATCACAGGGAACTGGGAAGAGAGATGTAGGCAGTTTGAACAAGTGGGGCAGGAGCGCGCTAGTACAGCGGGATACCTAGCGTGTTAATGGTGCATGCGGCACGGGGCATGGTGCATGCGGCACGGGGCATGGTGCATGGGGCACGGGGCATGGTGCATGGGGCACGGGGCATCGTGCATGGGGCACGGGGCATCGTGCATGGGGCAAGGGCCATGAGGCACGAAGCATGAGGCATGGGGCATGGAATATAGTATCACGGGACACGGGCACAGGGCATGTATCATGAGAAAGCACCCTCAACATAGTCATTCACATCACACCAGCCATCAACATAGTCACTCACTGGCACATCTTCCATCGGGGAGCATGACTAGTCCAAGACCAGGCTTGCACAAGCAGAGTCCGTTGGTGCAGTACTTGGACTTGCATTCCTTGGGATTGACGCACGTGGCTGGTGGAGGCACCGCACAGAGGAGCATAGCGCAGGGGTAGACGGGCGCAGAAGATGGGGGGGGGGGGGGGGGGGGGGGGGTGTGAGAGGCAGGAGAACACGGTGGTGCTAGAGCAGGCCTGGCTAGGGTTGTTGCTCTCTGAAGGATCTACAGCAGGGAGAGAAAACTTGCAGGATAGATTGAGACGGGAGCAGCAACAGCAGCAATGGTGCCGACAGCAACAGCGGCAATGGCGGCAGCAGCAGTGGCAGCAGCAGGCGTGGCGGCAGCAGAGTGCATCAACTCACAGACACAGACTTGCACGTCGGCGTTCCACACTTTTCCCTGAGGACAGGCCGGAGGAAGGAGAACAGCCTTAGCGCGAGGCATGGAGGCTGGAGGGACAGGGGAGGAGAGGAGAGGAGAGAGAGGGTAGAGGGAGGAGAGGGGAGTTGGAGATAGAGATCAGAAGATCAGCCTCTGCCTGGTGAATGCAACTCGGTTGGGGCGGAGGAAGGAGGGACAGGCACAGAGGCATTGCAGCGATTGTCACCAGCGAGCGACGACCCTCATCAGCGACAATGGCGACGGTTATTCTCAGTTGACGGCAGCAACTATCACGAGAATCACGTGCGTGGCTCATCACTGGCGATGATCACCATCGCCGGGCGACGATCACGATCATGGGTGGGCGACGATCACCACGAGTGACGATCATCAACAGCATCATCATCAGCACCGACGATCGTCGGCGACAGTCAGCAGCAGCAGCGATCATTAGCTGCGCTGCGACGACTTGGAACGGAAATTCACCTGCAACGACGCTCATTACGACTACTATATAAACAGGGATTTACCTCCTTTGATCAAAGTCCTCACCTGCTACGAGCATCAGAGTCGCCAGCAGCGATCCAAGCCCAATGCGGCGGCCGCAGCCGAAAGTTGGCATGATGATGACCATGCTCCTCAGAGAGCGCTCTTGAGAGCGCGGCGAGCGAGAGAGAGCGCGGCGGCGATCGTGGAGCACCGAAGGCCAAGGTATGGGTCGATGATGGGTTACTGACCGGAAGTGTGAGCAAAGCTATGGGCTTCGCGGCTTTTAGTACGAGGAATGAGGACGCGGAACTTCCGCGGAAGCTGATACGAGCGAGGCCGCGGAAAGGTCACACCAAACGGCGGTAAGTCCGCGTCACCACCGGCGGATGTGCGAGGAAACATGATGCGCATCTCTCTCGCGCCGGAGGCCCCGGCCGCAAAACCTAACTTCGCTAACCCAGCCTTGGAGGGGTCCGCAGTGGGAGGATTCCGCTGATGGGGGGATTTTTTTCCGCCGAGCGTGCTGTACTGGAACCCAGCCCGAGGCGGCTCGGGGAGCCGCCGTCTCATTAGTATGTGGTAGATACCATCGTCAACTTTAATGTTGTGGATCGGTCCCAAACAGAGCCTTCAAGTGAGTCATATGGGACAGATTAAACCACCATCACGGGTGAACGGCGGCTCGAGCAGCCGTCTCATTAGTATGTGGCTGTACTACCACCGCCAGCTTCAAACGTTGTGAATCCGTACCAAATTGCGCCTTCAGGAGTCATATGGGACAGATTATACCAGCATCACGGGAATCCGTTCAGCTGAGCGGCTCCGGGAGTCGTCTCAGTGAGGTAGATACTATGCGCACTGTACAGTACCACCATTACTACGCGTGAACTCAGCCAGCTGATGGAGCGCGCCAGATTGGCCACATCCCGCACGAACGACGAATGCACTGACCTGAGTCGGTCCCAGTGACATTGCCAACCAACCAGCCACACAAAACAACCAAACTCTCAAACAGACGAGCGGCGATCGTCTAATCGAAATTGGCCGCACAACGAGTGACTTCTGCAGCCACAAACGAGAGTGAATGGTTGGCGTGGCGAGAATGGCACGTGAACGTATCCATTCCTGGTCAAGGGAATAGGCGCGCGGTGGTGACTGGACGGGAAGAGCCAGCTGCCCGCTGTTCCGACCTAATCTACAGTAGTCACCCGCAACTCCCCCCACTTTCCCCCGTCCCAGCTTCCCCCGGCAAAAACCGCGCCATGAGCGACTGTATCTGTTACGCGATTGGGTAGACGGCCAGGGCATTCCAAAAAGTACGGCCAGGCATTCCGTAAGTCCACAAAACTGTCGGCGTAACTGTTTCGAACATTTCCTGGGATTAGAAGCGTTTCCTGCTTCAAACGTATGTCATGTCGAGCTCTTGAGTCTTAACGGATATCTAGGATACGCGCTATACAGTTCAGTAGAACCATCCCACGTGAATCCAACCAATTGATGGAACCCGCCAGATTGGCAACATCCCGCTCGGCCAATGATGCACCTAACCCGATCATGCCAAAGACGGTAACACCAAAGCAAAGGGGGTAATGCCTCTGCTATACTGTACCTATACCTGACCTGATCATGCCGGATAAGTGAGATTGCCAGCCAGCCACACAATCAACCCTGACGATGGAGGGCGAGGGGTGGGGAGGGGAGGGGGGACGGGGGAAGGGAGAGTGCTCTCCCGGAACTCGAACAAACAGGGTACTTTACAAGGTAGTATTCTCCATTAAATTACCTCGGAGTTACGTGAGTAAATTTCATGTTATGTTTTCTGTCAATGAAAGAGTGTGCGAAAGTCAATATTGAAGAAGTAATTACAATCACTAAGCAAACAATGAAGCCTAGCAATGATATAGCAAATGACATAGTTAGGCGGGAACCTTGGAAAGACAAGGTTGGTGCTGGTCCCGGGTTGTGGAGTCCGAACTGAAGGCAACAACCTAGCCTGATCTTCCGAAAGTTACGTTTAGAGTGATTGCAGTGTAGGATCGCTTTGTGGAAAAACACTCAAGGTACATACAGTATATCTACAATCCTGTGCTAATAAAAGAAATAATGGAACAAGACAGCAGCCGGCGTTCAGCAAGACCTAACCCCTGAACCGCATTACTACCAAGGTTTTGACCCCAATTTGTCCTCATCAGCAGCCAAACTCGTGCCTCGTCAGTAAAAAATGGAACTCAGGGCTGCACAACATTCCAAGCACTGCCACCACTTCCAATCTATCAAACACCCAAACCAAGTTTTGCACAGACGGCAGCACCACATCCTGTTGCGCAAAAGCTGACCACAGCATTGCCGCAACCTACGCTACACAAGTGTTGTTGTAGGCAATGCTGCAGCGCACGGACTGCCATTTCATGCGCTGTCACAGGAGCAGCAGGTTGATGTCGTGCACACGCACACGGAATGGAGTAGCAGCCGCACTTGATTTCGTACACCTGCTGCACAGAGGCAACAAGCCTCGTGTCAATATACCTGCACTGACGTCACTAGCCCGGCTTGATCTTTCACAGCAGGTGCTGCCTGCCATTGCCACGGAGCGACAGAGCTTGGCATGAAAGTGTTCGCGCCCTGTAATCACACCCCCCCTATTAGATGTTGTACACCTGCTGCTCAGCAACAGCAGCCCCATCAGCCCCTCTAGATGTCATACACCTGCACGGACCCCAGCAGCTCGTCCTGCTCCTTCACAGCCGGCGCTGCCACGCCACAGCCAATGGAGCGACAGAGCTTGGCATCAATGACTTGCCTTCCTACAATCACACACACCCCACTAGGTGTCATACACCTGTTGCACAGCAGCAGCAGTTGTAGCAGCCCCTCTAGATGTCATACACCTGAACTGATGCCAGCAGCTCGTCCTGCTCCTTCACAGCCGGGGCAGCCACGGCCACGAACAGAGCTCGACATCAACGTTTTGATTCTCAAATCACACACCGTCTAATTTAGATGTCATACACCTGCACCGATGCCAGCAGCTCGTCTTGCTCTTTCACAGCAGGGGCAGCCACAGCCACGGAGCGACAGAGCTTGACAGCATCGGCGGGAGTGACGAATAGCCACCGCTCGCCCATCTCGGCTAGAAAGTTGGCGTCCCACAGCTTGCGGAGGACGTCCCTTGATGCACCGGATAGGCAGAGCTGCAGAGGGGTTGAAAGGGGTGGGAGGGGTTTCAAGGGGTTCACAAAGAGCCACTGCTTGCCCATCTCGGCTAGAAAGTTGGCATCCCACAGCTTGCGCAGCACGTCCCTTGATGCACTGGATAGGCAGAGCTGCAGGATGAAGGGAGGGAACGGGGGGGGGGGGGGGAAAGGGTGGTGGTTGGGTTGAGGACAGGGGTTTGAAGCGGGTGACGAAGAGCCACTGCTCGCCCATCTAGGCTAGAAAGTTGGCGTCCCACAGCTTGCGGAGGACGTCCCTTGATGCACTGGATAGGCAGAGCTGGAGGAGGGACGAAGGGAGGGGGTGGGGGTTGGGTTGAAATGGATGAGAAGTGGTGGGAAGGGATTGCGGTGGGTGACAAAGAGCCACTGCTCGCCCATCTCGGCTAGAAATTTGGCGTCCCACAGCTTGCGCAACACATCCCTTGATGCACTGGATAGGCAGAGGTGCAGGAGGGAGTGGGGGGAGATGGGGGTGAGGTGCGGTGAGAGTGGGTGAGATGATGGAGGGAGAAGGTAAGAGCCACTGCTCGCCCATCTACGTCAGCCCACAGCCCATTCCCCACTTGAAAGGCCTTTTCTGAAAGATCTTGGTGCCGCTCCTCCAGACCAACGCCTTTATGGCCGCCAATGTTCACCATCACGCTATCACCTTCGCCCCTCACTCCCACCCCTCAACCCGCGTACCTGAATGCTCTTCTCAGACAGTCGGTGCAGCTCCTTCAGCCCATCACGCTACATTGCACGCCCCTTAACACATTATCCCTTACCCTTGGCCATTGTACCTATCCGTACATGAATGCTCTTCTCAGACAGGTCTCGGTGCAGCTCCTTCAGCCCATCAATCCCTGATACATCAATGTCGTGCATGACACTCAGATCCAGGATGAAGTGCTGTTGGTGGGGGAATGCAGTGGTGCAATGCGGTGGGAGGAGGGAGAGGGATTAAGCGTGGTGCAATGCGATGCCCGACACGTCAATGTCGTGCATGACACTCAGATCCAGGATGCAGTGCTGCGGAGTGGGGAGGAGGAGAGGGAGGCGAGGGAGGAAATGGAGAGGAGAGGGGGGAGAGAGGAAATGGAGAGGAGAGGGAGGAGAGAGAGGAGATGGAGAGGAGAGGAAAAGGAGTTGGCAAGAGGTAAAATGGGATGGGTGACACGTCAATGTCGTGCATTGCGCTCAGATCTAGGATGCAAAGCTGCGGGGTAGGGTGGTCAGGGAGAAAAGAGTGCGAGGAGAAATCAGCCCAACAAACCCCCTATCTCCCCAACCCCCCACTCTCAATAATTTCCCCCCAAGCCCCTTGTTTAGCAGCAAAATTAGTGGACTCACTCACCCGCACGGGTTGCTGGTAGCCCCTCGCATACGCGTCACACAGCTTCTTGATGCGCTGCCGGCAGAAATTCGCGGCCGGGAAGTAGAGCGGGCTCTCAATCCTCAGCATCACGATGCCCTCGCACAGCGTGCTGTTGGGGAACTGTAGCACGCTCACGGCTGTAGCGGCGCCGCCCGGCAGCAGACCGAACAGGCGGATGTGCGGGCGGATGATGCGGAGGAGCAGCTTGAGGACAGAGAGCACGGAGGCGACGAGCAGGCCGATCTCGGGTGAGCCGAAGATGATCCTGAGGAAGCAGCCGAGCATGACCATGAAGTCTAGTTTGTCTACACGCCAGATTGTAAACGCTGCCTTGAAGTCCAGCTGGGAATGGGTGAAGGGGTGTGACCGTTGACGGGTGGGTGGGGATAAGGGAGGAAGGGAGGCAGGGAATGAGGAAATAAGAGGACGGAGGCGACGAGCAGGCCGATCTCAGGCGAGCCGAAGATGATTCCGAGGAAGCAGCCGAGCATGACCATGAAGTCCATCTTGTCTACGTGCCAAATCGTAAGCGCTGCCTTGAAGTCGAGCTGGGAGGGGAGAAAGAACGGAGACAGGGAGTACGGTAATAAGGGGTGAGTCATTAAGAGCAGGCGAGCATGAGTATGAAGTCGAGCTTGTCCACCCGCCGGATCGTAAACGCTGCTTTAAAGTCGAGCTAGGAGGGGGAAACGAACAGATGGGATGGGATAGGGGAATACGAGAGTGAATATGAAAACTGGAATAAGAGGATTAGGGGTAGAGTGTTGGGAGCAGCTGAGCATGAGTTTGAAATCAAGCTTGTCAGCCCGCCAGATCTGAAACGCGGCCTTGAAGTCAAGCTGATGGAGGGGGGGAAGAAAGAGAATATGTGATGGGATAACGGAATATGAGAACGAGTGAAGAAGGAAATAACGGATGAGGGACTAAGGGGAAGAGTCGTTGAGAGCAGTCAAGCATGCCGGCGAACGGAATAAGGGAAGAGTTTGTCAAGAATAGGTTGTTGGGAAGCTTCCGACACGCATCGACAGATACATTGACAAGTTGAGTGACTTGGAATGCAATCAAGTCGAGGAAACAAGGTGACGGGTGGAGCAGACAAGGTGACGTGTGGAGTAGAGAAGGTGACGGGTCACACTCTATGCCATGCTGTCTGGGTGCTGGCCATCGTTTGATGGCGGCATGCGGCGATTGGATGAGAGCAGGGACTGGGAGGATTCCTGCTGGTGGTTTGTGTCGCAGAAGGCGAAGAACTTCGTCCGTCGGATGATGTCGGTAGATCCAGAAATGCGACCTACGGCTGAGGAAGTTTTGAGAGATCCCTGTGTGAGGGGTCAAGGCGGAGAGATCGTGCGGTATGGGCCGAATCCTTCACTGCAACAAGCCGTTTTGACGAGCAAAGGGCGGCCTGATTGGACCAGAGGTCGCCGCAATCTGACTGCGAGGATGCAAAGAGGAGATGTAAACAGGGGAGAGTGTGGGGCTGCTGCTGCCGGTGCTGCACAGCGTCAACAGGAGTGATGACAGTGGAAACGCTGCACTCGTCTCCTTTACAAACCTCCGTATCTTCTTCCATTATCTCTACATCTGGTTTCCCTGGTTTCCATGGCCAAGAAGGATCATGTAAGCAGCAGGGTGGGTGGGTTTAGAGATTAGGTGGCAAGAGTAGGGTGTACAGCAGTCAGAGTCAGAGGATAGTTAGAGTAGTTGCCAGAGGCAACAGCCGTAGATAGCTAGGCGCTAATTCAAAAGACTTGACACGAGATACGGTGGTGTCTACATGCAAAGTCTTTTAGTATCTACAGTCTAGTGTTTTATTGGAGAACCATGAAGCGAGGAACCATGGTAGCGTGCACGCGCAACCGCGCTGCACCTTTGCATGAAAGCCTGACAAACACTCCTGAATAACAGAAGGGTCTTCGTTTCATGGAGAGCAGGCCAGGTTCAAGTGCATACTGGGTTTGCCATTGGAGCCTCTGGCGTTCAAAGCCGTGGAATACACCGAGGGAGCAGAGTTCAGATGTTCTGAACTGGGGGGCAGTGCAGGGGATCAGGTAATGTCCAAATGTCTGAACTCCAGACGCACTCTCCACCACATGAAAACTGGTACTACGGCTTCAAGACGTTGGGGAGGAGGGTGTCAGTCAGATAAGCTGGAATCCTAGCCTGGACCCGGCTCATTATTACCCATACCCTGCCTGCACCATATTTATAACGATGCTCTCTATGTCAAGCAGTGCTGTCAAACACCTCAAGAACAAAACAAAGGAAGATGTTCAGCCCACCAAATTGGTACATGAAAGAAAACCAACAGACAGACGCATACAAAAAGAATAAAAGAAAAGAAAGATGTTCAGCCCACCAAACTTGTAAACAGCCCACCAAACTTGAAAACAGCCCACTAAAATACAGAAATGACACTGCTCTGATGCGCACCCCAAAGGAGCACGAAACCAATGAGGAGTCAAAGGTATTGGCTTTCCGAAGATTGTGGTCCCACGATCAAATCTCTCTTCTTTCCACCTGCAACTGCACCTTCACTGCCTGCCTTCAGGTCTTCATTAAGCCGCTCTTCAGCCGTAGGTTTTAAAGGAACGGCCTAAGTCAGGCTCAGGTTTTTGGATAGAAAGGACAATTCATGGCAGAAAACGAACAGTGAAGCCCACAAGAACCAGAGTTGAAGGGGGGGGGGGGGAGGGGGGAGGAGGGGGAAGGGGATATCATTGCATAAAAAAAAAACAGGAACAGGAAAAGCAAGTCCTCGTTACCAGGGTGATTCACACTTTCTATGTTGGCTGTGAGAGAGGACAAATGAGGGGTGAGAGACGACAGGACAAGGGGGGGAGAGGACAGGAGAGAGGGAGAGGGGACAGGAACGGGGAGGGGAGAGGACAGGACAGGGAGGAGAGAGGACAGGACAGGGGGGAGAGAGGACAGGACAGGGGGGAGAGAGGATAGTGCAGGGGGGAGAGTAGACAGGACAGGGGTGAGAGAGGACAGGGGTGAGAGAGGACAGGGGTGAGAGTGGGCGGGTGAGATTAAATAGATACACGTAGGGGGCCTAAGTGAGAGCGATAGAGGCGGCGAGTAAAAGGGCAAAAAGATAGAAGTGGGTGGAGAAAATATGGGGGAGAGAAGGGGAAATTGGTGGCACGTGGGAGATAGATGGTACGAAGCAGCGGGGAGGGGGGAGGAAGGGGGGAGAGGGGAGGGGTGCGGGGGGAGAGGGAGGGGGTGAACATGAGATGTACATGTGATTCCAACTGCACACACTAATTCGGGCGTGTAGGTGAAATTCACGTGGACACTTTTCCAGCCAGCATCACCCACCGCATGCGGACTAGTTGACGAATTTGCACGTCCTGCCATCCGGCTGGAGCACGAGAGGAGGAGCACAAACACAAGATGCCACTCCACTGATCAATTCACAGCGGCCGAGCACACATTCCTTATATTGGCAGGCACCTGGGTGGGGGAAGGGGAGGAGAGGGTAGAGAAGGATTGGCGGGGACATGAAATGAGGGCTGGTGGGAATTATGATGATGTCATGAGGGAAGGGGGCATGATTGCACCGGGAACAAACTTAAAAAGCGAATGCAAAAGGCGAGGTGAAAAAACGGTGTGACGACAGGAACGACCAGAACATGCTAGAGGCAGCACGGAGCTGCATGAGCTATATCATTAAGCACACTGCAGCATCCCTTGAACACCAAGGCACAACTCTCAGCACCTACTGATGCAAAAAATGTTTGACTGCAGAACGTAACCAGAGTCACAAACACAGGAGGCCACTCCATCGTTCTTGACACATCTGCCGGGCTTTTGACAATTCCGAATCTCGCAGACATCTTGATCAAGGGAGAGGCCAAGGAGAGGGTAGAGAAGGGTTTGGATGGGTGGTGGGACTCAAGGCATTATTCGGAAAGGCAGGGGAATGATTGCACCAGTCAGAAATTTCAAAAAGGGATGCAAAGGAAGAGGCGAGGAAACTCTTCACCGACAGGAATTTCCGACACATGCTAGAGGCAGCATACAGCCGCACGAGGTAAATCATTAAGCACACAGAAGCAGCCCTTGAACACAGTGGCACAACTCTCAGCACCTACCTTTGCACGTCCTACTACCCTGCAGCACGTAACCAGAGTCACAAACACAGGAGGGCACTCCATTGGTCTTGACACAAGTGCCGTTCCCACCACAGTTTTGAATCCTGCAGGCATCTGGGTGGGGAGAGAAGAGGAGGGGAGAGGAAACGAGGGGCCATGAAACGAGGGCTGGTGGGAATCAAGATTCTGCTGGGTGGGGGCATGATGGCACCTCAAGCAAGATTAAACCAACGATGCAAAAGGTGATCAAACTGTGACGACAGCAATGACCAGAACATGCTAGAGGCAGCACACAGCTGCATGAGCTAGATAATTAAGCACACATCAGCCCGTGAACACTGCGGCACAAAACACTCAGCACCTACCTTTGCACGTCCTGCCATCCTCCTGCAACACGAAACCAGAGTCACAAACACAGGACGGCACTCCGTTGGTCTTGACACAAGTGCCGTTCCCACCACAGTTCTGAATCTCACAGGCATCTGGTTGGGGAGGGAAGAGGAGAGGTCGGGTTGAGGGGACGTGAAACGAGGGGTTGTGGGAATCAAGATTCTGTGGGGAGGGGTGGGGGCATGATGGCACCTTGAAGCTGCGATCTACATACTTCGAGCGGGAGGCTTTGGTTTATCACTTGAAAACAGGGTGACCATACTTTTCACACGAGCCCCCTTTCCTGCAAAGTGAACGGTTGAGGGGGGTGGAGAGAGGGGGGTGGGGGTCCCTCCCCCCGATATCGAACTCCCCAAGTGGTTTCCGCCCTTCCGCGGACTCTTCCCCCAACCCATGAGTCAGCACGAAAATGGGTTGGATTCGCGTGCTCGTGTGACTTCATCGCTCCTGTGTTTCAGAAACGTGTGGACTTCGCTTTCCAATCAGGCTGCGTGAAAGGGTGTGCATCGAGAGTACTCCCGGAAAATGCCACTTTGAATGTAGACCGCCGCTTTAAGCGAGATTTCGAAAACGATGTAAGAGGCGAGAAAACAATGTGACAACTGGAACTACTGCCACATTCTAGAGGCAGCACGGAGCTGCATGAGGTGGATCATTAAGCACACGGCAGCAGCCCTTGAACACAGCGGCACAACTCTCAGCACCTACCTTTGCATGTCCTGCCATCCTCCTGCAACACGAAACCAGGGTCACAAACACAAGACGGCACTCTATCGGTCTTGACACAAGTGCCGTTCCCACCACTGTTCTGAATCTCGCAGGCATCTGGGTGGGGGGAGAGAGGAGGAGAGAGGAGAAGTGGGTGCAGGGGACGCGAAATGAGGGGTAGTGGGAATCAAGATTCTGTTGGGAGGGGTGGAAGCGTGCTTTCACGAAAAGGAGAGGTGAGAGAACAATGCGACAACAGGAAATACTGCCACATGCTATAGGTAGCACAGATCTGCACGAGCTAGATCGTTGAGCACACAGCAGCTGCCCTTGAACACAGAGGCACAACACTCAGCACGTACCAGTGCACGTCCTGTTAGGCTGCAGGACGAATCCAATGT